ATCAACACGATATCTAAACTCAGCCATTTAAATAATATGTAAGGTGTGTGACTTTCTGCGTAAGATGAACATGACATAACACATTGAATATATATAATACAATCAAACTACAACTTAAAGATGCATTATAGTGAGCATTAACCAGTCACAGGCTAGAATATCAAAGTTGAAGTGTGAATGATGTGTAAAATAATTTTCTGCTATAATAAGCATATTACAAATATTACAAAATTATATTTTTAGACATATTATAAGAAGGTGGAGTCATTGCTTGACGTGAAAAACACAACCATCATGAACTCAGACCATTTTATGCCTCGCATTAATGGAACAATCCTCCGCCTTTATGCTCACCTATATCCTGAGGGAAGAAAGGTCAAGCTCACCTGTATGATAAATGCAGTAAGCTTTATGCTACTCAGATATAATAATACCAGCTTATATTATACAGGTGAGTCAGAACATCGCCATCGTCACTGCACCAGATACAACACGAATGATATTAAATCTTGAGAAAGATGAAAATGTTTGTTTAGTTGTCTCTCGAGCATTCATTCAGATATTCACATATTTGTAGAAGGAGGAAGTTGTCGCTGGACAATATTTCAAGTTTATTGCTGAAGTCGGCAACACAAGAATCAATCTAAATGCTCTGTATCACGAGCGTCTCCCCAAGGAAGTTGGTAAGAATACCATTCTGACATATAATATAAACTGATGCTAAACAAACATTTATAAGATCTTTTCACGGTGAACGAGGTTGTACAGCTAGCGCACAATCCCCCTTATGATTCTAACATATTTATCATACCAATCCCACAATGATTTGTAATTTAACATGTGTAAACTATCATATGCTGTTTGACAGAGAACTATATGTCATGTCAGCACCTCCAGATCGAATTATTCCAGCCCTTCCAAATGAAGTCAGCATTCTAATATGCAAGAAGGTCATATCGGACTGGTCCCACTTGACCCGCAGCATAGAGAAGGTTCTTACCATAAAGGAGGCTGAGACAGAGGCAAAGAAGACAGAGCTCAGGACGTGGCAGCAAAAGCTGCGACTCACGAGCAAATGTTGGCTCGATGCTACAGTCATTCCTCCCTTTCCTCCAACGACAATTATTATCGATACAGAGGATCAGCTTATTGCTTTCTTTCGAGCAATCATCAAGTACGAGAAGTCCTTCTGCAGATGCTATCCAGCAATGGCCCAAACAAAAATCATCTGACATTTATGAACATTTATGAATTGGATCTACGGCACTGCCTCGACTACAATGTACTGGAAATACAAATATTGGCCAAGGCAGCTATACCCCTTATAACCACCTTGACGAGCTTGAAGTACACTATCAGCTATCAGGTGTGCACAAACCAGCTCCAACGTATAACTGCATGGTGGAAAGATGGGAGAAGTACGCTCGAACAACTCCATTTATATCATAATGAGGATTCTTTATTAGCATGGGTGCAAGTAAGCATTTTATCCAGTCTAAGAATTCTGCAACTAAATGGCATACAGAGAAAAGAAATGCCATGGTATCAACCCAATTTTCTACAGCTTCTTTCCTGCCTGCCTTGCCTGCATACATTCCATCTCGACACACCAATGCTTGCATTCACACCACCTGTGGAACTCACTAGAATTGACACTGGTCAGCAATACTTCGATGTGATGTTGCAATATGAAGAGACTACTGTCACAATGTGGTTCAGAGAACTACTGACCTTATGCGAGTTATACTTTTGTCACGGAGAGCTGAACGAGTACGAGATGTTCTGGTATTAGGAGATAAATAATCCAGATAAACGGCATATACATGGAAGAAGACTCAAAACTAATGGAGAGCTGATGATCAAAGAAGGAATCCCATTGATTGAGAATGGGCAGAGAAATACAAGTACTTCAACCTGGACTGTAGACCGGAGAAGCAGAAGACAATGTGTCGAGATTGTATTGTAAGTGCATGCAATAGTATGAATATGACACATACTAAGCAGAAACCTAGAGATGCAGAGGCAAAGAGGCCAAAGCCAAAGTCAATTTCTTATGAACAATACCGGAAGATAATGCTGCAAGACACATTGATTAAGCTTCTCGGTGAATAATATAATTGTCTGTTCCACTAAATGAACTACTGACAATTAACCAGAAGAGCTAGAATGGGAAACATGAATGGTTCTGTAACGATGAAGAGGAGAGAGTGTGGCACTATTGTTGTAGATTATTTGTGCAAGTCGCGTTGGTTTCTACTACAATCACTTTGAAAGACCGACTGTATGCAAGCTGTAGTATACTAACAACAGGCACTACAAAGTTTGTAGTTAAACCCTAGACCTAACCCTGTACTAGGTGCTTCCCACACATACAAAATTGTATTGAAAAGTCGTTCCCACACCTTGGGGAAAAAGTGCGTGTCCTCCCAAAAGTTGGCGGAAGCCCTATCCCATTAAGAATGATTCCTTCGTACCTCAGGAATCGTAATTGCAACCAGGCCCAGACAATTATGCGATTATGTGTAAGTGTGGCCCCAACTTCGGAGTGTATGGCAAAATGATGTGGAGCATGGCAGACCTGCTTGTTCTAGTACTGGAAGAAGGCTGCAGGATGCTTAGGGTGGATAGGGATGACTTGGCCCAGCTTGTGTGCAAATAAGTGGTTTCCTTGTAATTTTACGTGCTGTTCCTGTTTGTCGATTTCCTGTCATTTGCCGCTTTCTCATTATATACAGTTAATGAACTTCCTTTGACTGAACTTGTGCTTGTGCTTGTGTGATCTCCCACGACCAGTTGAAAAGCTGCTGAGTGGTACACTTGGCGATCCAATAACCACTAAGTGGCCATCAAGTGTGCCACTCGTCAAGCCGCTTAGCGGCACTATGGGTGTCCAACCTCCTTACAGTTTGAATATTAGGCCGAGGGTTTGAGACCCTGACATCTCACCTCATACACTGTGCTATTACGACCAATCTGGCCAGTCACGCATCCGAACGGGGTTGGCCTGGCCGGAATCCTAGACATGTCCTATGTCACGGGTGTAGTGGCCAGATTGGGTACCCAGACCGTGACTTAGCCGGCTGGCCAGTCACCCCATCAGTTTTCCCTACCCCAGCAGCTGGCTTGGCTGGCTGGCCACAATGTGTCCACTGTCCGCTGTCACGACCGTTTCGGCCGAGTGGCCAGATCGTTACAAGGCTGTCTCACACCCCCGGCCGGATTGGTCGTAATGGCACAGTATAGACTCTAATGTCAAATGTCAAATAATCATACATTGTAACTTTGTGTTACCCTTATACTAGTTTGATATTTAATCTGTTGTCTGCCCTGAAAGGCATAGTGTCGATCAGAATTTCTTCCTGCCGGACATGCCGAATGAGACCTAAAGTTTTCGGAAGAATGTTATGTGGTAACATAGTCATTTGCGAACATTGTATATGTCGCAATATCACACATTATCAATGTGTGATTTGGGTATCACATGCCCAGACATCGGGCCTTACATTGTAAACATATTTTTGACCATTGGAGCTACATACGGGCCATCATAGTCTGCTATGAGTTGCAGGGGTCGAACTGTAGCACACCATTTTGGACCTAACCAAAAGGTTGATCTCTGAAACGCGTACACAAATCTGGTACACTGAGATGCATCGATGCGCCCAGCATAGCCTACCTGTTAATTTCATCTAAAAAACTTTCTGGTGCCCTTCTGTGTGAAGCTCTTGGTTTTCGCATAAGTGCTGAACAATGTGCTCCTTCACTCTTATTTAATTTTAATTCTATTGTGGGTCGTATGCTATACAAGGAGATACTGACCACGTCAAGTCTTCCCTATGAGCCCCATGACTACCAATTGGATGGTGTGTGCCAGGCATTGGACGGCATCAATGTGGATGGGGCAAGGTGACATGAGGTGGGACAACTGGCGAGGCATGCGGATATGCAGGGGTGGTGAAGACGGCGGAATAGCCAGAAGGTGTTGGAGTTTGAAAAGCATGGTTTGGATTGTATTGTGGAGGGTATGGGGAGCCTGAGAATGGTACAGTGTGGCTATAGTTGTAGGGAAGCATATTGTCACTAGATGGTTCATGGAGACGCAACAAGTATGATCACAATCTAGAGATGCCCGATGACATCTGTTCAGCTTTTCTGGCATCTGAATGGCAATCGCAAACTCTGACACATCACAAGTGAAATGGTGTGCTATGGCCAAGTGGGCGCGTTTGATAGCAGACCTGTATCGTGATCGTCCTCCCCCTCTCAACATCAGCAAAAAGTGCATTCAGAATGCAGCGCAGTGCAGCGCGCTGTAAACCTTACCTGAGCTGCAAACCCTGCAAGATAGGTAACCTGTATGCAGTGGTTTCCGTCGATATTCTAATAGGTATGTAAATTATTGGTGGTCTGATGCATACTTACCAATCAGCTGCAGACGTTGCTGAGTGTGCGATAGTTTGCAGCCGATGTATGGCTTTACAAAGTTAGGTTATTAGTCTGCATGCGAAGGTATAAACTTTGTAAATACATTCACGGACTCCGTAATTTCAATACAATTTATATATCTTTCATTGCCTTCATATAGCAGGCACTGCAGATGGCCCAACAAAAGGTATATTTTGGATGTAACAAGACCGATACAAATCTACTACGAGGCCACTGAGAGAGAACAACAATGCCGGTGACACACGCTGAAGGTTAAGCATGGCGAGAGTGCCCAAGTACAGCTGCAAAGCGCGGAAACAGTGAGTGCAGAAAGAGTCAGCACGGAAGAGTCAGCGAGCGGGTGCGAACACGAGGAGTGAGTGAGAGCATGAGACACAAGTGCGGGAGACACCAGAAAACAGGGATGCAGATGAGAGCGGCAGCAAGAAGGTGAGCAAGAGGAACTTGCAGGTAGAGTTAGTGGCAGCAGCAAGTAAGGTGAGGTTCGTGCTAGATGTAAATGACACAATAAGCACGTATGGCCAAAAAAAAGCAGATAATTACCATCACGAGAATCACACGGTGCCGGATTGCACAGCTGCTCGAGCTGCGCGCTGAACCTTCAATTTGGCGGAGGCAGATTGTGGCCGGGTTTGCTTCTTCATGCCGCCTTGGCCCTTCGCGGTTGTGCCAAATACTGCTCTGAATGTGCGGTGTGAGCACAAGTAAAGCTCAGGCACGAAACTTACTTGTTCCACCATTCCAGTGTTGCTTTCCCCCATTCTTCATCCTGGAAGAACTTGAGAATTTCGAAGAAGAACTTTTCGAGGTCAAAGGTCATGTCGACATTGGACCACGAGTGCTGACTGTTCAAGAGAAATCGAACCTCAAGTGCACCGTTAAAGAATGTGATCAACAGATGTTCAAATAGTAGTACTCACGAGGACCGCCAAATACGCGATGTTCCTAGGAGTCACCTGAGTCATGTCATACTTTTTTGTGAGGGGAGGACGTCCGGGTCTGCTCTCGCAGTTTCCGTGATCGGACACGCACTACCGGGGCTGGTTATCAAAGACTTGAAGCACTGCATAATGCCATTAGTTGAGTAATACTACTGTAACACTATGATAGATTACCCAGTGAACATAGTACACACCTTGAGAAGTAACGGGTGCCTGAGCAACCCAGCATCCAATTCGTCGGGGTTGTAGAGAGCTTCATCATACAGAAATGAAGGGAACTCGTCAGAGGGTATATCAATCTCACCGTCGCGCACTTGGCGGCAAAATCTGATAAACGTCATTGTCAGTATAAAATTCGCTCGCGTACAGACACTTACCCATCCGAATCATTGAGGAACTCTGTGAGCATAGACTGTAGGCAAAGTAGCCGGCCGGTTGTGATGTTCTGGAAGCCACGCTTCCACTTACTGTCTTGTGGCTTCAACACAGGGTAGCTGTCACTGAAATCTGGCAGGTAATTGACAATGCGCTCGTGAAGTGACCCGAGGTGATCTCCACGAGCGCCGGTAGCATAATGGTTAAGCTTGTACAAGAAATTAGTTCCCAATAAGTAAACTATATGCGATGACTTACGTAGGACCCAAGGACATCAATGGCATTGATGTTGTCCCCCATGTATACTAGCTGATCCTTAAGACCAGGCATCAAACCAAGAATCACTTTGAAGGTGTAAGCGAGCTCTTCACGTTCGTCTTTGCCCCTGAGAATAAAGTAAAGGTCATTATATGTGCATCAAAATGACCCGTACATCCACTAAGGCGAGCTCACATCGAATTGAATGCTTCTTGGGCCTGTGAATCAAGTTCATCATCGTCATCTTGTTGCGAAAGCAGGCCAAGTTGAAGGGCTTGCATTGGATGTGCGAATGGACTGATGGTGCAGGGAATAAATCGGGCGCCATCGTGGTGTGGCTTAAGTGAAGGGAATACTCTGCAAAAAGAAGCTCACTGCAATTAGTACGAGTCTGTGTTTGTAACAGGATCATACTTCGGGTCACATCTCTCCACCATGCCCCTCATTAGCTTCTTGGTGCGGCAGCGTTTCTGTGGCACTGCGTTGGACTGATCGTCGATCTCAGAAATCCGTGCTTGCGGCCTCGGCTATGATCTTCCTCCTCATCCTCTTCCTTGTCCTTGTCCTGTTCCTGTTCCTCATCCATGTCCTGTTCCTCTTCTCCATCCTCATCCTCATTTTCAAGCCCTACCTCGTTGTCATCGTTGTCCTTGTGCATGTCGTGGTCTGAGTTGTATCCGTCTTCATCCTTATCCGTGTCACTGTTTTCGTCTTCGTCACTGGTTTCGTTCACGATATTTGCTCGCTTCTTGTGGTGGTAAACTGGTTGTCGATCGAGATCTGCCTTCGTCCTCTTCTTCTTGAGTGGAACAGCACCTTCATTTCCATTCTCTGAGCCTCGGGTGCCGGTGAGTGCTGGACGAGAGGCCCGCAAAGATGCCGGAGTTTTTTGAGAGGAGTGCGAGCTGGCTGGGGGGTAGCAAGATGGCTTAATCGATGCGACTGGGTTCTGGCGAGAGGGAAATGGTTTTTTGACATTGGTTCGACCCATGGTGAGATGACAATGAGAGGTAAAAGGCAAGGATTGGTGTGCAAAGGAGGTATGCATACATAGAGGACACGGTCACGTGCCGGTGACGCAACGCGTCTTCGCGTCTGTCACATGATCGCTCCTTACACAGGAATTCTAAGTCTCGAGTTCTGACAATCTCTCCTTGGGCTCAATGCGGTGGGCACACTTACTACTCATATTTTTACTGGCAATATCTATGACATTAAAATGCCTGGGGTGTCTCAAGGAATTCAAGCACGCTCGAGGACTCAGCAATCACACTGGGCCATGCAAGAAACACCGTGAGCTCACACGGAAAGGACTTCATGCACAGGAAGTCAAACACCAGAAGAAGAAAGCAGAGAGGAAAGGGAAGAAACGATGCCGTGAGGAGATAAGGGATGCAAATACAGACCTAGTGGAAGGGGTGAACCATGTACGTTATCTGTTGAGTTTTGAGTGCATTTATGCCATCCCCGGAAACCTATACCCATTCAACAACATACTTTTTTGATTTTCGTCTTGATGCTATACTGATATATATATTAGGATTTGGTTGGACTGCAGGAGCTCAGGCACGATGCCAGAGAAGGGATGCCGATCGAGCCTGATCCTGGTGGTGAAGTAGATGCACATCCAGCAGTCTCCATGAGGTCTGGTCGACGACTTCATGTCCCGAGAGGTCTCGCCGACTATATTCCTCAACCCTTCCGTGGTATACCAGCACATATACCCAGGCCAATGCATCTGCAGAGGAGATGCAAGGGAGCAGCTGATCCAGTTGATGCTTCACAGCTGGAGGTAGACCGTGCTGCTGACATCGCTCCTATGGCTGTGAAGGATGTACCTGATATAAATGCTGCAGACCTTGCTATCAAGACTGAGCTGAACACCTTTAGATTGTACCGTGTCTATGCAGTCAAACCCCAGAAGGATCCAGAGGATGAAACCACCCTGGATACGTTGTGCGACTCACTCACTCTAGCTACTGCACCAGAAACGACTGCACAAGGGCGTAGTCCTCCACACTGTTTGTGCCAAAAGTTCACAGACACTCTGCAATACACGCAAGATAATTTCTTCAGCCCCTTCCTGAACACCACTACCTATCGCCTTATAAACTGGATGTATCGGCCTTCTGATACGAAGTCCATTGAAGAAATGGACAGTCTCATTCATGACGTGTTGCTTGCTGATGACTTTGATGCCACACACCTCCAGAATTTCAGCACGGTGCGAGAGCTGAAGCGGCTAGACAAGCATTCTCAAACTTCAAATGCTTTCTCTGCCGATGATGTCTGGGTTGAAGGCACTGTCAAGATCCACTTGCCTAAGGAACACACTCGATTCAAATCCGAGGCTGATGCCCCCGAGTTTGAAGTCTCCGGCATCTACTATCGCAGGCTTCTCAAGGTTATCAAGGCCGCTTATCAAGATACTGCAGCACGCATGTTCCACTGGATACCGTTCAAGCTATTCTGGTGCCCTTACTATGACAGCTCTGAAAACTCTGACTCAGACGATTCAAATGCCAACGCTGGCGATATTCGAGTTTACACCGAGTTGTACAACTCCGATGCCTTTCTCGAGGAAGATGCGCACATACGTTCTCAGCTGCATGAGCTAAGCGAGGATCCTAACATCGAGATCGCCATTGTGCCAATTATGTTATGGTCCGACTCAACACACCTAGTAAGTTTCGGGTCTGCAGCACTTTGGCCAATATACGCGTACTTCGGGAGCTTATCCAAGTATGTACACGGTAAACCCAGTTCATTTGCCGCACACCATCTTGCATACCTACTGATGGTGAGTCAGGCCTTATTTGACGATAGTTTTTCATATCGTACTTAGTATTTACACATTATCAGTTACCAGACACAATTCAGGACTTCTACTGGGAAACTTTCGGTATTGCGGCCACCACTGCCGTTCTCAAATACTGCAAACGCGAACTGATGCAGGCCATCTGGCTGCTGTTGCTTGACCCGGAGTTCATGCATGCGTACAAGCATGGCATACTCATACACTGTGGCGACGGGATCTTGTGACGACTGTTCCCGCGGTTCTTCACCTATTCCGCTGACTACCCAGAGAAGTGAGTCATTATATGCTTTCATTCATATGGTCCTAATTCGTTATGAAACAGAATTCTGCTCGCATGCATAAAGTACCTTGCAAGATGTCCTTGTCCCTGCTGCTTGACTGAAAAGTCGAAGATAGGAGCCATGGGCACCTACACAGATGCACGCACACACGAAATGATGACAGTTGGTTACAGGCGAAGATTGCCATGATGCGCGGTTGGATCTTTGAAAAGGGATGTACACTCACAAGCAAGACCATCGCTCGCGTTCTGAACGTGAAGTCCTTTCTACCAATGCAGATATGCCTGTTTCTTATACATTATCTCTCTCTCTCAAATATCTGTTGTCTTGTATAGAGCGCATTCTCCACTCGCCTTTCCATATTCAACTTCAATTTTTTTTCAATGTTCATTCCGGACTTGATGCACAAGTTTGAGCTAGGCGTATGGAAGGCGATCTTCACCCACCTCCTTCGCATTCTTTATGCCGTCAGTGAGGATGCAATTCAGAAGTTCGACATGCAGTATGTCTCTGCTTCTGTTGAGGACAGTTATGTGCTAAGTCAACTCTAGATTCCATAAAGTTCCAACATTTGGACGTGACACAATTCGCCGATTCAGTAACAATGTTTCCGCGATGAAGAAACTGGCTGCGCGCGATTTTGAGGACATTCTCCAGGTATGCCGCTGTCATAAACTGTCCAAACATCACATTGACTTCTTTCAGTGCTGCATTCTGGTATTCGAAGGCCTAATCCCCTCTAAGAAATACAACAACATTGTCATGGACCTGCTCTTTGAACTCACAGCTTGGCATGCCTATGCGAAGCTTCATTTGCACACTGAACACACCCTTCAGGTGTTTGAACGTGCAACAGCTACACTTGGCGCAGCTATCTGTCACTTCAGGAAGACAGTATGTTCAGCATTAGGAAGCTTCCAAAGGAGACTGCAGCACGAGGATGACGCAAAGCTGCACTAGCAAACCGTGCTGGTGGTCATGGCGGCACCTCTGCAAACACGATTGATCCAAAACGCAAACAACTCAATGTCGAAACGTACAAATACCACTCTGTTGGAGACTATCCAGCTACCATCCATGAATTCGGACCAACAGATAATTACACAACCCAGGTGGTGAGCAATACCCTATAGTGTCATTGCGTGCACTGAATCGATTACTAACGCTGTCTTGTCCTCAGGGAGAACTTGAACATCACCATGTCAAACGATTCTATGCACGCACGAATAAGAGGAAGCACGTGTTTCAAATAGCCAAGCACCAGCGTCGCGAGGCACTCCTACAGAAGATGAAGAGATGAGAGAAAGAGATCCTGGATCAGGAGGCACAGTGCCAGCTTGACCGCACTCAGGATGCAATGGACTTCGACGATGATCCCGAGGAGCCTCTGGATGATACGCGCCTTGACTTCGCTGACAAAGAGCCACTTCTGCGCACATCCCCAAAAGTGCATTACCACATGTCCAAGTCACAGCATTTCTGCGAGGACATTATAAGCTTTGTGATACGGAACAAAGGAGATCCCGCATTCAAGGTGCGGTAACTTCCTGACTACTTCCAGTACATTTTCGATGACAAATTCTTTCGCAACACAGATGTTCATGCCGTCGCTCAAGGATCACCTTCTCACTCGCCTTACTGGTCGTGCATACAACGGCGATGAAGACACGTTCACACACAAGGAACACAATCAGATCTTGTTCCTCGACAACAAGCTCTACCGGCACAAGGTGCTCCGAATCAATTACACCATGTACGATATGCGCCATGCCCAGGATTCCATAAATCCTCGCACACACCCCGATGTCATGGTGCTATCACACGAAGATGGCGAAGATGCTGATCAACACCCTTATTGGTACACCCGTGTCGTTGGAGTCTTTCACGTCAATGTGTGTTATCGCGGGCCGTTACCGATATCCCGACAGCCACAACACATGGACTTTCTGTGGGTACGTTGGTTTGGTCGCGATCTTACAGCACCAGGTGGCTTCAAGACCCGCCGCTTGCACCGTGTCGGGTTTGTTGACATCGACGACTACAAGCCATTTGGCTTCCTCAATCCTGACGAAGTCCTCCGAGGAGTGCACCTCATTCCAGCCTTTGCCCATGGATGAACATCTGACCTTCTACCGCCTTCCATTGCACGACGCTCTGAAGACAACGATGAGGACTGGCTATTCTATTATGTTAATATGTACGTGCTTTCCCTGATTTACTTCATTTGTTGCATTTTCTTACGGTCACTCAGGTTCGTCGATCGTGACATGTTCATGAGATACCTCGGTGGTGGTGTCGGACACAAGGGAACAGGTATTACCCTGCCAACGGTCGGGGATGAGATGGATATAGACGATGATGAGTCAGATGATGACAAGTCGGACGATGACGAGTCGGACGATGACAAGCAATCCGTGGATTGTTTGGTGCAAGATGAAGACGAAGGTCAGATTGGACAGGAAGAAGATGACTACAGCTACAGGGATTCGGATGACGATGAAGATGAGCAGGGCACTGGAGGCGAAGGAAGTGATCATGAAGAGGTTGAAGAACTTGGCCCGGAGGATGGCGAGGATGGTGAAGAGGACGAGTATGGCGACGAAGGCTATGCGCCGCTGTAGAACGCAGCACGCAAGTACTCCTGGGACTTGTAACGTTGTGGTCATGTATTATAATATGCACCTATATACAAAATGACTGCCTACATCTGTATACCGTCTGCATACCCAACCGGACTCTGCCGGGATATGCATATCTATGTCGGGAGGACTTTGACATGCAAACTCATACCACCTTGCTTGCCTTTTACAGCTCGCTGCATCGCGACGCAATCTGACCCCCCTGCTTACAAACCCTGCCTGGCGTTGCAGAGTTTGGACACTTTTGCTGATGAACAAGGTCACTATTTACGGGCTGCCTACGGGAGACTAGGGCCATCATACATGTACAATGTTAGGCCGGATGTTCCCACAATGTAAGGAACTTAGATATTAGTCCCCGTCTCCGGTGTATCGCTCAGACGGAAGACGCCAGTATGAACTGCGGGACAGCACTATAGAGCTCTCTCAGCAAGGTGTTGCAGATGGCTCGGCCACCTTGACCCATGGCCTGACTCAGGTTTCTGTGTCCGTTTTCGGACCTTGGGAAGCCAAGATGCGCTCACTGACACTCCACGATCGTGCAAACATTAATGTGGAAGTGAACATCTTGCCCTTCAGCACCGGAGAGCGACGTCGGCGAGCTCGTGCGGACCCGACACACTCCGCTATTCTCTCGATGCAACTGATCGTTATCTGACTAAGTCTCCAGGCGAGTGCTTGAGCTTGCGTCCACGGTCAAGTCGACTTTCGAGCCCGTCGTACAGACGAACCTTTATCCCCGCTCTCAAATCGACATCTACATCCAGGTCCTTCAACAGGATGGCGGACTACTGCAAGCATGCATCAATGCGACCACTCTCGCGCTGACCACGGCAGGCATCCCACTGTACGATTTCGTGTGTGCTGTCACTGTCACTGGTGGAGTGCACTCAGCGTCGACAATGCTCGATCTGAATATGTTGGAAGAGAACGACTTGCCCCATGTCACAGTCGCGGTCATACCCAGGATCAAGAAAGTCACTCTATTGACTCCGGAGACGCGATTACACGTAGACCGATTTGCGGACATATTCCGATTGGCGTGTGAGACCGGGCAGACGATCCACAAGGAGATGAAGCACGCTGTCAGCAACAGGACGAGCATGTTGATTGAAGCGATGGGTACAGGGCTGTCTCACGGTATAGGCAGTGGTGTATTGGAATGAGACGATACTGGATGACCCAATGAATACAAGTTAAACTACGTGGCGTGGTGTGCAACAGGTGATGAGGATAGTCGGGAATGAAAACATGATTATACTCGAACAGCTTCCACCCGTCTAAAACAAGCCAGCCACTTCTGGCCATTATTTCTCTCAACCTTGCGCCCTTCCTCGGTGCCGCTGAAGACCGCGTCTAGGATCGCGCCCTTGCCTTCGTGGCGAAGATCGTCTTCGCTGACATGCTGGAACAAGGGAAAGGCCTCCAAGTGCGTTCTCATCCAGTCGTGAAGATCGCGCACATCAGTGATGGTGTACACGATGCCTCCAGGTCGAAGAACGTAAGCATACTCGGCGAGCAGAGTCGGGGAGATAATGCGGGCTTTGTGCTTTCGGGATTTGAAGTGAGGGTCAGGAAAGAGAAAGAAGAGTGCAGATAGAGAGTGCTTGGGAAAGTAATTGGGGGTGAACTTCATGGAGTTTGCGCGGACGACAGAGACATTTTGATATTGACCGGGGGAGGACGAAGGGGTGTTGGACGTTGCGCGCAGAGCGAGAATGCGATCTCGGACGTATTGGGAGACTTGTACACGGATTTCCATGCCTGTGCACAGAAAGAGGGCACAGTGCGAATAGGCGCCCGGGAGGAATCGCGATAGTCAACGTCGGGTGGACGCGGCGAGAGAGTGGAGTACTAACCAAGCATGAGCGTGTCGGGAAAGAGAGGGGCAAGGGCGATGAGTAGGCCGCCGAAGCCGCATCCGACATCAGCGAACTCGGGGGTCTTTCCGGAGCCGGCAAAGGCGGGGTAGAGGATAGACCAGTCACAGGCGTGGGGAGAGTGCGGGTAGCTGAGGGCATGGTCGGAAAATGGATTAGCATGTGCACGCTGCCTATAGTGCCTTTTCTGGAGGGGAGGAGTGAGCAAGCGGGGGCCGGAGAGGAGGAGGAGAGATGGGTACCTGAGGTAAGAGAGACTCCTGCGGAGGGGGGCGAGTCGAGCGTTTGCGCTTTGGCATTGAGGTGCAGGTCGTAGGCAGCGGCGTCGAGGACGAGCGTCGTCGTCGTCGTCGTCGTCGTCGTCGTTGTCGCCGTGTACGCTGTCGGACGCGGTGCGGTCGCAGTGGCCGACGTCCGCTCGCCGACAAATCCGAGAGTGTGGGCACGTGACCCGCGTCAGTGGGGGATAACTTGCGCCAACGCAACCTCGCATCTGCTGCTCATTCTCTTCTTCTTCTCTTCTCTTCGTCCTCTTGTCGTCCTCGGTTTCTCGCCATGGCCTCTGCCTTCCGCGCTGTCTTCAAGCAAGTGCGTATTTTTCCATTCTACTTCAAGTCACATGAACTCATCACCTGCACTCGTCATACTCCGTTCTAGTCACGGCCTTCCGCTCTCGCACCTTCGGCCCGCTTCGCCTCCACCTCCTCAAAGACCGTCTCCCTCAAGGACAGGCTTGCCGATCTCATCCCTGCAGAGATCGAAAATGTATCCTGTTCCCCATCACTCACATCTTCACTTCCCGCTGATCATATCTTGGACCAGGTGAAAGCCACGCGTGCCGCGCATGGAAAGAAGTCTTTTGGTCCCGTCCTTGTAGATCAGCTCTATGGGTAAGCCTTCCCATTTTTTGGCGGTTTATTTCCTCCCTTACAATCCGTTCAGGGGCATGCGAGGCTTGCCTGCGCTTATATGGGATGGCTCCATTCTTGACCCAGGTTTGTTCTTCCTTTCATTTTTTTTGCCTTCGTTCTCATGCGATGTTACACATCTCAGAGGAAGGCATCCGCTTCCGTGGAAGGACCATTCCCGAGTGCCAGGAGCTCCTCCCCCGAGCTCCTGGTAGTTCTGAACCTCTTCCGGAGGGACTCTTCTGGCTTCTCCTAACTGGCGAGGTCCCTACTCAAGAGCAGGTTACCGCACTTTCCAGGGACTGGGCAGCGCGGGCTACTATTCCCGACTTCGTGGAAGATATCCTCGACAGATGTCCGGACACTCTGCATCCTATGAGCCAATTCAGTTTGGCCGTTACTGCCGTAAGACTCGCACACTTCCGGTAGTTGACCTCTGTACTCATATCTTGCTCCAGTTGAATCGCGATTCCGCCTTCGCCAAGGCCTACCAGCAAGGCATTTCTAAAAAGGAGTACTGGCAGCCCACCTTCGAGGACGGTATGGACCTGTGAGTTTGCATATACCGTCACCTCGCCGATTGTGTACTCATTTGTCTCACAGCATCGCCAAGCTCCCCAACATCGCTGGCCGCATCTACCGTAACGTTTACGGCAAGGGCAAGATACCCACAATTGAGCCCAACAGGGATTACTCTTGGAATCTAGCCCATCTATTAGGGTTCGACCAGGATCCTGCTTTCGTCGACCTCTTGAGGCTTTACATCACCATTCACAGGCACGCGTTCCCTACAATTATAGTCGCGGGAGCCTGACATCTCGTACTAGTGATCATGAAGGAGGTAACGTTTCCGCACACACCGGCAAGTTAGTGGGTTCGGCTCTTTCCGATCCGTTCCTGGCTTTCAGTGCTTCCTTGAACGGTCTTGCTGGGCCTCTACATGGCCTCGCCAACCAGGAGGTGCTCTTATGGTTGCGCAAAATGCAGTTCAAGATTGGCGAGAACGCCAGCGATGAAGCTGTCAAGGAATACGTCTGGTCAACGTTGAAGGCTGGTCAGGTCGTCCCCGGATACGGACATGCCGTCCTCAGGAAGACCGATCCACGCTATACCGCTCAGCGCAAGTTTGCGCTCAAACACATGCCTGATGATCCTCTCTTCCAATTGGTTGGCCAGGTCTTTAAAATCGTCCCCGACATCTTACTCGCGGTAGGTACCATCTGCATGGAAATTGTCGTACGCACGCTGATACGTTTCATCTCTGCAGGCCGGCAAAGCGAAGAACCCCTGGCCCAATGTTGATGCCCACTCCGGTGTGCTGCTGACGCACTACGGACTGAAGGAGATGCAATTCTACACCGTTCTCTTCGGTGTCTCCCGTGCCTTTGGTGTGACTGCCCAGTTGATCTGGGATCGTGCCCTCGGTGCTCGTGAGTAGATATTCGTTGACGACTTCGGCATGATAGCTAACTGTATCTCTGTAGCTCTGGAACGTCCGAAATCGTACTCTACGGTGGCTATCCAGCAGATGTTCAAGGACAAGCCGTAAAGTTGGCGCACCTCACCCGCACTGTGTAAGAACGGAGAGCACATTTGGCCACTTTTTTAAAAGGGGCCGAGGATATTCACGATGATAGACACTCCAGCCATAGAGTACCTTAGTCCATTCAGTACATGTAGTGTGTTTACGTAATAAGCTTTCGTAAATGAACTTGCTCTCGAACTTGTTGATCACTTCCATGTCAGACGTTCGTGCGTTGCTCAAAGCGAAACGGCAAGAGATCCACGTCAACCACCCTCTTGCGTCGTATACCTCCAGTGGGCAACTACGATGCATTGCTTGCAGTACTATTGTCAAGCAGAGCTCTTCCTGGGATGGTCACGTTGGTAGCAAGGCTCATCGCACTAATGCAGCGCGTCTCAAGGAGCAACAACGCCTGCGAGAGATTCAGGAAGAATCGGAGAGGAAGCGCAGGGCAGCGGAGAAGGATGAAGAAGAGACCGTGTCCAAGAGGCAGAAGGTCCAAGAGGAAGACAGTGAGGACGACGAGGCGCCTTCGCATCCACGAGCTGGATTCCCCGCAGATTTCTTCTCTGACCCTTCGCGAGCTCCACTGCCACCGCCATCCGACGACGAATCCGATGAGGTAGCTCTTACAGTTGACGCCCCAGTGGACGCCGTGGACCTGGAGTGGCGGCGATTTCAAGAGGCAGTTCTCAATGCCCCGGACGAGCGCGAGGCGTACGAGCGCGCGACCGTTGTTGCTGAACCCGTATTGGCTGTCGAGTCCCCGAGCGGCTTCCCTCCTGCTCAGACCGATGTTGGCCATCAAGTCTCGCAACACGAGGAAGTGGTAGATCAGGCCGAGTTGAGGAGAAGACGAGAGCAGGAGGAGAGAGAGTTGATCATGGACAGGCTGCTGGACGAGGAACGCGCGCAAGAGGAGGCGGACGAGAAGGTTACTGTTTTGAAGCTCAGGCTCAATGCGTTGAAGAAGCAGCGGGAGGCAGCGCGCAAGCTCAAAAGCAAATCTGCACCGTGATCCAGTGCTAGATAGCATTAATGCGGTCTACTCTGTAAGTCGCCAGGTATGCAAGGGCCCGAGTATTTACTCAAACGGTACCCTTCTTCAATTGTAGGGTTCCCTCATTCACGTACATCCTCTTCGTGTTCTTCCGCTCGGACTCCAATCCATGATCCCCAGTCCATTCCTCGCTTGCAGAACATCATCAGACCAAGCATGACCGGGAGATACCACAGACTGTGTTGAAACACTTTCCGCGCATGTTTCTCGCTACCACTGCGCCAGAACCTCCATGCGGCCTCTGCCCAGATAGCATTGGGGATGACGCTGGCGATTGCGAATGCCCAGGTGGTGAGCCCGGAAATAGGCACGAGGACTGAACACACTGGAATGAGTAGGAGTGTGTGGCGGAGAGAAACCAGGGCATTTTTGGCAGGTGAGACGACGGATAGCATACGATAACCGGCCTGCGCGTACGATTCTCGTACAAGATGCGACAACGAATTAAAATGAGGAAATTGCCAGCTGTATAGCAGCATAAAGAGTGCCAAAGGCGCGAGTGGGTTGTCGATGAGATGTAGGTCAAGCGTGGTCGTCGAAAGGAAGGACGGGAGGAATAATTGGATGGGATAGGAGGATGACGGCAGGAGCTGTCCCCCACAAGCTGTCCAACCCATCAACGGCGGCAAAGCGCCAACCACCGCTCCCACCCAAGTGCTGAAGACATTCCTGCGCTTGAGCCAGGTGTACGCCCCAGCATAGAGGGCAATGTTAGCGGCACCGAGAAATGCAGTGATGGGATTGACCATGGTCCAGAGAACAGCTGGCCCTGCAACCCCGGTCACGACAGCGAAGCCGGCTGCATGGAGAGGGCTAATCGCTCGTCGGACGAGCGGTCTCATACGGGTGCGAGCCATCTGAGCGTCGAACGGCACCTCTTGCAGCTGGTTCAGCGCATTTGCAGAGGCTGAACATAGGGCGGTGCCGGCTGCGGTGGAGAGAAGGACTGGCAGAGAGGTGGGTAGGGGCGACAATGCCACGCCGGCCATTGCAGTGAGCACGACGAGCACGGTTAGACGCGATTTAGACAATTCCGCATATATGCGCAGAAGGCGTCGGGGTGTGAGAGTCTCGGAAACCTTGAAAGCTCGGATGGTGGAGGATTGGGGAGTTAATGCCTGTGAAATTGGAGTAGAAGGCGAGGCATCCTGGTAATGAGAACGGTGAAGAGGGCCCCATCTGTCGTTGTGAAAGAAATACTGAGCGAAATTGTTGGCCTTGGGACTGGCAAGGGATGACCCTGCCCGAACTGCAGCACGCGGTCGGTGGCTAGTGCGCCGCAGATTGGCCGTACAGCTACGGCAAAACGAGGACGGCTTTACGGCATGCATGCGAGCTGAAACTGTAGCTGCTGAAGGTGAAAGATCAGTGAGAAAAACGTACAGGAAAGGAGGAAGAATACAACCGACCTGGCGGGAGGAGAACAGCCCGCAGTTGGCGCTCACCAGTCCGCGCTTCTCACGTTCGACGTCCACCATCCTCGACGCCTTTCGTCGTCCACATTGGCCTGCAGTCGGCGCCGTCGTCCTTCACCGATCTACGTCTTACGCTACTAGTCGTCGCTGAACGCTATTTTCTCTGTCATTCGTTGTTACCATGCCCGGCACTCATCTTCTACCCCCAAACTTGCTCAAGCTTTTCGCCCCCAGGCCCCCACTTCCGTACACTCGCCCCCTCGACAAGGACATTGACCGCGTAAAGAAAAAAGCTCTCAATGGCGTCGGCCACATTATCGCCCAACTCCGGGAAGATAAGACTCAGGGGATGCTCAATTCCGGGGAGAGCGAGGGGATGGAGGAGGGCGAAGAGCCTGCGTTCACCTACGCAGAAGAGACCAAGCGTGCTATTCGCAGAGAGGAGCGAAAGAATAAGAAGACGGATGAATACAACATCGCCAAGGAAAATTGTGAGTGTCATCCTGACGCCTCACTTTACTCTTTTCACGCCAGACCCTCAGACAAACCTGCGGACGACCCCGAGGCTGTTGGCGACCCGTACAAGACCCTTTTCATATCACGTCTGGTATGCTTACTGCCTTACTACGAATAGTGCATTTCATTGACACCATGCTCTCAGCATAAAAATGCCACTGACAGTGATCTTCGTCGTGAGTTCGAAGGATTTGGCAGCATTGAACGGGTAAGGATTGTTCGAGACAAAAAGGGACGGAGTAAAGGCTACGCGTTCATCGTCTTCGAGCGTGAACGAGACATGAAAGGTACGCTCTTCGACACACAAACGGTGCATACTAACCCAGCGAACTACGACGATCGTGGTCATTTTTAGCTGCTTACAAGGAGTCCGACCGGTTACAAATAATGGGCAAAAGGGTTTTGGTCGACGTCGAGCGCGGTCGCACGGTAAGAGGCTGGAAACCCCGTCGTTTAGGCGGGGGTCTGGGCGGCAGGCCTAAGCCTGAGCCGCCTGCACCATTGCTCAGCGCGAAGGGCCCGCCCAGTGGTGGCGGCTTTAGAGGCGGATTCCGCGGTGGTGACCGAGGCGGTGGCTTCCGTGGTGGTCGTGGTGGCGGCTTCCGGGGAGGTGGTGGTGGCGGGTTCGGTGGTGGCGGTGGTCGAGGTGGCTTCAGAGGTGGCAGAGACGACTTTGACGGAGGGCGCGGTGGCGGCGGATTTGGTGGAGGCGGTTACCGGTATGTCTCCTGCTCTGACTGCCAAGAATGTTACGTCCAACGTGTTTACCGCAGAGGTCGCGGTGGAGGTATCGGTTATCAAGGTGGTGGTGGGTTCAGCGACCATGGGTACGGTGGTCCCCCTGGAGGCCAAGGCGGACCTGGCGGACCTGGCGGATATGGAGGCCCCGGCGGTGGGTACAGCGGGCCACCCGGCGGCGGTCCTGGTGGGTATGGTCCTCCGGGGGGTGGATATGGTGGCGGAGGTGGGTATCGCGGCGACCTGAAGCGCGAAGGTGGGCCCGGTGGATACGACGATCGTGACTCGAAGCGGCCCCGCTACTAGGAGTGATCGACCCTTGTGGTCACGCGAAGAAGTAGATACAGGATGCCTGAAGGTGACCGTATATCCTGCCCTCTGATAGGGTGTGTAAGTGGGGGGTGGGGCTTTCTTCTGCTGTTATTCCGGTTTGTTTGACATCTTCTAGTCTATCGCATCCGTGCGTAAGTATTGTTGTTGCTCTGTATTCTCTGCGCAGGTAATTCTCGAGGCAAGTATGTATACTCTTCCGGACGTTCACTTTGCAGGATTCCTCCTGTGACCGCAGTTCTGGCAGTTGGAAGGAACGGGGGTTCCGTGGAGCAGTGATACAGCCTGCATCTGTTGTATCATGGGTGCTCAGTACATGGCAAGCCGGTATGCAGGGACAGATAATAAGCCAGCATCCACAGCGGGATGACCCCTCTGACGGTATCGCGCCTCCCTACGCAGAAGGCACAGTCCTTAGTAAGTATACATCGGTAGCACATCTTGAGTTGACGAGGCCATGAAGGTCTCAGTATTTGGCAGCAAGACGGAGCCAATATGTGGGGAGTGAACCACGCGAAGAATGCGTATAATGTCGAAGAGATCGTGGGGGCCATTGATGTGCAACTTGGTGAGTGAGTAGATCACGATGCGGCGGTAGGAGAGAACATCACCGCTGAATGATGCGCAACGTGGTGGAACGGGAGATGAAGTCGTCGTTCGGCATGCCGGCATGATCGGTTTACTCGGGGGCTTCCGTAAAGCCAAACCCACGTGCCAGGACAGCCACCCTGTCACAGTCACGAGCTTTGTGACGACGGCGTTGGATGTGACGCGCTCCCGAATTCCTTTCGTTCTCCAATTTACGTCTAATGTTCTCTCGTGCGCAGATTATCGGTTTTTTTGTCTTACCTCGGGCAGCACCAAGCCATGCCTGGTGACATGCATGGATCACTAGTGGGTGTCACATGCCGCTGGTGCTTTCTTGCTCTGTGCGATCGATATACCATCCGCCGTACCCGGCAATAAGCCCCTTGCAGTTACGTCTCCCGGTATGTATCCCCCTGCTTGAATCCTGTTGATCGTACCCGTACATTAAGTCTGTATGTCCATAACACTTGCTCCCGGAAAAACAAGGTGTCTAATCTTGTTAGAGCCCCTACCGCCACTTTCCACCTCAGCGGAACTCCCACTTCAAACCTCGGCATAAAAGTTTTTTTGATGATCGCGATGTCGCCGCGGCTGCGAGCTCCTTCAAGTGCATGACGACCGGAAGACCCCGTCGCTTTTGGCTTCTGCAGCTTCCACCCCTCCGCCGGCAGAAACCCCATCAGGGCTCGCGTGCAGGTCATACTTTGCAACACACTGCCTGGACGCTTTCGCCATTTTTTTGCGTCTGAGCGCAGTGAGAGTGCGGGAACGACTACAGACGTGTGGTGTTCTCGAGACAATAAGCAACGACACACTCGGCGCCCCATCACGGTACGTGAGTCCCAGAGTGGGTCGGTGGCAGCACAATCAATTGCCGAAGATATAGGTTCGGCAGACCAAGTTAGTACCTGGACAAGTCCTTTGACGTACCTGGATACTTGGACATGGAGGCCTCCCTTTTCCTGAAACGAGAGACATGAAATCGCACTGGATCACCCTCTCCCTTTTAACGGTCAGATCGCCCACCTTTAATTCGCCTTACTATTCAACCGCGGGTGCAAACCTTTTCCCCCTGCTTTCAACCTTTGTCACCTTTGTGCTCAATCGTGAGTGTCACTGTCCCTCTTCACCGCTGAAGATGCTGCACGCTGACGTCTATTACATTTATAGCCAGGCGTCGCCGTGCCCTGCAATTGTTCATTTTCGTCACTGGTCAAAATCTCACTGCTGTCTCCCAATTTCCCCCCGTTCCCAATTTTCTCCCTTGTAGTTGCCATGGGTTGTGAGTCTCATCTATTGTGTGTGCACCCCGGTTTCTCACCTCAACTTACAGCCAGCAGCAAACAAGTCACCAATTCACTAGCGGGTGACGATGATCTACTTCCTGAATCCTCTGCATCTTCGCCGAGTTCTGTCTCCGGCTTTCTTCGCGGTGCGTCAGAGGACACAGCCATATCAACAGACACGGCATCGCCTTCGCTATCGATAGACAATCCCTCGTCAGCGTCCACGCACTCGAAGTCATTTGCAGCGAAGGGGAAGCGCAAACGCTCTCGCGTGACTCCAGAACAACTCTCCCATCTGGAGCGTTTCTTCGCGTCTGACAGGAGTCCTACGGCTGCCCGGCGGAAGGAGATCAGTGGTCTTCTTGGGATGCATGAGCGACAGACACAGATCTGGTTTCAGAACAGGTCCGCTCTTACTCCCATCCTACGTTGCAACAATTCTTGATGACTTGCAATCTCCTAGGCGAGCAAAGGCAAAGCTGCAGGACGTAAAAATAAAAGGAAGGGCCGGTCTGTCTGATCCACCACCCGACACGCCGCCGGAGCTGTGCTCAGGCTTCGACATAGATCTTTATAATCTGATTCACGAGGATGAACGTATGTTTCTGCCGCCGAGCACGTCACAAGTAATTCTTACGGATAGCATGTTACAGCCGTTACTATCATTCCATGTACCGACTTGTCCATTGGTACATGGCGCCGTGTGGCGTCGACTGTGAGCAAGCACGATCTCGTGGGGTACGTGTGCCAGGCGAAACGATGCATCACTTGGTTCATCTACTCTTCTGGGTTGGGCTTCAAGATTGAGATTAGTTTCGACATCGTCGTCGATACCGAGTTCACGAACGTATCCCCAGGTGTTGCCCTTGCTGCATTAAAGTTGTCACAGCCGCCAGCTTTCTACTTAGAGCATTCCGCATCCTCTGGCGTCAACAGCAGCTCGGTACGCTACTGGAAACGATGTGCCGATTGGACGGAGGGAATGCAGGCAACCAGAGTCCTTCGCCATGAAGTAATTGGATCGGAGATGCAGTTGTCTCACATAATACGGAATTTCAGCCCGAACGGAACTGTTGCAGAGGTCTCGCTATATTCACTGCCCCAGCGTGCAGAGGCATCGCCTGTGCTCCACCCTACTTCTTCGCTTCCACTAGCACACGAGGATCACTGCCGCGACGACATGTCACAATACGACGCGCAGTATCCGAATGGCAGTCGACAACGACTATTGGCTGCAGGCCCTAGCCACCCCCTCCAAAATTTCATTACTGCGCCGGCCGGCTGCTCACCTCCCTATCCTGCCGACCTTCCTTACCCGCATGTAGTCAGAACATTTCCACCAATGCATCTGCCTTCCTCTTACAACATGTGCGACGGCGATCGCAAGCCGCCACACTACGCCCTGCAATTCGAGCCACACCTCGGATTTCCACGTCGCATGTCTTCTTTTCCGCATTCCCATGCGCCGATACCTCAGTATCCATCTGCCTGCACGAACGATTCCAGCCCTCGTTCCGTATCTCCTTACGAGTGCCCAAACGACCTGGTCTCATCCGCATCGACTTCACACTCGTCGTTCGATGCGCCATCGTGACGGACGCTGAAGGCGCCGTTCCTCTCGCCACATTAGGGCGATCCGGTGGTCGCATTGCCTGGAGTACCTCTCCCACCAATGCAGGGCTGCGAGAATATCGAAAGTGTCACTATCTCGACATTCGGTTACGACGGAGGGCTGCCCATTCACTACTCTGAAAAGAGGAACACACCGTAGCTCTTCCAATTGGTACTACAACCATCTCTGCTCTCGATTGTCCTCCCCTTGACTTAACATAATTTTGCTCTACGATCTGTCGTGTAATTGTGGGCCTCGTCGTCACATGTGTCTTCTGTCGCACCTCATAAACTGCTCATGACTTGTATTCATCGTAACTTACTGATGTGCTGATATTACGGTTGACCGTTGCTCCATTCGTCTTTCCTGTACATATTATCTGCTTAATGACGTCGTCACTTGACCGGACGAGTGGCTCTTAAAATCCTACCATTCCTGACTGATATGTATTGATACAACGACATAGAATATCAAACACCTCCACATTCATACAAAAATTCATCGTGAGATCATGGAGCGTCCACTGCGAGGAAAAATTGTTAGCAATTCGTTCATGATGTGAGACCAGATATCTACCTTGCAGTCTTCCTGTCTACGACCGCTACTTCCGTCTTCGCCCTGTTGAGGACCTTTTGGAATTCGCTCACACGGTGCCGCATGCGCGAGTGCAAGTACGCCTTGGAACATTTGATGTGGTAGTGCAGATAGTCGCGGAACAACTGGATGTGGCTGATTGTTGACTCGGCCACGGATGGATTGGCGAAATGTCGAGGGAACAGGACAAAGGTGACGTAACCGATGTCTTCACTGACGGTAAGACCGGGGAGATGTCGAATTTCCAACGGCGGATCGCCCGTTGTGTACAGAACTTGCGGTGCGCTTTGAATCGTTGGTAGCCGTCTCGCATCAACGAATTCCTGGTGAGAATGCAGGCAATTCTAGTTAAAACGTAACGGACGTAGACTGTGATACATACCTGCAAAAATACTTTACCAATAATTCGATCCGTCTCTTCTCTAAATATGGTCGAGAAGATCACCGTGACACGATCTGGCGAGGCCTGTACGTAGATGCATTCTTCGTCACGATAGTGCATGGTCATGAGCTCTCCCTGACCACTTCCAGAGGCCTCTAACTGCTTCTGTGCCTTGAAAGCGACTTCGAACGGTGCAGCAAGAGCGTTGCGCCTCAAGGAAGAAAGTGACTTTATCAACGTGTCTCGTTGTTCTGGCCACATCAGGCAAATGTAGGAGTCAGTTCGTCTTACGCTAGACGCACGAAAGCTGTAGGTGAAGATGTGTAACTCACCACCTTCTGGAGGGATTTGTTCGAGATCAATCTCCAGGCTGACATTGTACTCAGGCTCCGGCGCTGGCTTCACCATGCGGCCGTACTCGCGGCTTAACACGTCGCGGACGCCATACTTCACCAGCTCATCCCAGCAGCGGATGTTCATGGAGAGGACAAGACCAGTCTTGCGCTCGGGGGTGGAGAGATGGAACCGGACACCATCGAAGTCCACAAACTGAACATCCAGAGAAGAAGGCCTGCATTTTAACGATGAGTGAGGAAGCGGGACGCGTGGTGCAAACTGACTTGATGAACTTCTCCGCGAGGGTGGTTTGGATGATGTAGTTGTTCGACTGTGCAGCATGAGTACTCAGTTCCATGCGGTCAAATGCTGTGCCAGTAAAGTGGACAATACCTCGAGCAGAATCATGTTGGAGTGCGAGGTAATTGCAAGGATAGCCGGGAGTGCAGGCGAGAGCCGCACGGCGCGCTGCGCGGGATAAGTGCGAAAATAATGCAATAATATTTCGAAGTAGCAGGCGCGGGAAAACGAAGGCTCGATGACCGATCTGAAGAATTTCAGTAGCTTGCAGCGTCTCTCAGCTTCAGCTTCATCGCTCGTACACCAGACCTTCGTATCTCCGTCCGAGATATACAACATGGGCACGTACTCTTTCCAGCTCCCCGGGACCCATAACTAAGTATGCGCTCCATGAACAGCACCCAAGAAGGCACAGAAAATGTCTCTGAACGAGTTCCTTGGTGATAACAGTGAGAAGTCGTCATAATCTCGTCCGGTAGAAATGGTCTAACATCACACGTTATATAGCCTTGGGATCGTGGGCTGACGAAATGGATGCTCTACCCACTGCTCGTAAGAACTTGCATTCTGTGGGAATTCCGAATGCCGATATCTTCCTTGCAGCGGCCGCTCGGTCGGATGAGGACCGTGCACGGCCCTCTGATCGTAGGAGGGACGATTTCCTGTCTTCACATCGTGCGTCTACTTTGTAGTGCCATAAATGTGCCGGTGGACAACCATTTCTTCCACATAACAGCCGATCGTGCCTCCGGGCATTTCCATGAAGATCTTCCCTTGCCCACGGAACCTCCCTTTACTGCTTTCATAGGAAACTTGGCCTTCGATCTTACAGAAGGCGAGTTGGAGGATTTCTTTGGCGGATTACAGGTACATCGAATGTAGTTTTCTACCTTCGCATGTTGACCGAAGTTTATGCCCCGTTCTCAGACAAACTCTGTCAAAATCATCAAGGATAGAGATGAAAAGCCAAAAGGTTTTGGATATATCGAATTTTCTGAATTGGAAGGCTTGAAAGAAGCCTTGACTAAATCTGGTGCAGTAAGTGTACTCCACAACAGCATTCACCAGGTTGTCTCATTTTGTCATGATAGAGCCTCGCCGGTCGCACTATCCGCGTGAGCGTTGCCGAACCTCGTATGTTCTTTGCCATCCTCGCTGTTCACCTAGTAACGCTCCATTCAAGCAAAGGAACGCTCTGGTTTTGGTGGTCACAGTGGCTTCGACGATGAAGCCAAATTCGCGAGCAACTGGAGACGTGAGGGCCCCTTGCCCGATCTGCCTTCTTCCCGTGATGCGTCAAGGAGACGAGATGGCCATCAGTCAATGCGGGAACCCCCTCCGCCGTCTGTATCAGATACGGCCTCTGATTGGCGCTCTTCTCGTGCTCCTGCTCGCTCTTCTACAACGACATCGCTTGACTCTGAGTCCTCATTCAGGCGTCGTGGATCGGGCTTTAAGGAGGGTGTCCCTCATGGGTCAGCCGAAACTGAAGACAGTTGGACCATGGGCAGCAGGTTCAAGCCAACTGCGCCTTCGGGGGAGGGACCTGGCAGCCGGTTCGGAAGCATGCGAGGCGTGGTTCCTCCGCGGGATGCGCCCAGTCCACCTGATGAAGGAGATTGGCGCAGACCCCGCACTCTTTCGCGGAATAGCACGTCACGTACGTACTACTTCTATTGTTAAAACTTGGCCTGGTTGTCTCACATTCGATGTGGAACGCAGCAAGCGGCTCAACACCTCCAACGCCTCAACTGGCCCGCCGCAAGTTAGAGCTTCTTCCCCGTTCTACCTCCGCATCTGCAACTCCTTCTCCTTTGGCGTCTCCGAATCCTTCTACCACCTCAAGTGCGCATCACCGGTCAAACCCGTTCGGTGCCGCGAAGTAAGCAACCTTATAATCAAGTGCTATTATAGCCTGTTCACAATAATAACCGATTAGACCCGTGGACGTGTCCGCCAAGGAGATGGCTGCTGAGGAACGCATCGAAAAAGAACGGGAAACGACCAAGGAGCGTGTTTCGCATCACACTATGTCCCGTACGTCTTCACACACGGCTTCGCTACGTGACTACCCGACAGCGCACGCCACACCCCCTGCCTCTGCTGTTGCTAGTCCGACCACTCCCCCACTCGAGCCACACAAAAGCCTTCCGTCTGCGGCCGGCGCGAATGTTCGACCATCATTCAGCTTTGCGAACGTGGCAGCGGGAAAGAAGGAATACGCTAATGATAATGTAGACGGTGATGAATTGCAAGAGATCATCGAGCAGACAGAGGAGGTGAAGATCTGAGAGGCGACGAAAATGAGAAACTGGTACGGGGCGATCTGCACGTTCACTCTTCCTCGCATCGTACGTATCTGTTGTTCTAATCTTATGTATGTGTGTGTTCTCTTTGCTGTCGACTACAATTACGTGCCTGCACTCAGCAGACCGTTCTATAGCTAGTTCACATCAAGGTTTTTGCCATGCGCGTTGCCGTTGCTGCTTTCGCCCTTCACGGGTGGACCAGAGCTTGGACACTGGAAAATACCTATGGACGTCATCTCCAGGGAATTATCCACCCTATAATTCGCTTAGAGCTCCGATACCACCGGAGACGTCCCTTTTCGGGGGTGTTACACCTAAAGGTTGCCGCCTACCGGCCGGTTTCGGGGATGAATGGCATCTAACCTTGGCAGTAGTCTTACCCACACACTACGCTCGTGCACTCCAATCTGCGCTTAAAGTATGGCGACATGGAATGCCAGAGATGTTGAGTATTCATCTATTTTTGCCTATCGACAATTGTAATAGACAAGAACACCAAGTACATGGCTGTCGCAACGCGTGAGACCCCTCACGGCTCCAAGGAGGCCGGGAAGGTGCCGTTCTCCCTCTGCTCATCCCACCTGGCGGTCTGGGAAACATGGCACAACAGTCAGAAGACGGAAAGGATAAGGTCACAAAGCAGACTCACCCATTCGTCTGAGGTTCCATAGGAACACAGTGCACGCGTATGATCAACAACTGGAACTCGTGTGGTAAAGACCGACTTACTAGGGCACAGCGAGTTGTATGCACGTTTGAACTGCTTGCAGGGTGCGAAGTCCTCGCCCTTGGCAGCGATACACTTGAAGTAGTCGGTGTAGTTCTGGAAGCTGATCAACCAGCGGGGAAATCGCTGAGCTTCGTGGAGGACGAATATCGAATTAATGCGCACCAATGCCTGGTCTGGTTGGTGTTCGGGAAACGAGCTGTGTATTGACTGTGTGAGTGGAACGAAACAATACTTGAATAACGAACACATACCGTCAAAACCGGCAGTCTGCAGGACGTATTTGCTAGCAAAAGATAATCAGTATTGGCATAAAAACAGAAAGAATACAAAGGGAATACCTGGAGAGATCAGACATAGCTAGCGGAGAGGAGGAAAGGTGGGACGAGCGGAAGTTGAGGTCGGTGATGTGACAGCCGTGCAGGCCCGCGTCGGTCGAGCTCGTTCAGTCTCGGCTGCCCTTCTCGGCCTCAGCCGCCATCGTTCCTCCTCCTGCCTTCCTCGAACTCACTCCCATTTTCTGATCACCGTGCTCATAGTGGCGGTCACCTGCCCGACGACATGGACGCCCTCAAGGCAGAAATAGCGACCAAGCGCAAAGCTCTAGAGCAAGAGCCTACAACTAATGGCCCTCGGCCGACGAAGTACATGCGTCGTGGCGAACTGGAGCGGTTGAGAGAAGAGAACGAGCGGAAGGAGAAGGAAGAGAAGGGGGAGAAAGAGAGACAGGAAAATGGGCAAGCAGAGGGAAGGGTGACAGTGAGTCGTTCGTGGGGCCTCTCAAGGTATCTGCAGCTCATGTGCGACTGGAGAACAGGCTTCATCCTCCCGTGCACACACCGATTCTCCTGCTCCTGCTCCGGGTACAAATGCCAGTGCCTCACCGGCACCGGAGTCTCGCCTGTCCTTCAATATCTCCAATGAGGAGACCATTCGTCGCCTCCGAGCGAAGGGCCAGCCTGTCCGTCTCTTCGGTGAATCTGACAAGGACCGCCGTCTCCGATTGCGTGCCCTGGAGCTCATCGAGGAGAAGGATCATGAGCGCCATGGCGGGCAGAACGACTTCAAGAAGGCCCTCGAGGACGTAGAGAATGTGGAGAGGTTGATGAGGGATAGACGTGCTCAGGAAGAAGAAGGAAGGGACAAAGGCAAGAAGAGGGAGAGTAGGGAAGGTAGTGGGTCGGACGTTTTGGACCTTGAGCTCATCAGGACGGACCCGGATAAGCTGTATCCAGTCATATATTACGCCCTCAAGAGGACCCTGAAGGAATGGGAAGAATGGATGGACGAACGCCCCGGTGCGTCAGTAGTTTCCCTTAGGAAGCAATGAAACTAAAATTCTGCAGAGCACGTCAAACGTACGACGCAGGGCAAACTAGCTGCTGCTACGCAGCGGCAGTCCGCCGAGTACCTAAAGCCGCTATTCAAGTTGCTTCGGTCAAGGGTGCGTTTATCTCAATGCCCTTTTCTTTGGCAGATCAACCTTAACGGTCATTGTCGTCACAGTCTCTTCCTGCGGACATGCTAATTCGCGTGGCTGAAATCGTGCATCACATGCAGAAGCGACAATACCAGAAGGCAAACGATTCATACCTTCGCTTATCAATTGGGAATGCACCGTGGCCCATAGGTGTCACCATGGTCGGGTACGTACTCTCTCCTGATTTGTGACGGTAGGAGTGGCGCTGACGCACCCGTACAGTATTCATGAACGATCCGCCCGCGAGAAAATCTCAGCAGACCAAGTTGCCCATGTTTTGAATGATGAAGTCAGCCGGAAGTACATCCAAAGTTTGAAACGGTATTTATTACTTTTGTCTTCAGTGAATGTGCAGTACTAACTCGACATATACGCTCCCCAGATTGTTGACGTTCTCACAAACGAAGTATCCCCCGGAAGATGTTACACAACTTATGGGGTAGCAAGGTCGATAATGTACGTTTTTTGTCACTCTTGGACTCATCGTGCAGACATGTCGTCAAATTGACCACGATCCCCTGGTTAAGCTTCTGAGTGTATCTATGCTGTATTACTTCATGTATATCTCCAGAGTCAGAACCATGTCACAGAGGAGGGAATTGCAACAGCGACATTATAAAGGGAAGTGGTGGGCGATGCCCATTCATCTCTTTCCGCTCTTGCCCTTCTTTCCGCGCATGTCGACGTCTTGTACTGCACTCGCATGATCTGTCGCTTTAATATGTGCAAATAATTTTGTGCGGCTGTCGAACTGCGAGTTACAAATGTTACACCGCTATTTGTCCATCAGAAATGGGATGAAGGTGAACGGAGATTGCGCACCAACTTCGCCGTAATGTTGTCGCCTCGCGCTTTCTTCTCTGCCTCCTTCGCACGCCTCTTCTCTCGCTTCGATGGTTCTGGCTGTGGATTAGTTTGGCCTTCACTGGAATCAGCAGCCTCATCGTCCTGCGAAGGCTTGAGTCTCTGTCCAGACTCGACGGGAAGACCTTCTGGTGCATTACTGGCCTGGCCTTGAGAGCGACTCTTGGTCCTCCCTTCCGTCTTCAGAGGAACATCTGGAGAGGATGTCTTCTTGCCCTTCCGCGGTGATTTTGACGGACAGGCCACCTTTTCCTCAGCGTCGTCGTCATTCACGTCGTCTGCCTCGTGCGTCACTGTAGGAGTAGGTGATCTTGGCGGTTCCTCAGCTGCGACCTCGTCCAACAAAGTGTCTCCGAGGTCATTATCACCATTCTCAGCTTCGTCCGCTTCCAGATCCTCCTCTCCTTCCACATGCAACCCCAGCTCCTCGTCGTCTTCCTGCATCTGTTTCCGCAGCATCTCGACAGCCTTCAGATGTTTCTTGCTTCGCTCGTGGCTGTCCCACGCGGCCTCACTGCGGAAGCTCTTCCCGCACGCCACGCACTCCCACTCCTCCGGGTCCTCGGTGCCCTCTGCGGCAGCCCACTCGAGGTCGGCCGCATCGTCTTCGCGCGCAGCCTTCTGCCACTCCTGCTCCACAAACTGCTGCTCTGGGGGCACCTGCTGTGTCGCGGGGCGCGAGACGGGAGTACGTGTGCCTGGAGTAGAGGTTTGGGATTGACGAGCCAGGTGCGCCTTGTACCGGGGATCACGTTTGCGGATGAACATCACCAAGGACTGCGGGTGCGAAATAAGGGAGGGTTATGTCTTAGTGGATAATTTGTACACACCCTTACAGTGTCATTGTACTCCTTGCGAGCATCGTCGCGAGCCTTCTTATTGTCACGTTCCATGAGCCTGCAAAATCAGCGTTACTTCTTGCGAGAGAAACAGATGCGTAAGATGAATACCTGCGAACACGACGGTCTGGAGCTTCGGATACGTTCCACGCCTCCATCCAGGTGAAGTCCTTGTTCGTGACGAAATTCATCCAATAGTTGTAGAAGGTACGGGCTGCTTTATCCTGCTGACCCTTGGAAACTGGGACCCAAGGCCAAGTAGAGTAGCCAAATGAGGGAAATGGGACGTCGATCCACTGGCACTCGTCATGGGCGAGGCGATCGAAGAGGTTGCGGTACAGTGTGTAGAAACTCTGGGCATCTATCATTCAGCGCGGCATTGCCCACAGAAAGGGGGATGCGCACATCTTTTCCATCGTCGAATCCTTCGTAAATTGTGGTGTTGAAAAATTGCGCCAAATGCCTCACTGTTAATCCACGATCGCGGGCACGAGGTGGCGGTGCGCCTGTCTTGATATCCTCGAATACGGTCTGCGCGTCAGGTTCGGGAAGGAGGGAGGCCCTATGGCTGTCATACCAAGCCCGCTCCTACTTAGGGTAGTCTATGAGTGAGTACACGGAATATTGCAACACTCAGCCGAACTTACTTGCTCGTCACTCAGAACCTGGAATTCGTCTGCGTTCAGCATATGATGGAGCGATCGGTGTAATCGAGCTGCTTGCCTCGTAAGCCTGTTGTATCGCCGCAAAGCGCTTCGTCGCGCCTTCTATGTCTTCTTGGTTCTTGTCTGGATGGTGCAAAAGGGCTAATTTCCGGAAGGACCTCTGCAATGGAAGGCGGAACATTAAACGTTGAAGACTGCAATGAATGGGTATAGGACAGACTGAGAACCTTTATCTCGTCCGCCGTAGCAGACTCGTCGACGTCGAGAAGAGCATAATAATCTGGAACGCCTGGCTCGGCGATGCCTTGCTCTGCTGGAGCGCCACCCGCTGTCGATTCACCGTTACCCATGGCGGTACATTTTTCCTAGTAGTACAGGAATGACTCAGTACACAAATCTATCCAACGGATCTCATCTCGATTCTTATGCACGTGACTGGGAGCTCTGCGCGGCAGCAGGACAACTGTCGCGGTGTTCTCCAGCGCACCTCCACCACCTTCCCACCACCCAAAAAAAAGAGAGAGAGATGTCTGGAATATTCGGATCAGTGGGAAGCTCGTCGTTGAGCTCGCCTTCATCTTCCGGTGCAGTCCTTCCTCGCGTCGTGTGCCAGGCTTCAACTCATCCGCTCCCCAGACATGGCAGCGCGTAAAGAAGCCATGATGAGTTCTATACGCAGTGAGATCGCCCTCGCCAACGCGCAGGAACTCATGAACGTCCGTGTATCCCAGCGTGTCACTCCCGTACTCCACTCACAGCTCTGGTCAGAAAACGAACGAGAAATGCTTCGCCAAGTGTATCACCAAGCCGTCAACTTCATTATCGGGCTCAGAAGAGGTCTGTGCAGTCATGCGATGTGTTTTCTGTAATGTTGACCGAGTTGGGATCTGTCATGCAGACCTGTCTTTCAAACTGCCTTAATCGTTACATGGAAGCATGTGAGTCTATACCCTCGTCCGCTCTTTGATGGGCTCACCCTGTGTCCAGTCAACATCGTGAGCAAAACGTATGTGTCGCGCCTCAGCCGAGAGCGCTTGGACCATCCATAATTGCCGTGGGCCGCCCTTGCATGTATACATTATTTACCGATAATCATACGCACCTAGCTCTGTTTTCGAGCGACCCTGACATGCACCGCAGACCGTACAGTCACCTGCTCTAGTACACAGGAAAATTACTGTCCACGTCTCTTGACCACGCCCTCAACCCGCCCACCAGGTCCTTCACCACTCCCGTTGCGCCCGCATTCCGCAGAGCCTCGGCGGCGAGTTGGGAGTCATTGCCGAGACGACATACAAAATACACTTCGTCATTCGGTGCTGTAGCACTGTTTCCGGCTCCTGCCAACTTCTCGTCCTCGCAAGCTAGTTGAGGTAAGATGGATGAAGGATTAGCTACGAAGTCCTTGACGGGAACGTCTGGTGGGTGGATTGGTGCGCAGGACACAGCAGTAACACACAGAAAGACACGCACTAGTCGATCCTGGCAGGTGGCAAATCCCGAATTCCGTGCGCGGTCGCACGTCAATTATTCGTACGTTCTGTCTCGAATCTATAATTTTCTTCAGGTCCTAGAGACACGATTCGTCAGTCGTTCTCCAGTACGCAGTAAAAACCCAGATACTGACTGTAGCTCGTATGCGGGAGTCAGGACCTCCCTGCGCAAGTCCTCTGATGGCCCAGTCCGGTCGCTCGCCACCGCAAAAAGCGACATAGTCTGTCTCCTCTACTCTGCCCACTTTCTCGCCCTCATTGCCGCAAGCGGGGCACGTTGGCCGCCGTGCGCGAAGTTTAATGCTACGAAACGGTGGCGTATTGAGCGCAGAGAATACGAGCAAGGACGGTTTGCCATCTGAACACCATTTTAGAAGACTGCAGTACTTACGCTGCGGGGAGGAAGTTCCTCACGGACTTACCATGCAAGCCTGTGATTATTTTGATCGCTTCGAGAGCCTGTAGATTCCCGATGATCCCAGTTATCACGCCCAATATTCCCAGTTCCTCGCACCCTCCGGTCATCTCCGGAGCAGGCGGTTTGGGGAAGACGCATCTGAAGCATGGGCCCTCGCCGGGTCCCAGGTTGTACGTGCACAACTGGCCGTCGAATCGCTGTGCTGCACCACTGACAAGGGGACGATGGAGGCGCACAGCAGTGTCAGAGAGGAGGTAGCGGGTGGGAAGGTTGTCCGTGCAGTCGAGAATAATGTCATACGGGGCGAGAGACGCGAGCGCGTTGGTGCGCGTGAGGGCGGTGGTGATGGCATCCACACGGACTCGGGAGTTGATCCTGGACGGGGACTGCAGTGTCAGTGAGAATGGAGGAGACATACTGGAGAGATGGACAACACTGTTTTACGGCTTCGGCCGCAGAGGTGGCCTTGGGTACGCCGACTGTACGTTCGGTATGGAGGATTTGACGCTGGAGGTTAGAAAGCTCGACGACATCGTGATCTATGATCGCTAGTCTGCCTGTGGTACATGAGCGACAAGCAGAACCAAAGGCTGAGGGACGAACCGACGCCGGCCGCTGCGAGGTACTGGAGAGCGGGGCAGCCGAGGCCGCCTGCTCCGACGACGGCGACGGAAGCGTGCTGCAGCTTGAGTTGTCCTGCAGCGAGATCACGACTGTCTGTACTCGTCTGCAGTGTCGAGAGACCTACCTGAGAGACCAAAGCCGTCGAGGACCATCTGCCTGCCATACCTCCTGTAGTCTTCTAGCGGGAGTGCGGCCATGCTTGATTGTCAGGGACAGACATGGTCACTCGAGAGATCAACAAAGGGCACCACTCACTCTCCCCGTACTCGCACTCCACGGACCCCTCTCCCTCACCCGAGTACAGCCAGCACAGCTAGCAACGTAGATACTAATGTCTAGCGTCAGTGCGAACGGCCTCTCAGCTGCAATCGTCAATCATCCCGGGCAGCAGCTGCCCATGGATGGCACGCCGCTCATGCATCCAGGTGAGTCCATCCAGTACTTCGCACCACGCCTGCGAATCGCCTCTCAACAAACCCACCAGGGCGCAAGACCCCCCATCTTCCTTGGCCCGACATCGGCCAGCTCGCCAAATGGTCCGTCTCGTCTTTCAAGTTTGGCTTCGGGCCTGAGTGCCTGCAAGACGACGACCCGGATACCTTCTGGCAGTATGTCGCTAATCTCTACGAGCAGGCACTCACTACGATGGCACACACAGCTCGGACGGCCCACAACCTCACTTCGTGACCATCGAGTTCCCGCGCAAAGTTGCCATTCAGGTGCGCTTTGCATTCTCCCCAATACTATTTTTCTCCGCTGACAATGGCGGTGCGGCCTCGTGCAGAAGGTCAGCGTGTGCCTCAGCTTCCCGCTCGACGACTCCTACACTCCTGCCACGATCGCCGTCCGCGCAGGCACGGGCCCGAGCGACCTGCAGGATGTGCGCGTCGTCTCGCTCGAAAAGCCGGACGGCTGGATCACCTTTGACATCTCCGCCGAGCCCAATGATGACGGCGACGGCTTGTACGTCCAATCCCCGGCCCACCGTCTGTGACTGACATACGCCTGTGTGATAGCAAACCGGTGCAGGCATACGTCCTGCAGATGATCGTCCTCTCTAACCACATGAACGGCAAGGACACGCATGTTCGTGGGCTCCGTGTGCTCGGGCCTATTGAGTAGGTGATCTCGTCCTTCAAAGCCTCCTTCCGTCCTGAACGACGGTATGATCAGAGATATGGTTGATGAAGAACGAGGCGATCCATTCCCCTTCCTTACTCCTCCATTCAAGATGTACGAGTGTATACGCTGAGCTTAGGCAAGTTTTCTGGCTGTTATAGAGTCGAGGTCAAACCGGCTGAAATTTACACCCAATTACTTTCCCAAGCACTCTCTATCTGCACTCCTCTTTCTCTTTCCTGACCCTCACTTCAAATCCCGAAAGCACAAGGCCCGCATTATCTCCCCGACTCTGCTCGCCGAGTATGCTTACGTTCTGGAGGCATCGTGTACACCATCACTGATGTGCGCGATCTTCACGACTGGATGAGAACGCACTTGGAGGCCTTTCCCTTGTTCCAGCATGTCAGCGAAGACGATCTTCGACACGAAGGCAAGGGCACGATCCTAGATGCGGTCTACAGCGGCACCGAGGAAGGGCGCAAGGTTGAGAGAAATAATGGCCAAAAGTGGCTGGCTTGTTTTAGACGGGTGGAAGCCGTTCGGGTATAATTATGTTCTCATTCCCGACTATCCTCATCACCAGTTCCACACCACGCCACGTAGTTCAACTTGTATTCATTGGGTCATCCAGTGTCGTCTCATTCCAATACACCACTGCCTATACCGTGAGAGAGCCCTGTACCCATCGCACCGACCAACATGCTCGTCCTGTTGCTGACAGCGTGCTTCATCTCCTTGTGGATCGTCTGCCCGGCCTCACACGCCAATCGGAATATGTCCGCAAATCGGTCTACGTGTAGTCGCGTCTCCAGAGTCAATAGAGTGACTTTCTTCGTCCTGGGTATGACCGCGACTGTGACATGGGGCAAGTCGTTCTCTTCCAACATATTCAGATCGAGCATTGTCGACGCTGAGTGCACACCACCAGTGACAGCACACACGAAGTCGTACAGTGGGATGCCTGCCGTGGTCAGCGCGAGAGTGGTTGCATTGATGCATGCTTGCAGTAGTCCGCCATCCTGTTGAAGAACCTGGATGTAGATGTCGATTTGAGAGCGGGGATAAAGGTTCGTCTGTACGACAGGCTCGAAAGTCGACTTGACCGTGGACGCAAGCTCAAGCACTCGCCTGGAGACTTGGTCAGATAATGATCAGTTGCATCGAGGGAATAGCGGGGTGTGTCGGGCTCACCTGTCCGCACGAGCCCGCCGACGTCGCTCTCCGGTGCTGAAGGGCAAGATGTTCACTTCCACATTAATGTTTGCACGATCGTGGAGTGTCTGTGAGCGCATCTTGGCTTCCCGAGGTCCGAAAACGGACACAGAAACCTGAGTCAGGCCATGGGTCAAGGTGGCCGAGCCGTCTGCAACGCCTTGCTGAGAGAGCTCTATAGTGATGTCCCGCAGTTCGTACTGGCGTCTTCCGTCTGAGCGATAACCGCCATCATTGAGAATCTCGACTCTGGAGCTCTGCAATGGGAACAGGCAGTGAGGATCTAATACAAGGCTTAATGTTGAAAACAGACCATGGTTCTGGCGGAAGAGTGTCTGACCAACGAACGTCGAACGCCGCGCCATCGACGCGCGCCGGTATGCCGTTACTGCCAATATTGTTCCTCCCGCAGTCCCGCTACCTTCCTCCAAATCTGAACGACGGTATGATTAGAGATATGGCCGATGAAGAAGGGGGCGATCCATTCCCCTTACTCCTCCATTCAAGATGTACGAGTGTATACGCTGAGCTTAGGCAAGTTTTCTGGCTGTTATAGAGTTGAGGCTTTGAAGCGTCAAACCGGCAGGAATAGAAGACAGGTCACCATAAACCGATATACATTACGATAGACATTACAACACATCCTAATAGTGGACTATCTAACAATAACTGAACAATCGCCAAAGCACTCTACAGGATACCTGAGCTAATGCCGTGACTCCAAGAAAATCGAGAAGTGTAGCGCGAAATATGTACCATGTGCATCCACAAACAATGGAATGTCTCTACAGTCCCATTTTGCATTACGAAGACGAAGAATAGTGATATTGGGGGGTGGCGCCCATGCCATGGTGATCGGGATGCACATTTTGGTGACCGTAACTTCCGGACAAGTCACCATTAGTTCGCGCCTGGAAGTTCGTCGGCTGCTGCCACCCAGCGGACCGACCACTCGCCAACTCCTGCATGAACGCCAGCGACTCTGCGGCCGCTTGGGTGGCACTCGCGCTGGGGGAATGGTAGCCGTTAGAGCCTGCATTCCAAGCCCCATTAGTTCCATTAGAGGCGGGCAACGCGCTCTCCATGCCTGCACCGTATGATAACTGACGTTGGGGTATTGGACTCGGCTGCGGCGAGCGTCAAGTTAATATTAAGTCGAAGCGTGGACAAGATACTCACCGCATATGCTGCCGGGATCCTGTTGTTCAAATAAGACCCACTACTCTGAGAATATTGGGGCTGAGAGTATTGAGGTGAGAACTGGGCGGATTGATGAACAGCAGGAGACACAGGTTGCGGTTGAGCATAGCCCATATTATCCGCAGACGAAGGTCTGCTCGGCCACGCGGGAGGAATTTGCACGGCATGTGGAGTACGGGACGTCGAGAACATGCGCTGCTCCGGCTGATAGTGGGCAAACGTCAACGCGGGAGTGGCTTGCTGCTGGCGTGCATATGCAGACTGCGCTGGGACGCCCTTTTGTGGATATACCTGCTGGCCGTAACTCGTCCCATTCTCGACAGCTTGGCGTGGGAGGAAACGCAGGTCGGACGTGGACTGGGCATAAGGATCGCGAGAGTAGGAAGAGGATCCAGTCTTCTGAAGATGCACTGCATCGGCAGCAGCCGCCTGCGTCCACGGGTACTGTTGTTGAGCTTGCGTATATGACTGCTGGTGTGTGCCATGAGATAATCCGTTCGTATTCGCATGTCTTTGACGGCATGCACGGCAGTAGAACTGTTGAACTTCCCAGTTCCTCCTCGGTCGCCCGGCGTGCTGGTCTGCGAGGTCATGGCATGTTATGTGCTGCCATTTATTGCAAAGTCCACAGGACACCATCGGTAAGCCATCGTCCTGACCAGTGATGTCAGCAATCAGATACAGTGGCTCATGAGACACCCTCACATACCAGATTAATACCGCTTTTGTGGCATATCTCGCAATCAAGGATCCAGTCTGGAGAGCGCACACCGCTGGGAGTGGCTACCCGACTCAATTGAACAGAGCCAGTGGAATGGGTGCCATTCGCGACCGATGCTTTAGACGACCGAGATGATCCCCGGTCAATAACGTCGATTGATGCACTGTAAACAACCACTATAATTAGCACCACATAAGGCATTTCCGTCACGAGAAGGACAAACCTCTCGTCGCCCTCTTGCTTCTCAGTAGCGCGCCTCTCTCTCTCCTCCCGCTCCTCTCTCCTCTGCTCCCGCGCCAGCTCCCTCTTTTCCCTTTCAGCCTCTTCTCTCCTCGCACGTGCTTCCACCCGCTTCGCGCGAGCCATCTTCTCAGCCTCTTCAGCCTTCTTCTGCGCAGCGATGCGAGCTTCCTCCTTCTCGCTTTCCTTCATCGCAATACGGGAAGAACGCTTTCGGTGTACGATCGCATCTTCCATTTGTCTTTTCCGATTCGCTTCCTGCGAATTTAGAAGGCAAATTAGACGATAGTGCAACGTGCGCAAAATTGAAACCGTACCTTCAGCTCCGCTGTAACGGCAGGGACGATCTGTTGGGAGAGTACCTTGAACAAGGCTCTCTCCAAGTAATGATTTGACTTCTCGAAGCGCTCCGAGATGTGCTCCCATTCGTGCAACGTGACACAGATCTGACAATGAAGTTAGCCACTAGATGAGCCTCGTCGAACCAAAAAGCATGCCGCACTCACCGTCTCCCATTCTATAAAATCTGCGGGTATCCAAGGCTTCTCTTCCGGCGGAGCTTCCAGCTCTTCTGCACCCGTATCTATACTTGCCACAGCTTCAGCAGCAGTAGCAGCTCCTTTCGCATTTGTCGATCTAGTCTTGCGGCCACTTTTACTTTTACCATTCGGCTGGGGTTGGGTCTCTTCCGGAGCGCTGCTCTCGTGACGACCGTCCACATCGTCCGAAAGTTCGGTCAATACGCTCGAGTCTGCATCACTCTCAAGCCCAGTCCTCAGCAGCTCAGCATCTTCTGAAGGTTCGTCTTCCTTTTCCTTCTCCGACTGTACTCTCACCTCTTTGCCCTTGCCCTTCTTCACGGGCGTCTTCGCGTCCGAATCGGCCGTCTCATGAAGCCACTCGTCCGGTATCTCTTGCCATTCGTCGTCATTCTTTGCCGTAGAGCCCCTGAGCCGCGCACTCGTCCGCGTGCCTCTCGGGGACAGCTTCGCAGGCGACGCCTGGCTCCCGCCCTTCTTGTGCGACCGCGAGCTGGATCGGGCGGCGAGTGCGGCCTGGCGCTGGTACTCCGCAAGCTCTTTCGCCTGTGCATCAAGCTTCTTGTTCGCCTGCAGCTTCGCGGCGCGTGTCGTCTTGCTGCCCGATGCCTGAGGCTGCTCCGTAGACTGTTGTATCCGGCTGCGGGACGCACGGCTGGTGGAAGCCCGCGGCGGGGCGCGCTTGCGCTTCGCGGACCTCGGGCTATCGGAATCGTTGGCCTCTGGTTCTTCTTTGCTTGTGGATGCCACAGTGGCAACCTTCTTGGCGGTGGTCGTTCGCTTGCGCTTGACGCCTTTCGGAGGTTTGGGTGGGACGCGCTGAATCCAGAGACGGTCGGCTGCGGTACAAGGGTCACGAAGAATAACATATGGGAGTATGGAGAAGATACACACGACCGATAAGCCAATAAGCGTTCGTTTTTGCGTCGTATCCAACAGGTTCAATTCGCTATCGAGCGCCAACAGACAGTGACAGTGTGATCAAGCCCGGCACAGCTCAGCACGATGTTGACCAGCAAGATGAAAGTGATACCTACCCATTGAGCACCTTCGTCATCGTCCTTCATAATCGTCCGGAGACGATGAGGATTCTGGAACTGCCATTCGGTGACGAGGTGGAGGGAATCGAGTTTGGTCAACATTGGGAGCTCGAGCCAGTCTTTGCTCTCTTCCTGCTCGTCAGCTTCTGGCTCAGGCGAGGCTTCCTTCTTCACGGAAGGAGTGGGCGGGACGGATTCCAGGTTCAATCCCTCTGGCTTAACAGGCTGCTCAGAGGTAGCTTTGCTGATGTCAGCGGCGCCGGCAGGGTTTTGTCCTGCTTCCTTAGTCGAGTCGACGGCTACGACGTCTCCCGAAGGCTCAGCAATGCTGTCATCGTTGGCATATTCCTCTTCAGTCTGTTCGGGGATCGAGGAAGGATGACGAGACGGCGCGGGAGGTTCAGGACCGATTGGATTCGCTGGAGGATCACGTCTCATATATTGCTTGCGCAGACCGGTCTGCCAGGTGTCGATTCTGACATACGACGGAATGAGGGAACATGCTCATAAGCGAGGAAAAATACTGACGTAATTTTCCGATCCTGGGTAAGGGTATATAGAAGTCTTTGCATTACGCGGGGCAAGTATATTGCGGTAGAACGCGCGAGGTCATCCTCGATGTCCTGCACAGAGGCGATTGGTTCAGTTATGCGCCACAGACCGTGCAGACACGAACAGAGGGGTATGAGGCGCGTGAGCGAGAAAAAAGAAGACGAATTACTGACCGACAACGCGACATCGCTCATTGCGAGTAAGGGTGCAAAGGTATAGAAGAACTGGCTGAACGCGGCCCATTTCCACTGGCGTCTGAGGAGGTGAAGGTTGGCAGCCCACTCTGGGTCAGACTGGGCTAGAAGAGAGGGATCGCGGGGCGGGACGACGGGAGGGGCAGAAGAGGCGGGAGTGGCGGGAGTTAAAGTGCGACGAGGCATCGGAGAGGCAGGCGTTACACCTTTTTAAAGCAACTGAGCCCGGAGATCAACCAACGCAGTTTTTGTATTTCTGTTGCGCAGAGAGCTCGGGTCGAGCAACGGGGAACTCCTCTACGACTGTCGTCTCTTTCGCAAGGCGCGGAGAGGAGAAACCGAGGAGGGCAAGAGGACGGAGCTGAGGTCGTCGAGTGCGGCGGCGACGAGACTCTGAGAGAGAGCGGTTCGGCTGTTTGTTCCGGACAAACAAACGAGCCGCGTTTATGTAAGACGCGTCCTGGCGCTCAGCGTGCTGCAGTGCTCACCATGGCGGGCCCGCCGGATAGCATACGCATCACAGACCATGGAAAAATACACGCCTGGGTCGACTCGGCTCTCCAGCACTTTCAGGCAAGTTTTCACTCATCGCCATACCTCATGCGCCATTCACCTCAATGTTCAGAACAACCCCGACAAGCCATTGACTTTCCATACGTTGCCAGCAGCCAAGAAAGCCGACTCGGGCAGATCTGCTCAAGCTGCTGCAACGGATGGAGAGCTTTCCCCGTCATCCGATGCAAAGAAGGAACGCATGCCTACGTCTCTGTCTACCATCCCCCGGCTCATCTCCGTCGTCGAAATTATCAAGCGCGAGTATCTAAAGACGTTGGACCTTGCTCTGGCAGACCAAGGAAAGCTCTCAGGCTTGCATCAGTATAACCAGGTCGGTGAGCTCCAGAAGGCTATTGCTACAGACGCCCCGGGTAATCCAGAAGAGGACCGGCTGAACGCCTTGGCTCTTGCATTGCAAGGGAAGAGACAGTGAGCTGTTTCCTTCGTGTCCTGGGCGTGTCTAAACCCATATCCAGTCTTCGGCAACACAAGGTTGCGTTTATGAAAATAACCCTCTCACGGGAGGTGCTACCAGACTTGGTGGCGCAAGGATTCACGTACGCTCTTCTAGCCAACCAGTATATATCATATTCTTACATTTCTACAGATATCAACCGCCAGATCTCCGCCAACTCTCCAGATCAGCCAGGGCTCGTCTGAGAAAGCGACAGAAGAAGGCAGGTTCAGAGCAGCCCCAGCTCGCTTGATCACCACCCATTCCTCGTCACATCTACACAGTCAACGCATTTTCCCAAACAAACGCTGCCATCTCCCGCACCATCTCCGGCGTGCACTCATGGCCGACCCCAGGCGCAACCACAACCTTCTTCACGCCCGTGCTGCCCATGTCGAGCGCCTTCACAAATGCACGCCCAGCCGCGTACGGCACGAGTGTGTCATCTTCGCCGCACAGCACGAGCACCTTTTTCCCACGGAACGGGTTCGCGGCGTCGGCTGCGGTGTGTGGCGCCGCGGCGGGGTCGTCGCGCTCGATGAGCGCGCGCAACGAGTCGGGCAGGTATGGCGGCGCCAACGGGAGCGCGTTGGTCTTCGCGCGTGCCGCCATCAAGGTCAGGTAGTCCGGGCATCCTGCGTCGTCACCGTTGTATCTATAAATTCATGCGCGATGCGCATATCACACTCACCGATGATTGGGATGCCCAGTTTCACCCGTGATTCTACTCCGGACATTAATCAGAGACTCTACTTGCGCACGATAGATAGCAGACGGGTATTAACCATTGCGAAGCGTGATCCAGGTAGAGTGCCCGCCGAGGCTGATTCCCGCCATCAGCCACTGCGAGACGACCCGCTCGCCAGCAGGGAAAAGGTACGCAGGTAAGAAGTCGATGAGGAAGGACACGTCCCTCGCCGTCCCAGCTATCCCATAAATAGCAGACGATTAGCAGGGGCACTCTTGCAGGTAGAGCAGATTGCATCTCACTTTGAATGCTATACATGTCGATCCTGCACACACTCAACGGTTCAGCAGGTATATTGGCCAGATACATCGGGATGGGGATACTCGCGCATGCCGCTCGTTCTCTTTCCACCCTTTGTTCGCATGTTCATCTACCAACCGCGAGCCATGATTACGGTGGTCCTTGGTTCATTAATTCAGTGATCAGCCTGTGCTCCGGCCGGAATGGTTAGAACGATCGCACGATAGTGACCACAAACAAGTCTTGTGCGTTCTGAGCATCGCCATTGCGGTGGTCTTGCGTCCATCGCAGCGTCGAGTGGGCTACCCACTCGATGCTCTCTGCAGAGCTAGTCCTCCCATGAAGAATGAACAGGACGGCGACAGGGTTCGCATGATCCGCTGTGTTCTGCGAAGAATAAACGTTGGTCGACAGTCCACCGACGTTGAATGTCTGCTTGGAGAAGGACATGGCTGAAGACTTATAATCACTCGACGACTTGCCAATCAAAGAGCCGACGGATATCCTTGCGAAGCTGACGAATCGATATTACTTACGGAAGCACTGACAGCTACTACGGTGAAAGCGTGAATTTCAGCGCATAACGAACCAATGCTTGGCAACTACAATTTGCACTCTACCAAGAAATGCAACAACGAATTACTACTGGAACCAGCATGGATATCGGAATCTAACATCATGTCCTGAGACGGCAACGCGAGCGATAACACGAAGGCGAGTCATGGATCGGCAGAAAACGCACGGAGACACAAGGGGAAGTTCACCACCGATCGTTCCTTCCACCGTAACCACTGTCGTGGCCACCGTACCTGCCGCCACCGCCGCCGCCGCCTCCACCACGACCGCGACCACCGCCACCGCCACCATACCGGCCTGAAACAAGGACACAATCAGTAATGTTTGTGCGAAAGTCCAAGACAGCACATACTTCGACCACCTCCGCCGCTGAACATCGACATTTCCTCGAGTTGAGGGGGTACCACAGCCTTAGCCTCCCTCAGGATTGCGATCAGGTCACGAGCCGACTTCGCGTTATCTGTGGTGAAGTAGGTGTAGGAGGTGCCTTTCATACCAGCACGCTGTGCATTATTTATTAGGGTTGCGTATGTAACGGGTTCAAGGCGATACTCACTCCTGTACGACCAATTCGATGGATGTAGTCTTCGCAGTTGTTGGGGAAATCATAGTTCTGGGCGAATAAGACTCCAGGTCAGATTCCTGACCTGTATGACGAACAGGAAACTTACGATGACGTAACCAACATCCTTCACGTCTGCGTACAGAATAGACCAGCAGACCCAGATGCCACACAAACCGTAAAAGATCACGCACGAAAGTCGGCAGGGGATAACAGAGAACACATAGAAGAGACAAGATCACGGTCAATATTGAACTCGACAGGCAAGCATAGATCACAAGCGCTTCGACAGCAACAAAATCCACACAGCAATAGTCCAAGGGTCACCTCAACCACGAAGATCGAGGCAAAACGAGTCCGAGCTACAGACAGGCAAATCTTGTACGCGCAGAGGTGTTGTCGAGGTGAGCGAACATTTGAGTCCCAAGAATCTGCCGCTCAAATCCATAACCACTACCATATCAGGAACGGTTAGAACTGTTCGTGAATAGTCAACCCGAGCACGTCCCGCAACTGTGAAAGAAGCGAACGCAAACGGGTCCACATGGGGAGGTTAGAGGGAAGCTGTAGCACATGATCAGGGGAGTCCGCTGTATTCTCGATGCGCGTGTCGGATATCTTGGCCTGCCTTGCTCCGGAACCGCCCAAAGACCTGTAAAAAGTCGACTACCAACAGTCCGACATGGACTACATGCAACACGGAAACCCGTGGAGATGCTGTCACAGAAAAAATGTAGCGCTTGTCATCGGAAGTGAGAACATACCAAGACCACGGGATGCTACATCCGTAGCAATGAGAATCGGTGATCGTCCAGCCTTGAATTCGCTCAGTACCCAATCGCGTTCACGCCTGCACTGAATTTCAATATACTACATTATATGCAGAACATCTAGACTCACTGTTCCTTGTCACCGTGAATAGCCAAGGCAGGCCAGCCGTCCTGGCGGAGATACTTCGTAATATCATCTGCGACCCTCTTCGTTCCCACGAAGATGAGGACCTTGGCGTTCTCCTGGCTGATCTGGTCAAGATGCTTAATCAACTTCGCCCGCTTCTCAAATTCGCTGCAAATTTCAACGATCTGTTGGATGTTATGATTGGCGGTGAGCTCCATAGACCCAATGTTAACTTGGATGAAATCTCTCAAGAAATCCTGCATGACTGTGAGTGACGCAAACAACATAATCCATAAATGGACGTACATTAGCAAGTTTCTGGACATCCTTCGGCCACGTAGCGCTGAACATCAGAGTCTGTCTGTCAGGTCGAATTTGACCAACGATCTTTCTTATCTGGGGCTCAAAACCCATATCCAACATTCGGTCCGCCTCATCCATGACCAGATAAGTCACCCGGCGCAAGTTCGTTTTCTGCGTCTCCAGCATGTCGATCAGCCGCCCAGGAGTGGCAATCACAATCTCAACGCCTCGTTGGAGGTCGCGAATCTGAGGCCCCTTGGGTGCACCACCATAAATTGCAGTGTTGCGGATGCGAGAGTTAGATCTACACAAACGATTATGTCATATTACTACAATGTACAAAATCTGGAGAACTCACCCAAACTTAGTGCACTCTTGCTGAATCTGAACAGCAAGTTCACGAGTGGGAGCTAGGATCAGGGCGATTGGACCATCGCCGGGAGCCAGGAGAGGTTGACTGCAAGAAGTATTCTACATCAGTATTTAAATCAACGCAGCGTGCTGCGATACCTACGCATTGATATGCAACATAGCTGGAAGAGCGAAGGCAATCGTCTTTCCACTACCAGTCTGAGCTATGGCAACAACGTCGTGACCGCTGAGCGCCATTGGCCATGCTTGACATTGGATGGGAGTAGGGGATGGAAAGCCTTGCGCGCGAATGGTCGACATGATATACTCCGGAAAGCCAATTTCGTCGAAGGAACTGACGGGTCTCGGAACGTTGCGACCTTGAACCTATGGAGAGTCTCTGTCAACATCTTGTGCCCAGGAACACCGCGCAAACATCGCACCTTCATCTCCTTTAGCTTTCTGAACTCCTCGACTTCTCTATCGCTACGAGATGAGACACGCTTGTCTTCGATGTAAAAGTTTTTTTCGAAAGTGGACAGCTTCTGAGAGCCCCAATCAATGGTGCGAAGGCCGCTACCAAGATTGTTCATGCGGTCCTCGTGGCCTCCACCCCAGCCCCCTCCACCGCCGTAGCCTCCACCATAGCCGCCGCCGTAGCTCTGCGGATGGCGACAATAAGCACTTGAGGAGGCACGAGTATACATATTACTAACCATTGTTGATCTGTAGAAATGGGAGGAGGGCGAGCAGAAAGCTGCAATATGTGTCGACGGAGACACTAGAAGGTGGTGGGAAGAGGAAAAAGACTTGGGGTTCGGTTGCTTACGGCAGCCACAAAATGTTTCGTATAACATTATGTAATCCATTATGTAAGACAACTCGGCCCAGTACGCCGAAAAGTCCCGGAGGAAAGGGTATAGAAGTGTGTATGGGTAGCGAGTGTGTACTTTATGTTGGGGAAAGATGTGCGGCAAGTACGTAGACAAAGAACGAAGGGGCGCAGCAAACGATAGCAGGTAACGCAGCAAGATTATCGGATCCTAGTGTTGGAGAAGTGACAGGTGTGATAAGAGTGTCAGTGCGAGATGCAGAGGAGACTAGGGCATCTGAAGTGAGTGCCATACAAGTGGAAAGAATGGATAACATGAAGTGTTGCAAGACGGGATGCTGACGGTGCTGAGAATACAGTAGGATGTGATGAGTCTATTATGAGAGAAAACGAAAGGCAGAAACATAGGGAAGAAGAGAAAGAGAAAGCGTTCATTTCACATGACGACGCACTCCTCTCGCTTCCTCTTGCGAGGAGATAACTCGCCTGGCGGATATCGCTTCCGCATTTGCCTCACGAGGTCTTCAAAAACTATTGAGACGTGCCAGTTTCTCTTAGCAGAGGTCTCGTAGAAAGGGAGGCCCCAGCGCATGGCTAGGTCTTGGATGGTACTTCGAGAGACTTCTCGCTCGTGAGTCTGTCCATCCTCGGGTAAGACTGCGTAATCGATCTCACGAATGTGATACGCACCAAATCCAATTTGGTACCAACAACAACAATTGGGACGGTCTGTGAAGAAAGTAAGGAAAAGGAGACGGCAGCTGAATAGCAATCTGGATGCGTCACCTTGTCACCCTTTATCTGATAGATCAGTTGTCGGATATCGTCAACATCTTTGAGGCTTGCTTCCTGCGTGAGGCTGATGACAATGTGAATATGTCCTGTTGGAAGACGACAAGCACGTAGCCGTACCTGAAGACAAGTAGAAACCCACGGCCACCCTTGGGACAGAATGGTACAGGTGGGAACACAGAACCGCAAAGCTTGTGCGATTACTCACTTTGATATAACCTTCGTTAAGAGCCGTGAATTGCTCCATACCAGGTGTGTCGAGGATGTCGAGCTATATGTCACCATGGTCAGAGTGCTAGTATCACAACGTGAAGTGCACGAACCACACATGGCACGCCATCTATGACCATGTTACAGGTGTACTCCTCTGAAGGGAGCAAACATCAAGTTTATGGAGCGCGACATGAGGCGTGGTGCATACCTTCGATGGTCGGGTTGTACTGCTCGACGAACTGGTTCCGCCCGAAGCGAACGGTCAGAGCAGACTTGCCGACACCTCCAGCTGGATGGCGCATGATGGATTAAGTATTGATAAAGGGGGGTGGAATGTAAGGGGAATATACCTCCGAGGACGACTGCGTTGAAGTGCTGACGGGGTGGCATTGCAGGGCGGCTCACAAATGAGATCTGCAGGGCCGATGGGAGGGTAAAGTACAGAATGCCCGAAGACGAAAACGCGAGCTTTTAGATCGATATGCACTGCATATGGATCAGGTCGTGCTCGCCAGGCGGTTGAAGACTCGAGGATGGAAGCAGATCGTTGACCGAGTGAGAATCTGACCGGGAACCAGAGATACGGCGGAACGTTATGCCTGTGCTTTCGGGGGGGAACCACCCATGCATAGTCATATTATTTCGTCTGCAGTCGCCCTATCATCTGAGAACGAACTCGACTGGTGAGGAGATGCGCTGCGCTAACCTGAAGCGACGCTCGCAGAGGTATCCCGGAAATTGTATTGAATATAACAAGAAGCTTGCCATGGCTTTCATTTCGGTAAACAAGGTGGAAGGACCCCGGACATCGTGCGTTTGCCTCGAGGCTCGCATCCTTGCAGCCGCGCGCTAACGCTGACACCTTACTACTGCCATGGTTCGTCCTCGAGTATTTTTTGATATTTCCATCGGCGACTCCCCCATCGGAAGGTCTCTGCTTTCTCCTATTCGCGTGTCTAACAGTAATCTGATCATCCTCTTCTCTTCCAGGGTTATCTTCGAGCTCTTCAACGATACCGCGCCGAAAACATGCGAGAAGTGCGTGTCCGTCCATCTTCTTCTCGCTATCATAACTCATCGCGGACACATTCGCCAGCTTTCGCGCGCTATGCACGGGCGAGAAAGGTCTTTCTCCGCTCTCAGACCGCCCTCTCTATTACAAGAACAGCATCATACACCGTTCCATCAAGGACTTCATGATACAGGGTGGAGGTATGACCGACTCAAGGCGGGTCGCCTCCCAGTCAGCAGCTCATCAATTACATTCCTCTCTCGCAGACATCACAAAACGTAATGGCATGGGTGGAGAGTCCATATACGGTGGCTCCTTCCCGGACGAGGACCTGACTCGTCCGTTGGACGCCCCAGGGTGAGTAACGCTCGCTTCCCTACCACTTTTCGCCAAAGATGCTCACGCCTTCAGGTTGCTATGTATGGCGAACAAGGGTCCGAACACGAACGGCTCCCAGTTCTTCATCACCCTCCGAGAATGCCCACATTTGAATGGTATGCCTTGTTCACCGGCTCCCCACTATCAGACACCTGACAGCAGCCTCTTCAGGTAAACACGTCGTATTCGGAAGGGCGATCCGTGGATATGACGACGTTGTCGCAAAGATTGCCGATGTGCCAGTGGAAGAGAAGGATCGGCCCACAGTACCCGTGACGATATCTAACTGCGGCGAGCTCATGCTGCGCGTCAAGGTGCAGTCACAAGAGCCCGAACGTGAGTGCTCTATTTGTCCATTCTTGGGCTTAATTGAACTCTGTCTGTAGCAGCCAAAGCATCTGCCGCGTCGGGCTCGGAAAGCGAAGGTGAGAGCGCCAGCCAAGAAAGGCGCAAGCACAAGAAGCGGAGACATCATCGCTCCGAAAGTCAGGACTCCGATGACCGCGCTCGCAGACATCATCGCAAGGGCAAAAGTCAGCACAAAAAACCCCGCTCGAAGTCTCCTTTGTCCGATCGGAGATCAGCTGAAGGTGAGAAGGGGCCGCCACCACCGGAGGAAGAGACGGAAGAACAGTATGATGCCCGGCTAGAGCGTGAAGAGAAGGAGCGATTGGAGGAAGAAAGAATACGGGAGCTAGAAAGGCTCAAGAAAAAGCTTGAGGAGACGCAGACCAAGAACGGTGTGCGCTTCAAAGGTGGGCTTGTCCCCGGTTATTCACACTATCACTCTACTGATCATCTTATTCAGGACGCGGTAGAATGAAGTTCATCGATCCAGAGCTGCATCGCGGTCATAGAGATGACTGAAGAATTGACATTTAGCCCGCTTCTGAGGCATATGGACGCGTCGTGATTATAGTCACTGATATGCCTTGTGCTACAGCAGGTTGAACGTCACGCTTGTTTGCGAGGGCACTTCCATTACTTACCCATCCTTGGATGATGAGGAAATATATCCGCTCAAATTCCCTTGCTTGTCGGCTAGGTTCATCCCTTCCAGAGCATACTATGGCTCACAAGATCGTCGGCATGCCCCCCAAGTCAGCAGTAACGCAAAAGTAACGCATATGTCACAGACAGTAACGCGTGCCGTTTTGTTACTCCGCTCGGCAGCCTAATGCACGAAGGTCGTGACCGTGTCGTTGTGAACGCCACCACTTGAAACCCCGCTGCCGACGCTCGCGGCAGACTTCGGCCAGTGACTAGCCAGCGTGAGTCTGCGTTACATTGGAGGTCAAGAAGGGACTCCTCCAATACCGATCCGTTTGAGCTCGTTCAACCTCAAGAATGTTGTAGTACTATAAAATCATACATATAAGAGATAACTAAGTGGTAGAGGCAGGGGAAAGGGCTAATTGAGCGAGGTGCCGACTTGGGGGGCATGCCGACGATCTTGTGAGCCATAGTACATTGTATTGCAATAACTCTATTGTACACATTGAGATCCGTTGGCAGTCCGACATACCGCTTCACTTCTCTGTAGCATTAGCACGTTCCAATCAACCAACCAATCTGTCTGATGCAAGGCCGGTACGTACTTGAGCCCATTTTCAGCCACTTCGGAACTTTAATTTCCGATTTTCCTGAGGTACTGGGAGCAGATGAAGACGCAGCCGTCGAATTCTTCACTGATGATGTCTCCGAAGGTAACTCGGAATCAAAGTCGGGTGGGATAGGCAGATCCTCCACTTGGGCCAGTATAGATGGGTCGAGTGGTGCTGGGACATCCACGTCTGTGTGAAGATGTACAAGTCAGGACACTAACCAGATGCAGCGTAACTTCGACGCACGGTTGAGGGCATCGTCCTCAAAACGCAGCAGCAGCACCGACGACGGAGCCAGCTGCAGCTCTGCCAGCGATAAATTGCGCACGTCTGGATCAGAAACCTTGAACTCGCGTTTCGGTGGTGTCTGGTCTTCCCCGTCAAAACGAATCGCATGACTACGCATAATTGCCCCAAGAGCAAACACCACGTACATAGCACGAACTTGATGGGTCTCACATCCTCGCGCAGCGAGCCCCGCACGAAGGCGTAGACGGAACGGATCTTGTCCGTGGACTGAAATGTTTTCTCGAGCTGGCTGCGATCGCTGAACTTGACTCGGACAGCGGTCTGCAAGGCAGAGCAAGCTCAGCGTGAAGTACTGACATGGAGCCTTGCTCAACGTACATGTGGCCATCTCGCTCGCTTGACCTTGTCCTCCGCATCGCGCATAGCTTGCGTACGTAGCGGAGCATTGGTGAGGGCCTGAGTGCGCGCGGTCAGAGACGCCTGGGCAGCCTTGAGATCGGCATAGGTTGGTGTGAAGTACGAATCGGGTAGCTCTCCTGAAGGCACATATCCGACAGCGCCAATGTAATGAATAGCAATCTCAGCAGAGATGAGTAGACACATACGAGGAGCTGCAATAGACTGTGGAGCTCGGTAGTACTTGAACTCAGGTTCTACAGCAACAGGCGGTTCGCTGGACTTGGGTTCTGTTGTGCTCGACGTTGGCTGGGACGACATGGCGCCACGAGTCGATAACAGTTCAAGGGGTAGTACAGAACTCAATCTCCTTCGGTGCCCACTGCGCGACGGCTTAGCTAAGAGATTGACGCAAACCTTCCAAATAACCCGCTAGTAAAATAAACATACAGTGATGACGCTTGCAAGACCGTAAACCTCCAAGACGAACCCTTAATCCAACAAATGTACCCAAGCGCAGGCGGCTGAGATGAAGAACAAATGGTCAGTAAAGAAATAAGTGGGACAGGAATGCGAAAGGAATCAGAGGTGTAGGAGTTGTCTCATACCCCCGCCTCAAGACGCACAGGCGAGTGCGCCCCTTGACGAGAACGAGGGCCATCGAACGCAAATTACTAGAGTATACATCATAACAAAGAAACTCGACCAATTACTCACCAGAAGAAGGAGTTGAGACTTGAGTTCAACAGGCGGGCGGCTGTACGCAGAGTGCTAAATATAATAGTGCATTGACAGTTGTTTGGCTCCTGTGGCACCATCGAGAATTCATGCCCTCAAGCTCAAGCTCTGTAACTGACTTAGACTCGTTTAAATGTCGCACAACCACGCGCACGGAAGCTGTGGTGATGAGAGTCACGACCACGACCACGACCACGATATTCCTGAGACGCAGGGTCATCGAGACAATTTGTTCTCTCGCATCAACCGCGACCATGTCGTTGCTCTGAATGCAGCATCTCCGGGAAAGGGTCCTGAGGTCATTAAACCATGGAACGAGAGGTTGGACGAAGAAACAGTGCGTGTTGTTTTGCATACCAATGGATTGCCAGGTTGTCGGCAAGAATTAACCCACCCTCTGCCAGTATATTGAGTCCGACGCAGATGATCAGATGTACGTTTCTTCTTGTTGAACGTGTGAGGAAAACCAACTCAGAGCAGGATAATACGCGTTCCCTTCACCGGATCGGTCAAATTGCGCGCTTTGCTACTCAAAGCAGGACCTGCCGATCAGACTCCTGCTAGAGTCGCCTTGGTATGCTTCTAATCCATCACAATATGTGGTTTCGACGTACTCTCCACCTCCAGTACAGCAACTTTGAACATGCTGATTTCTCTGCACTTTCTGACCGCAAACCGACCCAAGAGTTTAGTATCGCCCAAGGCAGGCAGGTTGGCGAGTACCACGTAATGTGTGCATTCAAGGTTTGTGTCGGAATAGGCTGAGTGCTCATCAGCATTCCCTAGGCCCGCAAAATTCCCTACCGTCACGTCGGTAACGCTTTTCTTCCCTGAGTCACAAGGAGCAGACAGCACCCGAATCTACTACGTCGGGTTTTTGGGACAGTGGAGCGAGGTGAGGCTTATCTCACAATCTTTATCATTTCGATCTGATCTTTGTCATGAGCAGCGCAAGAACGAAGCTGTTGTCACGGTCTACGAGGCTCAACCCAACCTCGCCGACCATGAGAAAATTCAGGGCATGGACGCAAACTTCAGCCTACCGTAACCGTGAATGAAGCCTGGTAAGAGTTGGTGGAGAATGGGATAATCAACGAAATTTGTACTTGTATTCTGTGTATCTTCTACGTGGACAATCAGCAACTCCAGTGTTACTCTGAGCTGTCAGTGCATATGAAGACGAATATGGGGATGCATCCGTCATGATGTATTACTTACTTTGGCAGATTCTGCACTCGAAACGTACAGTGGCGATTGTGATAGTACATATATCATGCATGTAACGCACTCGTACAACGTCTTCCGAAACAAGATCCAACATATAGCTATGTTGTAAGAACATCTTCATGACCCTATGCCACCCCCCATCCCCTCTTGGTTACGTTGCATGAATGACTGCAACATCTCGGAGCTAACGCCATTCGGTGCGCCACCGCTCGCAGTCCGTTGGTGCATGCCCACTGACATACCGAGAGATTGCGTCTGAGGGGTGAAGTTCATCCCCATAGGATTCGATGGTTGTTGCTGAGACGCTGGGTTTGCGTACGCGTTCATGACTCCGCCACCTTGTCCCTGTCCTCCGGGGAAGAATGGTAACGCCGGATTCATATTAGAAAGAGTAGGCGGTTGTTGTTGGCCCGACTGTGTCTGCTGAATATATTGAACGAGGAATTGCTGCTGCTGCTGTTGCTGAAGTAGCTGCAGTTGTTGCTGCCGGTGTTGTTGTTGCTGGTGGTCCAGCTGAACTTGACGCTGATGCAATCCTTGTATCCATTGAAGACGCTGGTCCCTCGTCAAAGACTCATACTGTGCCTCTTGCTCGGGGAGTAGCTTTGCAAGCACTCGTGCAATACCCACAGGGCACTTCGTCAACCGGATACCACAGACACTTGGCCTCGGTGTTTCAGGCATTCCACTCGGCTGATAGAAATATGCAGCTGCGAATGCAGGTCCCATCGTATTTGTCCTCAATGGGAAGATGAGCAGGCGCATCTTGGGCAAGCCATTGGGACCGCCACACATACCGACCGCATACTGACGATGCATAAATAAGACGATGTAGTGCGCGCATGAATGAGAACGTACCCGTTTGTCTATCAGAAGGTTCTGGAGCCCGCCTAGCTTGTTACTGTTTGCTTCATGGTCTGCGATTTGATTTGCAGGAGCAACTTGAATGAGAACAATGTCTTGTGTTTTCAGCCAATCTTGCAGAACCTCCACGGGTACTGCCTCCCTTTCCGACGGTGTTAACGTCAGAATGGGTGGCCAAAATTCAGATCGCCTGTAGCATCATCACTCGGTCAAAGTATAGACAATGACAGGAATACAGACACTCACCAATGTTCAGCATGGTCTACAACACGGATGACTACTTGTGTTTGGAATTCATGCTGTGATTCAAACCCTCGCCAGATCAAAGTGCGATGAGCCGAGTCAGGGACAATCTGTCTGCTTTGTTGCGGACCCGCAACACCTGGGACCGATGCTCGTTCGGGGAGTATCTGTGTGGGAGGGATTGACGATTGCGCGTGTGCCCTATTCCGCTGCTGTTCGATTAGCTTCTGCATTTGTGTCGCTATTTGCGGTGAAACGCTGCTAGGCAGATGCATGCCGTGAGGCAACTGTTGCCCGCTGACGGGATTATTGGTATTGTGAGCCGGCTGCGTGGATTGCGACCCAGACAACATAGGCTGGGGAACCCCTTGCACTGGAGGGTTAGAAGACGGTAGTTCGTTGTTGAGATACGGACCGGAATCAGGGGAAAATGATGTGGATGGCGGCATCTGAGGAGCTGCAGGAGCCGGCTGAAGTCCTGCGTTTCCGCTTGATATAGAAGGTGGCACGGATGTATTCGTGCTGTTGGCCACGTTTCCACCATGTTGCGTCTGTGAATTTGGTTGCTGCGAAGCGGCTTGAGCTGCGCGTACGTGAAGTTCCACGTAGTACTTGAGCTTGTTGAACTGCTGCGCTTCCTTCTGAATCTGGGCCCTGAGGGCCTCCGCCTCCTGGAGTCGCCCAGCGTTGAGATGCTCCTGCATCAACTGCACCCTCTGCTCAAGGTGCGTGCGAGTCTGCACCAAACGGTCCCTCATCACCTGTAGCTGTTCCGGGGAGACACCAGTAATCCGAGGCACCTGAGCACTGTGGGAACTCCGTGATGCTGGAGAACCAGAAGCAGGAGTAGAGGCAGAAGCAGGAGGGGGTGCCGGCATAGGTGCAGCGGCAGGTGCAGGTACAAGTGCGTGATGAGTGAGATCAGGTTGTGGAGAAGCGTCGCGATGTGGTGCTGGTTGTGCTGATTTTGAAGACATCCGACCGGGATGAGATTGGACACGTGTGCGCTTAGCTTCTGGTGTGCGCTCTGCGTTAGGTGTTCCTTCATGTGACCGTTTGACGCCTTGGAGCCGAAATGAGCCTTAAACATGTTTAACAGCCGACAGAATTACCTTTTTGCTGAGGCGACGGAAAACCTGTTAGACGAAGAGCATGGTGAGGTCGTACCACAAACCAGGGTTTCTGAGACAATCCGACTGCTGCCTGATTTTAGATTGGTAGAATGTCAATCGGAGTATACACAAGCACACGTACAGCTGTGTGAAACTCTGAAAGTTGTGGCAACTTCGCCAGAAGGATATTACTGTAACTAATTTTCCTCTTGGAAGAAAGGCGATAAGAGTATGCTAACACGCAGTCTCTCAACTCACCTTTTGCAGCTCCGACGGCAAGGTGTTCCAATTGACCGAGTCCATGCTGGGGGAGGTGTTCCAGAGAGGTTTCTGTGCAGAGTCCGGAGCCCCTGCTGCAATGTGCACTATATGACAAGCCGACGCCTGCGGTCCCAGTAAGACCCACAACGACCAAACTAACGAGTCACTCACCTCCACCGACTTCCGCAGGGTGTCAAATAGCTGCAGGAAACTGGTTCAATCACCGAATGACTGTATACGAAAACACTGTACCTCCACTGCGGCAACGAGACCTTCCAGCGCAGCCATTCCCTTAGAGCCTCCGGTACCTGTCTGGCCTATGCCCATCTTGATCGGGTCCTCGTGTAGGTCTTTTACGAGAGTTGTAGCAGACCCGAAGAACACTCTTGCCAGCAAAGGAATAGGTCTCGTTTCCGCAGTAGCATAACTCACGTAGCCAATGAGCAGCTAACCGTCGCCGCAATGAGTGGACCGGACAGAATGGACATGGCGATGCACGCACCTTGCGGCTGGAAGATAGGTCACTCATACGCTGCAACAGGGGAATTACATATTCCTGGAGAGTCTGCGGCCACTCTGAAGCTAGGAGGTAGGATGAATCCACAACACAAACGACAGCCGCGATGTCAGACATGTCGACTGTGGTTAGCCCCCAAGCACGCTTCGCTGGGAAAAGTGCAGGTAAGTCGTAGATTTAATCCAAGAAAATTGCCAGAGTGGACACGAGCTCAGATAGAGCAATTTAGTCCAAGATGGGTGTTCATGTAGCCCACGGTGGCCCACAATAATATTAATATTCGGAAACGCGTCACAGCACGTGCACGTGTCTTATAATAGACGAATCATGCATTGTCCAGCCACTGCATCGCAAGGTATACGTAAGATATAGTGTGTAATCTGCTTTACAGAAGGACGAAGGTGGTCTGCCCTGCACCTTTTAGTCACAACGGTATGTTGCAGTCCGTGGTCTCCAGCGAAACGCGTCTGTAATGTCTGTAATGTCCGTAGACCGATGGAAATGCCCTTCAAGCAAGCACTAGCAGCGCACCACCAACAACGCCGACGAGAGTCCCAGCTGCAACGCCATACCATGTGCGCTCCAGACTCCACCGCGTCATCGCACTGTTCGCCGGGACGGTGTGGGTGCCGATCATGGACAGCCAGGCACTGTACTGCAGGACAGATCCGCTCGTAGTTGGGTTAGGGAGGGTGGTTGGAGAGAACGTCGGTGTGAATACGGCAGGAACCGCGATGGTTTCGCCTATGAAGTAAATTTAGCATCTCCGCAGCTGTCATCTGAGGAAAGGTCATACCCGCAGCATTTGTGGTTGTGTATGTGTACTGCGTTGGGCCTGCTGGACCTTCGTTCGTGGGTGATTGCTCAATCGGTCCTTGTTGAACTGCTCCTGGAGTTGTCGTTGCCGTCGCCGTTGGCGTTGCAACGGTAGTACTCGACGGTGTTGAACTGCTGGAGCTGGATGAGAGACTCGATGAGGAGGAGGAAGGAGTTGAGGAAGTTAGAGCGGATGAGGACGAGACAGTTGACCTGAAGAGGTATGAGCGATATTCTGCAAGCATCATAACGGAGGACGTACAGTATCTCAGTTGTTGGTAGACCCAGAGGGTCCAGTGTGAGGACTTCGACGACCGTGAAACCAAGCCTAAAATACAGCCCGTAGTCGGTAAAGTCGTTCTCCCTTGGAGGAGGACTCAACTCACGGATTAGTGGTGGTGAATGTCTGCGCATTCACGGAAAGCGCAGAAAGAAAGAGAAAGGCTACTGGTAGGAACGATGCTCGCATGATAGAGGTCGAGGTCGAGGAGCGTGTCTCGGACTCGCTCTTTCGGTCTGTGAGAGAGTGGCGGGCCAGACACTTCTCTTTTTGTAAAAATGATGTCTTATCTAGACGCAGAACTGGACCAAACTCTGAGTTTGTGTGGGAAAGAAAAGGATTTGGTCCTCCCTTGGAGAAGATTCGGTTGCTAAAAAGGGAACGAAATGCTGTCATCTCTTTTTCTGTTTCCAAAAGTGTTTATGATAGATCGATTGCACTCGGGCGTGCCAGTGCAGCTCTTACAGCGGCTCTATTGCAGTGGTCTTCCGAGGCCTCCGCCATCTCTCTCCTTTCCTACATTTCTAGCCTGTCAACGATATTTTTCTATCTCACATCCCCTCTTAGCAAAGAAGTCCAGGATGCCCCCGAAGAAGGCCGTAGTCGAGAAGAAAACCTTGCTCGGGCGACCAAGCAATAACTTGAGGATCGGTATCGTAGGTTTGTCTCGCAACATCTCCTTGCTTTCCCGACTTATATGCAAACATTTTCTAGGGGTGCCCAACGTGGGCAAGTCATCGTTCTTCAACGTACTCTCCAAGACCGGTAAGCAGTCTTTGGCTTTGCTCCTTCTGCATTGCTAAGATGTACTCTGTTTACTTTCAGACTTGGGTATTGCCAGAAATTTCCCTTATGCAACCATCAACCCAGAAGTCAATTCTTCAGCATTGCTTCCTAACGCTGATAATTTTGACACCCGTTCTGCATGCAGGAAGCGCGTATCCCCGTGCCAGACACTCGTTTCGAGTGGCTTTGCGACGTGTACAAGCCCGTCTCCCGCATTCCCGCGTTCCTCACATGCATCGACATCGCCGGTTTGACAGCCGTAGGTCATCCGTGGTTTTCTGCATAACGCTGTGAGTAACTCGCTTTCTGACAGGGTGCATCGACCGGAGCTGGCCTGGGCAACGCGTTCTTGTCGCATGTGCGCGCCGTCGACGGTATCTTCCAAGTCGTGCGCGCGTTCGATGATGCGGAGGTCATTCACGTCGAAGGCGAAGTCAACCCCATCCGCGACATGGAGATTATTCAGACCGAACTCCGTCTGAAAGATATCGAGTGGGTCGAGAAGGCCCTGGACGGGCTTAAGAAGAGCGGCCGTGCGCTCGGTAACACCAGTCTAGCAGACAGGGCAAAGAAAGAAGAAATTGTGGGTGGGCGTGTGCCCGAGGGAGTGACTCGGGGCTGATCAATGCTTTAGGCCAGTGTGGAGAAAGTCTACAAGGTTTTGACTGAGGAGAACAAGGATATCCGCAAAGCAGAGTGGACCAACAAAGAGGTACGGTAATTTCTTTTTCTGCCCTCCCTACTTCCTCCATGCGTGATGATAAAGAGCTCGTTTGCTCGAACATTAACCCAGCTCGTCGAGGCGGGAGTAACGCCCCGGCCTTTGAGATAATGATATACTCTGATCAATGCACTTTCTCCGTCCGCTCGGTCTCCTTTCGTTAATGTCTTGAAGTGTTTTCCTTTCCTTCTACACACTTACTTGTCCACGTGCTTTGGTGCATCTATCTTCTCCTATTCCGTTGGCTAACTCGTCGTTTCTTCTCAGGTAAATGCCGTACCAATCACGACTTGTTGTGTTGCCGCATTCTGTGATGACAAAGAGCCAAAGGCTCGAACTAACCCAGCTCGTTGAGGCGGGAGTAACGCCCTAAATGCCAATGAGAGAACGTCCATTCTGATCCTTTTTCCTTGTGGTTTCCAAGCTTCAATCATGCAGCATCATTTGTTGTTGTGATGCAGCTTGCTGACTGGTCCATCCAGGTCGATGTCGTCAACGGACTACAATTGCTGACGGCGAAGCCTGTCACGTACCTTGTAAACCTCAGTGAGAAGGATTATGTCCGAAAGAAGAACAAGTGGTGCGTTCGCTTGGCTACAGTGTGTACACTGATGCCGAATAGCTACCGCTGGCAGGTTGCCCAAGATCAAGGCGTGGATTGACGAGAACAACCCTGGCGACCCACTGATTCCGTTCTCTGTAGCCCTTGAGGAGCGTTTGGTGAACCTGCCCGAGGAGGAAGCAGCCGAGGAACAAACAAAAGTTGGCGCACAGAGCGCACTGCCGAAGATCACTCAAGCTGGATATTCAAGTCTTGACGTGTGTTCGCCGTTTCGGACGATTTGGTTACGTTTGCTGACCCTTAATTTTTGGCGTGTTGCGCAGCTTATTCGCTATTTCACCTGCGGACCGGATGAAGTCCGAGCGTGGACAATTCGAAGAGGCACAAAGGCTCCCCAAGCGGCTGGTGTCATCCAGTACGCTTTTTTTAATGAACGCGTGGTGCATCACCCCTGACAAGGATTTGTAAAGCACGGACTTCGAGAACAAGTTTGTGTGTGGTGAGATCATGACGTTCGACGACCTGAAGGAGTACGGCAGCGAAGCGGCCGTGAAGGCGGCCGGCAAGCTCAGGCAACAAGGGAAGCCTTACGAAAGTAGGTGTTTCCAAGCGGAAAAAAGCGTGGGCGGGTTACTGACAGTTGAGATTGATTGTAGTGGTGGATGGAGATATCGCATACTGGAAAGCTGGAGCATGAGGATGTAGACCGCACCTGGACCTTTTGTTCGCAGACGAGACAATAGGAGGAGCAGTTTGTACATGTGTTGATGTAGTATGATGCCGATTTACACAAAGATGCGTAGATTAATTCGGAGCTAATGAAAGCGAAAATATTTCGGGGGAGGTGATCTGGCAGAGCGACGGACCGAGCGTGATCAATCGGTCGGGTACGTCTCCGCTTGGTCTCCCAAGTTTTTATCCGGGGCCAACTCGTCCTCTCCAAATAAGATACCAGCTGTCCATTGCAACATGCCTCTCTTGCTTTTATTCCACCACTCTTCATGTCATAAATAACACTTCCCTCTCTCCACCATGGCCGCTTCCCTCTCCTCTCTTCCAATGCACGGTCTCTCCACCTGGTCTTCACTCACCTCGGCCATGTACCACACGCCTTCTGGGCTGCTCTTCCCTCGCGGGTCATGCAGGCCGTTTCATCATACACGGGAAGACGTGGATCATGTCCTCCCGCAAGTTAGCTGCTCCAGTGGTCAGTATTGTCGTTTCCCTCCTTCTGGTGGCCTTCAACTGAGGATCGTGTGGCTCCAGGTGAACGGTACGGCTCTATCTGCGCTTCGCCCCTCCCCGCCGGGCCCTCGGCAGTATCTGGCCCCCAGTATTCGTACACGCACGGTGGTAGTGTCTGTCGATTGGCTTCGCAGTCCTATCTACCAGTGTTCGATTGGTTAGGCGATTGTCAGCAGCGACCATCTCAATACATCGTCGAGAAGACTTGCGAAATGATATGCTACCTGTGGTTTTCATCGCTACCTTCATCGTCGTCTCCATCAAAACGAAACTGTCCTGACCCTCAACAGCCTCAACCTTACTTCCCTCACAGTAGTTCCTCGACAGCATCTCTGCAATTTTCCGTCTCTCCCGCTTTCGTCCGCTTCATGCAAAAGGTCCTGGAGACGACCCAAGTCAGCCAATCTGTTATCGTGCTCTCGCTGCATTATATATATCGTATGAAGGCGCGTAATCGTTTCACCACCGGTCAAGCCGGCAGCGAGTATCGAGTTGCTTTGGCGGCCCTTATGATGGCTAATAAGTTTGTTGACGAGTGCGCGCATTTCCCGTCTGCTTGTCGTTCCCCTTTTCTGACCATGCATTCCTCAGTAATACATACACGAACAAGACGTGGGCTGAGGTATCTGGCATTGGCCTAGCAGAGGTGAACAAGATGGAGAGGGAGTTCCTTCTTGGAATCGATTTCGGCCTTTACGTGGACGAGACGACTTACGATTCATGGCTAAACCTGTTGAAGGGTCTTACCATGGCAAAGGAAAGAGAATCACAACATTGGCATCGTTCTCGGTGGCGCGCACGACCTACACCCCTCTCGAAAGCACAGTTCCACAGGTCCACTTCGATGTACAGTCCCACTTCGCACTCGACGTCGCACCGTGCCCGTTCTTCATCGCCGAGCCGTCGTTCTGCTGGCTGCAAGTTTCCTTGTTCTGAGCCTCACAAACAGCACAATGTGCCATACGTTTCTTCGTCGCTGTCTGGTTTAAAACGTACTGCTGCGGACGCATTCTGTCTGGCTCCGACTCCCCGGTTACCCGCGAGCAATTCTGTCCCCCGGGTCAACGGTCTTCGGCTGGAGATCCCTCAACCGGACCTCTCCACAAGGGAGAAGCCGTCGCCTTCAGAGCCACTGCAGTTACTCTCAAAGCTGTCGTTGGGTGCATCACCAGTCGATGGTGAAGTTGTTCCAACTTGGGCCTCGAGTGCTATGCAGGAGACCGTGCCGCAGACCCTGGTCTCCGCCTACCGTGTTGATGAGAGAATTCAGCATGCACCTCCTCAGGTTCGTGTACTTGTACCCCATCTCAGACTCACGCTGACATGTACTTGGCAGAATCTCTACTTCTACACTCTGGCATGCTCGCCAATGGAAGAGAGGAATTCACGCAAAGCGAGGTTGCATTACCACCAACCACCTGCGCCGATACCGACTGTGCACCACATTCACGCGCCCGTGCCTATGATGGTGCAATCTGCTTCAGCCAGCCCTTGTGACGTGCATAGACACTTACCTCCGGCACCCGTCCTGCCACCGTTCTCGGAGTTTTCACGCGAACCTCCATCATCATACGGCGTCGACCTGGCCAACCAACCACCCGCGGATCAGGGACGCGCATATACCCTGCAAGATCACTCGATCCCCTCCGCGCCATTCGCCAACGCTGGACCCCCCGGCTACCAGTTTTACTTTAATTCTTCCCCAGACGCCCCGTTCGCCCTCTACAGGCCGCGCGGTCGCCGTCTCTAATTCGTCATCCTTCGGACTTTACCCCATATCCGTACATTGTGCATGCATGTTTTCGCGACGCCCTTCACGTTCAGCACCAAGTTTGTATCATCATTTTTGCATGTATCGTATTGTGGTATATTCTGGCATAAACCTTATTATACCCTCGAGCCCTGTGGTAGGTAGGTAGGGTCTCGGACCTTCTAGTCGCGATCTAGTTAATGAAATCGTCGCCGCAGTCTTATGTCCTCGGACAAAAGAAATGCCTGCGTGGCTCCAGCCAGCGCGAATGATGGCTGCCTATTAGTGGTAGACGGTAGTTCCGACGGATCCGCGTGGCGTTGGTAGTTTGGAAACAGGGATGTCATAAATGCATGTCATGGGCGGTGAAGGCGCAGGTGAGACTAAAAGCTTCGCATGCATTCCTGTTGAATCACCTCGTGTTCTGATTGATTTGAGACTCTCCAGCTAGCGCTGACCCATTGTGGTTTTTTGCATCTTGTACGGCTAGCATTCCTCCGATTCGCATCGAGAAGGGACGGTACTACATGTAGTCTTACTAAATCACGTCGATTAGGTTTGGGGGCGCGTTCAGTGTACATGAGGCTCGCCATGGACACAGAAACATCACTTGGAGATCAGAAGACGCCGAGGTTGCAGAATGGACCACTCTAAACCAGAAAGAGCCGTGCATTTCAAATCGCAAGACTAGCAAGAGAGGCATGGCACTACGCGGAGTAACCTACACATACATTAGCGCAATAAGACAATGAACGCTTGAACGCTCGAGAGCCGGGTCGTGTGGTCTGAGCAGATAGAGTAAGCAAGGAACAAGGGTATCGTCGTACACGTCGTAAGTAGTATCGCAGCGGAATAGACTGTCCGAAGAAAAAAACACGCATGATATCACCGCCGAGCAAGATTTGTTGAACTGCGGTTCCTGATGCCGGCCCTCAGATCGCTCTGCAGCCTCCCGTCTTCATCCGGCAACGCGTAGCTGTTTCTCGAGCCAGGGCCTCCCGCTATTCCCGCGCTGCTGATATTCTTCTTCGAATCCAGCGAGAAGGCACTAATGTTGCTTATGACGGGCATACTGAGACGTCTGATCCAACCCTTCGGTTTCTCTGGCCGGAGCGTAATTGGCGGCGCCGGAGGACGGAGGCTACGCAGGGTGGGCGACGGGTCGGCACTCCTGTACTTCGAGACGGAGCATGCTTCGCAACCGCAACTCGTAGAATGATCCGTAGGACGATAGACAGGAGAGGAAGGTTGGCTAGACCCATAATGGCTTGCAGATGCGGGATTAGAAGACTGCGGCACGAGATGGGTGGTGCTATATGAGTACATTGGATAGCGAGGCTGTAGGGCTGGCGCAGAGGAAGGTGAATCTGGCAAGGGACGTGGGGCAAACCTTGTTGCCGTGCCGCGCGAACTGTCGCTGGTGTAGCCATCAGGTCTGCGAGCATTGACGAGAAGAACGCGCTGCAACTCCAGTTCTTGGGCCCGATGCTCGATCTCCCGTTCTTGCATTCTCAGCTCGTATTCCTTCTCTCGGAGTTCCAGCTCTTCCAGTTCTTCTATACGTTGGCGACGGAGGTTGATATCGGAAACAGGAAGTGCAGCGTCAGTAGGAACGTATCTACCAGTTGCGCCACTCCGTTCTGGGAGTGAGACGTCTGACACGCGACCGGTCGAATCCAGAGACATATGACGCCGTTCGTCACTCGACGATCCTGCTCCAGACCTGGGAGAGGGTGGCACAGCACCAGGCGACTCGTATCTGACAGCAAGATTCGACACGCTGCCCGAAAACCTTGGGACTTCTTTCCATCGTGGAGAAGTCGCTCCAGCCTAGAGAAATGAATCAGACAAGGGAGCTAAGAGAGATCAATTCGCAGTTGCATACCGTGCGAACATATCGATCGCGTAGGGCGGCGACCGTGCTGCCATTGCTCTTGCTGGTATCGCTCCTCTCGAGATTTTTGGGACTCGAGATCTCCCGGTTCGAAGCTTTGGCTTCCTCCTTGGTCACCACTCTCGTCGGATGCACTCCGAATTCGGCGTCACCCACGTAATCTCTAGTCTTGTACGAGCCAGAAAGGTCACCAGGAACGGAACGATCGCCAGAGCGAGGCTTCCCCACATCGGCATTCCTGGGAAGCGGAGACGGTGGCTGTAAAGGTGAATGCTCGGTAGTAATGTTCGTAGTCTCTGTGGTCAGGGTCATCGGCTCCTCAACCGCGTTTTCTAACCTATTCGCAGGAGCCGACGAAGAGAGCGCTATTTGTGTAGTAGTGGACATGTCAGGAGGAGCCAGCGAACCATCAAAATTCTCCGAGGGTGACTCTGCTGTAGGAGAATCCGTCATCCGAGGGAACGGTGTCAATCCCGAGGATGTCCGCGATTCAGACTGAGGGTCCGCCTTGGTTTCGGGTGTAGTGGTGATGAGAACAGCATCAGAATCCCTCCTTGTAACAGGCGGAAGCGGGAAGTGGGTGGGAGGAGAGGGGAAGGAAGACAATGATGTTATCGACGTTAGAGTGTCGTTCTTGTTCTTGCCTAAAGCCCGGGACTTGGCATCCTGAAGCTCCCTGAGCGCGTCTGTTGGTGGATTCGACGTCGGCCCTCCAGATTCTGGCAAGTACTGAGGAGGTGCACGAGGAGAGTGTCCTAATGGTGTCGCAGCTCCGGAAGTTTGACGGGATGAGTATTCAGGAGCAGGTATGCCCGAGGAGGGCACCGCCAACTCTTGCCCTACTCTGCGATCACCTTCCGACGTGTTCTGTTGGCCATAATTCTGTGCATCTGCGTCAGGCAAGTCTGCTGGAACAGCCCCTGACCAGCCGCCTTCACAGAGCGCGCGCCATTCTCCAAGTCGGCCAACTGTTGGAGAGAACTTCCGAACACCTTCACAAGAGCGCAACCACTCAGAATCTGCAACCCGAGAAAGACACGCCGCCAATGAATACATGGTCGAGCTATGACGCTGAGTGACCAGCAAAGCGTGGTTGCTGGTGGGAATGACTCGGCGTTCAACTCTCTTGAGATGAGGATGGTGCTTACTACTTCTCCTGGTTGACTTCTGGTCCCAGAGTACCAAGAAGATTCATGTACCGGGTATGCTCCCCTGCTGCATCTTGAGGATTCCGCTTGGACTTCTTCTCGAACAGCTGGCCTGCTTGCTTTATTTTCGCATTGGCATTTGCAAGGCGATCATCGTGCGCCCTCTCCTCTTTCTAGCTTGGGGCTCAGTAACGATGCGTACAACCACTGGAGCATCACTGACTGCAAGCTTCTTAAACCACTTCTTGACTTCGGCACTTATCGCATCGCATTCCTTGTCTGCACTCTTCGCAAACTTGACATCTACCTCAGCCAAGGTTTCGAATACGGTTGCACTGGTATTGAGAGCATTGGCTGGAGGACAAGATAAGTCTCAGGGGTGATCCGCAGGGCGCGATGCATGCGCACCAGGTATCTCAGCGACACATTTGGAGCCTGCGGTTTCTCTGATCGCCTTGGCGAGTTTCTTCTGAAGTAGAACGATAGCATTCGCAGCCTCGCAGTAGTCGTTAAGGATGTTCACAACCACTTCCAAATTCTTGCAAGACTTGTGTATCTCGTTGCGGTCCGCGAGAGTCGGGGAAGACGCAGTAGTGGTCATGGCAGTGGTGAAAGGTATATTATCAGTAAGGCATCGTCAGTAGTGGGTATAAGGGGTATCTCGTCGTCGCCGTCGCCGTCGTCGCTGCTGGACGGCGTAAGTATGCAGTCTCAGCCTCTCCCGCCAAACACATCCAAATCGGGCAGAGTATAAGAACGTGGGATCGCCGCATTTGCTCCTTGCCTTCTCCCACCTGCTCGGTGCGCTCGTTGAGATCAGTGCACAGGTGCCGCTCACACTCGAACAGAGACTACATTGTTAATTGACATCAGCCATCCTAGATCTCTCGGGCTGTCTGCACACTGCAGGCCGGTGGTTGGTCAATGACTGTGATCCTCCTGGTGCTGGCTGTGAGTTCCTCCGCGTCTGTGTCTCCTTGTCGTCTACTCATGTTACTATAGTGGCATAGTCGGCCGGTTCCTGGTTGTAATCTCAAATCAAATACCCCACAGCGTAGCACCTCTTTGATTAGTGGACGCTCGCAGAAGAATCCTGGAGATTGTGAAGCATACGGGATTCAGGCATCAGAAATGACGCCAACAATACCGCGTACTGTTTCTAGTCACTGTGTGGTGTGGTAGCTCATGTCTCTTCCCCTCGCTTTTGCATTGTTACTCACGCATGATTACTAGACCATGCAAGCAGTACTGTACCTTAGTGACCTAAGGTACTCCTATTCCCAACCGTCGCTGCTGGTGCTGCTGTCGATTCGGCACATTAGGTATTCATCTCCGCATTTATCTCCTACTTTCAGCTCATAAGTACGCAGACCAGACGATGTGTATGACGAACAGAACATTGTTCGTTTCGCCACCGATGCGCTTCCGCCTTGGGGACGTTTTCGGATCAGCGCGTATTTACTGCGGAGTCGACTACTTGTCCGGACTTCGTGATCAGCGTGACATGGCTATTGCCATGTCGTGGATTTTACAGCCTTTGGGTCATTGCACCTCGCACACTCCCAGCGGCATGAAGCTATTCAAATCAAATACCCCAAGTGATATCCGGGCAGTCTTGCACGTCTTATCCAGTTGTCGTTTTGCGTATATCAAACCGTCCGAGCGACTACGAAGCCCGGCCTTCAAACCCTTCTTCGAGTCGTTGCGGTGCGGCCTTAACTTGAATGCATAGCCTTCCGGCTTGCATTCTGTCGGGCTGCAACCTTCAAATCAAATAACCCAGTACCCTTGGCTACGCTTATCTCCCACTTCATCAACAAGTCCAATCGCATTTCTGAAATGATCGAAGGGGCAGGTTGTGGAGCAGCGGAGAGGGCATATTCTGTACGATTATCGTCACTGTAGTACTGAATACATGCGTGGTCTTTCCGGAAGATGCTTAGTTGCCTCGGACAAGAGCGTAGATTTCTCGACGCCACGCCTGAGGGACGCCTGTGAGTCAGTGCGACCTGCCTGTAAGCTTCAAAGCTTTTACAAGAGCTTTGTATCTTGTACATGAAGCGTGGAGGAGTTAGAGCCTCCGTATCTCGAGGCTGTAGAACTATGGAAGCGACATCTGGTGTACTCTACCATCGCCACCTCCTCCATAGCACTGATCAGCATCTGAGATCTCAGGTTACGTGGGCTAAGATGCACATAACGATATACAGGAAGTTTGGGAAGGTCGCAGGAGTCGCCATCGGCGGGATCTGAGTACGGTAGCAAGCAATGGCATAACTCATATTCAAGATCTCCTTCCGCTAGGTCACCATCGAATGCCAGGACGATATAGCAGTTTATCGTGAAATCCTGTCTAGCGACGCCTGCGGAGACGATGAAGTACACCGCATAATGGCAATGGTCAAACCTGCGAATCTATATGAAGGGATGGTCAATTTGGCACTACTGGGAGCAGTATGGCACCGATATCCCTCCATTCGTACCGAACTGTTTCTTAGCCCAGATTATGATCACGCCCGGGCACAGTGATATTCGGGCACATGTGTTCAGGCCTTTGCCATTGTATGGCCCAAGCTTTCAGGTCACAAAATCCCGGCCGGAACAAACTATTCAGTGGAATCAAGAAACCCGGCAGTCATCTTTTGCCGCTTGGAAAACTTTCTCCAATGCATATACTCAGTACCCAGGAGGCACGGAAGGCATACCAACTTCTGCACCTTCAGTCAAGTCCCGTCTTGGTGGTCGAACCTCTGATATCGGGCGCTCGACACGCCATTCTTCCTCAAGGAACTCCCCACGTGCCCCAAACTGCAGATACTCACCTTGCATGCATCCCCCATACGTGCCAAGCCGTTTCGAGAGCCCTTCGGCACCATGCAGGACTGGAATCTGAACCCGTGCCGCTTGCGCGAGGACTGTTGAAGCATGTTGATGGACAGCTCCGCCGGAAAGTGGTGGTACACACGGGATCCAAGGATACCATCGGATGGAAGCAAGTGCAGAAGGCGTGCGGTGAGCATGGCATGGTACTGGGGCATGTATTTACTGTCTTCAACTATGCAGACGGGTGGTCTGCTCATCACAGCCTGCGGTAGACGTATAAGGTTTGTGTCATTGTTTGACCATGGAAAGCAGATAACATGCCGCCCACGTTCTCGATTGACTCAGGCGCGTGTGTCACAAATCACTTTCATGAGCGTCACCGTCACACTAGGTCCTCACAGCAGATTAATACCCTTGCGAAGGGTGCAAAAGCAGCACAGTACTTGTCCATGCGCTCAGAGATGAGTATTGAGGTGCTCGCGTTGTCGTTCCTACTTATTAAGTACTTCACCCCGGATGTACTAGGCTATCGCGAAACAATGCCCAGCAATTTACGTGGACTAGCAGGATATGCCAGTGTCGCGACGCGCACTTGGCCAGCGATTCTCAGCTGCAAATATTTGCGGCTTATCTGTTCAGTAGACAGAAGCTCAGGACACTGAGCGATGTCGGGGTCCTTTCTTTCCGTCGCTCCCACCCGTCATATGCTTGATTCATTACCAACCATGACCGTGACATAGTCTGCCACACCTCCTGCCATAACGTACAGTATATCCTTGATTCCTTCAAGCTTTCCTAGGTCCTAATTGGAATTCATGGAAGTCAAAGGCCATGCACACATGCTCTCAGACTGGTCATATCATAGGCCTTGAAATTGCGACAAGCATCTTCCTGCTGACATCTGTGCGTCCTTGATCGCCGTATGCATGCCCCACGTTTACAGAGCCTCAATGCAAGCCCTATTTCAGTTCGCGCTGTAAACTTCCGCTGTCGGGAGAGGACGCTGCATAAATACCGGAGACAAGCTGGCGTGTCATTAGAGAGTGAATACACGCTTTCGACGTCTCAGGCGCAGTTCAGTCATGATTCCTGCCAGACAATGCTCCTTCAAGCAGAGTACATACGGTGTAAATCCAATCGTTCCCTCGGAGACTTATGTGACAGATTTCAAGGATTTTGCCGGCTTTCGTCGAGATAGGAATTCGTCTTGAGCATTTCGCTAAATGATACGCGTCGGATCACGTGACTTTGAGCATCGTTCAAGTGTTTAATTGTAGCGTTCATGCTCAGTGCTCTTCGCGGAACCTCCCCCTTCCTCCTCTATCCGAATCAGTCCCCCTTCCTCTTCCCGCACATAAACCACACCACGACACTTGACGACCATCTTGTTTAACTAACTACTACGGTTTGTGTGTGGTTTCTCGCGTGTTAGCGCGTCTTAGCTAAGAAGCTGATACGGTTTCTCCGGCAGGACATCACCCACGTTCTCTACTGACTCTTCATTCCAGCATTCACTATTGATAACGGCTCAGGGCTTCTACCACGTATCGCCTTGCGTTTGCCATGTCAGGACCTACGCAGGTGCTTCCATCCTGGCTCACACTATCTACAACGGTCATCACGCAGCCGGACGGAAGCGTTTCCACCTCATCCGCCACTCTACAGCTACCGCTGACATACTATGGACCAAGCGTGAGTGCTCTATTGGTCTTGGTGTCGGCAGGATACTCTTGTCGCCAATTTAATATTCGTTGCCAATTGGTGTTGCCCATCCTATTTCACTCCAGCTATCTGAGTAATGTGCTTTAACACCTCATTATTATGTCCTGATCTACCCTTGAAGTTCTATGCTTATGTTTCCTGAATGTGTACGTGGTGCAATCGGGATGAAGATGTGTCGTTGAAGTATGTCTGGAGCTGGAAAATCAGCCCGCCCGCTACCACTAAGATGGAATGTTCATGATCCTTTACCGTCTTTGGCCGATGCGCCAATGTTGGGAAACAAAGCATACACAGAGTGATAGCTGCGCATTTTCTCTTCCAGTATGTGCAGCACTTGTACGCACGATGATATCGCTGTCCATTTTATTTTTGATTTGGTTTTCCAATATCGTTGTGCTCGAACAGACTCCTGTGTCACGTCTTTCTCTACGTTTCCATGAAGACAAATCTTGTCTCCGTCTTCTCCACGCTGCCAGCGGCTTACAATGCTCTCTTACTACAGATACCTCTCGGCACTGACGGGTCTTGGACATGGGGTGGGTTGACGCCGCCATCATCTGCCACGACAGCACCGCCTACTGCCTCCTCGTTCTCATCGTCTTCAACCGCTCTGTTGACTTCCTCTGTACCAGCCACGTCATTGGCCTTATCTACATCTTCGTATACCTCCACTCCCCTGACGTCAGCATCTTCTCCTTCCTCTTCCTCTTCAAGCGTTTCGCCTTCGGCATCCTCCGTGACTACATCTCACTCGACCCATCTGTCTCGCTCAGCTATTGTGGGTGCTGCAGTCGGGGGTGCCTTGGGTTTTATTCTTTTACTCATTGTGGTCTTCACTTTCTGGTGCTTGCACCGGCGCCGTGTTCGATCTGCTGCCGACCCCTCGACGCAAGGCAGTTCAAGTTTCTGGAATCGGCAAACGACACTACTTTCGCGGGTAGGCTCTCGGCGACAAACACCAATATGGACCGGGTGGGAGGTTTTAGATCCCGATCCTGACGAGGCAGTCAACGACGAAGCCGCGAGGTCTCCCGGAGAGGGCTCCCCTCGGGGCAGTGGGGAGGAGGACGACCCGTTCCTTACCCGTCGAAGTGTCGCAAGCGGGCCTGACGAGATGACCCAGGCAAAGACTGGCACAGTCGCGCTCGTGAGCTTGCCCGCTGCTGCTGCCGTACCCGGCGGAGCAAGCCCCACGCGCTCGGAACCCCGGGCGGGCGGTCCGATCCTGTCTCGAGAGGCCTTACTGAGGATGGACAAAGAAGATGCACTACCTGAGGTGCGTGTCATTGAGGCCAGTCCTCACGCTACGCCCTTGATGCCGCCGCCTCCGCTCGGAAGGGGACTGAGATCAGCCCACAACCCGTCCATTCGCTCGATAGCTTCGAACGTGACCGCCGGATCGGCGCAAAACCGGTCTGTGGCCTCTGAGCCGTCTATGGGCAGCTTCTCGGACCCACAGGAACATGAGTCCGCTGAACTGCTTACAGCACGCCGAGTCAACGTGGGTGATCTGCGTCAGGCGCGGTCGACGGAACTGCCGCGCCTCGGCTCCGAAGAGGCGGGTTCCAGCGCCTTGGACAGGCTAACGAACATTGGGCGGTTGAGCTGGTTCAGGCGGATGTCGTTCCTTGGGGCTGGTGCTGTAGCTGCACACGGTCCGCGAAGCCCTAGTACTCCCCCTGATACGTACACACGCACCCCTCCCCGTTCTCACTCTCGCTCTCACTCGCGTCCAGTCTCATGGGCTCCGCTTCCAACTCATGACCCCACCGGCGCCGAGTTGAGTTTGGGGAGGGCGAGGCACGACTCACCCAGTCTGGGCCATAGTATTGAGACGGATGAACGTCCTATCTCGACACTCAGCACGAAGAGCGGGAACACGCTGTATCTCGACGCACGATCCACGCTTGGTAGCTCGGAAGTGGATCTGGCGTCAGTGGGTACCGGTTCGGCGAATGCGCCTCCCCCTGTGCCTCCGATTCCACCTGTATCCGAGCAACGCCAGCCGTCATCACCACTTGCTCGTGAGATCCGTCGGTCGGACAACAGTGGAGCGTATCCGGGCAAGCCTCCCTCGTACGATGTCATTGCTCTGTCCTCTGGCTCACCTCCGGAACCCGTTGATATCCTCGACATACCCGCTCCGCCTCCTGCGGAGCCATTCGCTGCTGCTCGTCATGACTTCCCTCCAGGCTTAGTTCCGCTACCGAGCCCTCGCGTATGGCGTGACTCCCAGCCGAGTTCACCAACGAGTGGAAGCAGCGCTGGAATCCAGATTGATGTCCTGGAGGAGGAACCGCCATCTGCGCGGGCCGGTTGGCGGTCCTTGCAAGGAAGCGGGGAAGAGAATAGGAGGACGACGTTTGGCATTGTGAGTTATACCACAGCGGACCCTGCACTGACGATTTTCTGACTGTACTCGCACCCATCAGCCCGTAGTCGTACATGCTCGGGATGCGCAGAATTCTGAGCAAGGCTCGCTCTATTCAATGCGTTCGCATCTGAGCCCTCGTTCACGGCTCAGCCCGTCTGGCTCCGCGCCCGCGTCTTCTCTACACACTGTCTCCCACTCTGGCTCCGGATCCTCCTCAAGGCCAACGTTCCACTCACAGGGTCGCGCCGCTGGTAGCGGCGTCTCCCTATCCCACTCTAACTCCGTATCCTCAGACGAACGCCGGCCGCATCGGCGCGCTGCCGCGGGCGAGGTCGGTTCACCGCCGCTGTCGGCTGTCTGGCCAGGCAGAAATTACGTCGCACAGAACCACCCTCCGATTCTCCCACAGGGCCCCACGCCGCCCCCTCTCGCGTACCCGTCGCCGCTGTTCGGGAGGCCGGCGGTCTCGGACACGGTAACGTCATCAGGGACGAGCCGAACGACGCGCACGGAGGACACGAACACGTCGAGCGTGACCACCGCGATGACAGACCCGATCACGGGTGCGGTCATCCACTCCGTGCGGTTGCCGTGGCGCGGTGGGGACAGCGCGTGGCGCGATAGTGCTCACGAAGATGACCCGGGGTGGTAGTGTCTGTCCTCGTTTGTATGTTTGCATCCCTACGCCTGAGAGCGCCAACACAGGTTGGCGCTGCCCGTCCTGCGGGCGATGTTCTTTTTTTTGGTTCTTGGTAGATTCCATTTGCGTATTTGTTCTCGATATCCGCCCCAGTAATGGGATGTCTATATTCCCGCTCTGCGATACCTCACTGCTACTTCCCCTTCACCTCCGCTTCTTTGTGCTACCTATCACTTCGTCGCCAGTGTATTGATCTCCCTTTCCATCTCTCTGTATATCTCACACGCTTTCGAGCATGCACGACCCGTTATGATCGCGACCTGTCTCTACACGAGCTCCAATATATCTTCTCGATCGAAAGAACTGATATTACGCACGGTAGAGCACACGAAGCGAGGCAAAGCAGTTCCCAGAGAACTGTTGTACAATATAACGGAGAAGTATTTCCGGGGCCGTCCGTCATCAGATCACAGGATTCAGACACAACGCAGCGGTACACTCATTAGATCTCGTACCAACACCGTCATCAACAGCCACCAGCACAGAAGCACATGAGACGTCGTCCGAGGGCCCACATTTCAACCCTAATAGCCCAACTGCAAGCTCAGCTGCGTAAGGGCGTTCCGCCCCGCCTTGGTCAGTAGCGCCGCCGCGACGCCCGCGAACAGGAGAGCGAGCCAGAGACCCCACCTCTTTGGCGAGGCACCCCCGCGCGGGAGTGCGGGTAGCCGGGGGGTCGTGAGCGCCGCCAGCGGCGAGTTGCGGCTCTGTGTCGCGTAGAGTGCACAAAAGCATCGAGGTTCACGGAGGAGAGGATGAAGTGCAGTGCATGGTCAGTCCCAGACACATGGGAGTGGTTAAGGAGCGTACCTTATAGGGCGGGTACCGTAGGCCCGTGATGACGTCGACCCTGGTGGAATGCGTCAGTTCTTTGCCATACGACACCTCGCAGGGGAGTGGGGTGGAAGACGTACCAGCTAGGGTTGTCCATCGTAGACCGCAGGTGCGTAAACATATCGAAGGAGAATTTCCCCGTGTAATGGCCCGCTGCGTGGCTGGTCAGCACTGAGCCTCTAGGATAATCGAGATGGAAGAGCGGCTTACACCCCGACGCGCCGGTGCCTCCGAAGGGCAGGCCGTCCACTGCGGGAACCACAAACTCTGAATCAGCGCCGACCCGTGACGCATCAAGAGGCGGGAGGCACGTACCAACCACATGCAAGTTGCACTCGTTCGCGATAGCAGAGCCGCTCTGGGTGTTGTCGAACACTGCAAACGGTGTCAGCGTCGCACACGCCGGCGTGAAGGAGGGGCGCACCCTTGGCCTTAAATGATGGGCATGGCGAGAAGACGTACAGCGCGAGCGGGTGCTCTCTGCCGCGCCAGGAAGGACGGAGATCAGCCGGGAAGATGACCAGCGTGAAACTCGACTGACCGGCTATTGATGAACGCGACTGCCTCTTCGACCGTCTCCGTGGGTACGATGGGCAAGATGGGGCCAAAGATCTCACTGCAGACATGCCAATCCCGTACGCATTAGCACACATCTAGACACATTCACTGGTCTAGACCACTCACGCCTCCATCAGCGCGTCGTCCGGCGGGACATCCCGTATAATCGTCGGCGCGACGTACTTGCCCGCGACGTCCGTCTGCCCGCCGACGACGACGGTGCCTCGCGTCGCATCAATAAGACCCTTGAGGCGCTCTGCGTGCTGCTCCGTGATGATGCGTCCGAACGACGCGTCCTGCTGCGGGTCGCCGGGGTAGAACGTGTTCAGCCTATGTATGCGCATCAGATATCACGTGTCGGGTATGCAGAAGATAGGCAACAGGGAGAACGCACACTTCTTTCGACGCCTCGATGAGCTTGTCTTGGAAGGCTTCTGGACACAGGACGTAATCGGGCGCGACGCAAGTCTATAGAGACACATTGAAAAGCAGCCGCCAAAGACGCGCGTGCAGTGGCATACCTGGCCGGCGTTCGAGAACTTGCCCCACATGAGCCTCTTCGCCATGGTCTTGAGGTCGCATTTCGGGTCGACCACCACCGGAGATTTGCCTGGCAGAGCGCGATGACGTCACTAGACAACATTAAACTTAAGACGAGCTTACCACCAAGCTGGAGGGAAAGTCAGCGCCAGTCATGCGAAGGGCGAGATAACGACTCACCTCTAGAGAGACGGGGCACAGGTGTTTAGCAGCCGCAGTGGCAACGATTCTTCCGACACGGTGACTACCTGCGGATGGGAACACATCAGTCTTTCGGTCCAGAGTGAAAACATTGCTGTATGCACCTGTATAGAGGACTATGGAACGCAAAGACTCGCGATTAATAATAAGAATTAGCCGTGAATAAGAGACACTGACTATGGTCAAACGGAAGCTCGAGGATCTACAAGGAGGGATCAGCATGGCAGATACAACGACGGCGAGGATACACACTTTGGTAGTCTCATGGACACCGCCGTTAACGATGCGGTAGAGGTCCTGGTCAAGGTATTTTGGGAAGAGCTCAATGAGGAGGTTGCAGGTCTGGACGGGCAACTCGGAGGGTTTGACCATACAGGCGTTTCCTGCGGCGATAGCGCCAGCCTATGCAAAGGGTCAGTATTCCAACGGCACAAATACAATCAGACCGAATGGAGTGACCCACGAATGGAGCAAGGAGGTTGAGGATGGGGTAGTTGAACGGGCCAATGATGAGAACGAGACCCTTCGGCTCTTTCCTGATGGCTGGGGACATGGCGGCATAATTGAACGAGAAAGCAGCGCGTTCGGTTGCAGCCCACTTCTTCACGCCATGATAACAGACCATGGCCTCAGATATGGTGGGTGCGAGCTCGGCACTGACGCGAAGTTGTGACAGACGGCATGGAGGGGAAGGACGGGGGCTTACGACTCGCTCTCGCTGGGGTGGCGACCAAGGTCAGCTTGGAGAGCATCCTTGAAGCGGTCGATGTTGTCCTTGAGCAAGTGGGCGAGCTGGAGGAGCTGTTGCTTGCGGTACGCGATGGACCTTGCCTTGCCGGACCTGAATCCGGCGCGCAGGTCGGCGTGGATCTGCAAAGGGGTGAGCAATTGAGAGGGGCACAAGAGAGGGAGAGGGCACCTGCGGGATCTCGTCGATGGGTGTGTACTTGGACATGGCGGAGAGAAGGAGAGAGACGCGGACAGGGGCCCGGCGTGGGGTGCGCTGTTATGAACCCCTCTAAGCGCCAGACGCGCAGTGGACTCACCTTGACCGCGTTCCAACATGTCCGGACAAGTTGTTCTCCCAGCGTCCATCCTGGACACAGACCTCTACAAGGCCAGCGCGTCGCCGTGTCGTCTGCACACACTCGCTGACTTTCTTCCACAGCTCACGATGCAGCAGGCAGTGCTGCACCACTTTCCAGACGTGCAAGCCACATATCATTTCACTCACCGGGACAAGAACGTCTTTTTCACTCGAGAGTGTATCCAGCAATTCCAGCTATCCATCTCCAGTGCGTGTCATGCCAAACCTTCTGAATGATCGTCATTAATTGATCTGCTTCGAACAGAGTTTGGCGATCTGCAACTCTCCGACTCCGAGCGTGTCTGGCTCAAAGCAACCTGTCCGTACTTCACTGACAACTATCTGGACTTCCTATCCGCCTATAGATTCAAGGTTGACCAAGTCCAGGTGCATTTCATTCCCCTCCCTGATGACGCTGCCTTCGGTCATTTGGAGATCGAAGCTTCCGGATCTTGGGTGGACACTATTATGTGGGAGGTGCCTTTGATGGCTTGTCTCAGCGAGATATATTTCCGAATGGTTGACACCGATTGGAGCTACGATGGTCAAGAGGGTAAGTATCTATAACGTTTCTTTTGAATCGAAGGTAATGACGAATGACCCCAGAGTCCGCGTATCGTAAAGGGCAGACTTTACTCGCAGCAGGATGCATATTCAGCGAATTTGGCACCCGACGACGACGTTCGTACCATACACAAGACATCGTCGTTGGCGGGCTACTTCGTGCTGCGAAATCCACCGACTCCGGAAAGTTGCTCGGCACGAGTAATGTGCGTACCACGGGTCGCGAAATCTTGCACAACTCATCTTCACCGCTATCAGGTTCATCTTGCTCACAAGTACAACCTCATGCCGGTGGGAACTATCGCACAGTATGTCACACAGCGTGTAGTCATCGTATATTCTTGATAGCATTTTTCAACAGTGAGTGGTTCATGGGTGTAAGTTGGTGACGTATTCGTGGTCTCATGGACTTATCTGCCTCACTTCAGATTGGTGCATTGAAGGGCTATGAACATGCCAATTGGCTAGCGCTCAGTCTCTGGGAGCAGGTGTACCCTCACGATCTCCTATTGGCGTTGACAGACACCTTTTCAACCGAGGCTTTTTACAAGGTGGGTCATACCTTATTGGGTATTCTGACTGATGTACATTGGGATCTCCACGGTAGGATTTTATACAACATCCGGAAGAAGCCCGAAGGTGGACTGGATTGCGCCAAGATTCTGGTGATCCGTTTGTATTTGCGCCCCGCGCCCGGGAAGTCTATCAGCAGTTAGGAATAAATCTACATGACAAGACCATAATTTTTTCTGATGCCTTGAATGTGGACAAAGCACTGAAATTGAAGAAACAGTGTGATGAATTGGGCATCAATGGTGTGTTCATGACTCTGAAGTTGTTAGCATTATTCATCTGAACTCTTATCAGCATCATTTGGCATTGGGACGTCGCTAACCAATGATTTCAAGAGCTTATCAAGTGGGGGTGCAGCCCAAAGCAGAGCTCTGAATATGGTTATCAAACTTGCTGCAGTAAACAGTAGACCGTGTGTGAAAATCAGTGATGAATTGACCAAGGTATAGTATTCTGTGATTTGTGAGGTAATGTCAGCTTACATGGATTTGTCAGAACACTGGTGATCCTAAAACAGTGCGCTTAGTGAAGAATATTTTTGGTATCAATGTTTAATAAATAGACCAGGATGAGAGGAAAGCAAGTCCAGCAGCATTGAGCATATATTGTAGAGTTAGACAAGTGTTGTGCTTTAGAAAAACTAGAGATTCTAACAAAATCCCTCTGAGATCTTGAACAAAGTCAGGAAATATTCTTCAATGCATTCAATGTAGATTTGACCTCATTACTGTGTAAAGCAAGCAATGAAAAATTGTGTTTAAGAGCTAACCTTAATGATTAATTTATCCAGAAACATGGTTACATTGCCCTGAGACACCATCAAAGCCCAGCTGCTTGCCCTCACCATTCAGCAAGTGTGACATCACAGGTTACAATTAGAATTACACTAAAATGGAGAGCTGAAGTCCACATCATCCTAAGTTTATGTCTCTGGCGGCAGTAAACTCATCTTTCTGCTCTAGTTGAATCCTGAATTAGAAAATCAGTGAACTCTAAAGTTTCCTGATTTGTCCTCAATATCGGTGATCGAGGTTCAAGCACTTCTCGATCGTTCCCGCGAAGTTGGATAATAATTTCGCCACCACCGTAGTACATTCCCAAATTTGCACGACTTACATAGATCCATCACCGGGAAATCAACTCTCCACACTCAAAACCCTGCAACCCGCGCACTCCGCCTCGTCGCCCCCCTTGTCTTCCCCTTCTTCCCACCGCGCCCGGCACTGGGAGCTGCAGCCACACCACTGGCGCGCTCGCGCTCGTCCACCTCCCAGACTTCCTGCTTCTCGCTCGTCAGCAGCTGCAGCAAGCGGCTCCGCTCAGACCGCTGTCCCGCGTCCTCATACGTCACCTGCAGGCTCACCCCGGCCCCAGGCTCCCCGTCTACGAACAGGCTCACGTCCTCCTCCCCCAACGCGTACGGCCCGAACGCTGCCCGCGCCTGCATTCCCCCAGGCGCCTGAGACACTTCGGGCTGCACTGGCACTGGGTCCGCGCGCGACGGGGGCTGTGAACTTCGTCAGCACGCCACGCGCACAACGCCCACGAGCGTGTCTCGTACCTTCGCGCGGGAGGGCGGCCGCGGACGTTTTCCTGCCCGCTGCGGCTGCGCCTTCCCACTGCTCGCGTCCTCCTCTGACGATCGTTTGCCGAGCAGCGACGAGATGCTGTCCTGCAGCCCCTTCGACGACGTCCGTGAGAGCTTCCGCGGCGACGTCGGCGCACTCTCCGTGAGCTCGTGGTCAGGCCTCTTTAATGGTGACGGCATCTTCAGCGGCGACGGCGAGGTGGAGGACGGGATCAACTCCATCCTGTCCGGGTCACTGTCCACGGCTTTTACGGGTGTTGCTGCCGCCTCCGGCTGCTCCACCATTGTAACTAGGGTGTCGCGGGTCGCCTCCACCAGAATGCGCCCGGGTGAGGGCGCGTGCTCGCTGACAGGCTGCGTAGTCGGCCTGCGAGGGCGGGGCGGTGTGACGTTCGAGAGCCCAGGCTCCACCTTTCCTCCGAGGAGCGCGTTCGGCTGCCCAAACGATTTGCCATCGCCCGCCTCCTGGATACAAGGCGCCTCCGGCAACACAGTGTCGATGTCGGCGTCCAAGGGATCCTGCTCCGCCCACGCCTGATTATCCGCAGATGCATCTGCGTCCCGGTGATAAATGCGGTCCTCACTACGGCAGGGGATGGGCGGCGCACCGTTCGTGATGTTCGCCATCGGGCGCTCGGGCGCCATCTCCCTGCCCTTGCCCTTCCGGTCGGCGGGCGACGGGTCCACCTCCATCGCCGCTTCCGGTTCTGGTTCTGGAACAGCTGGGGTGCGATCCACGAGCGGTATGGCGCCGGTGGTCGCCACGTCTGTTACCCACGACATGTCGACGATCGGGACACCCCATTCTCGTGCCTTCTCCACCTTCGCCCCCGTCCGGGACGGGCACAGCAGATGTGTCGAGCGGCGCGAGAAGTTAAGGGCGATATTCACACCTGCAGAAACAGATCATATATAAACGCCGTCTCTGCATAGCGGAACGAGAACGTACCGAGCGCGCGTGCTAGTCTGCGCACCCAGCACGCCTCGGACTGGTCGAGCCCTGAGAAACTGAGGTTGATGTTCTCGGCACCTGCAGAGCTCAACATCAACAACCGGTTCGACTAACAAAGAGATGGAATGCGCACCATCAATGGGGGTCCTTATCTTCAGAGGCGAAAATGAGACATGTTCCGTCGGCTCGCACACGCGTTCCTGGAAAATACATCGCTCCAGCCAGCACTCCGTTCTGTACTTATGTCGCACTCGTTCATCGCCTTCTGCCCGATACAGACTGCTCCCACTGGGACCGGAAAACCGATTATTACGACAAATATCAGGAGAAGTGATGTGCCCACCTGATCAGTCGTACTATGATATAGTCTACCTCCTCGTCCGGCGCATCGTCCGAGACGAGGGAGCCTCCTCCCTCTTCCAAAGCGGTCCGAACGTTCTGGCAGCGAGCCTCGCCCAACGTTCTGAACTTCAACCCAGCGAAGAGATTGGACGACCCAGAAGATGACGACGACGCGCTGGGCTCCCCATCACTTGTCATCTGGCCTTTGCGAGGGCTCGAAGCATTAACTGACGATGTCGAAGCAACTGGCGCAGCAGCATCATCTCCCCCCACATGGACACTCGCTGTACGACGTCCGAGGAAGGACGAGCATCCGGGCAAGGTCGCTACGCGCTGGAACGGCTGGCGTGGTGCCGACATGCTCCGGGACGCAGGGGCGAACGAGTTGGCGCGCCGGAATGATGAGAGCGCACTCGTGGGCACCGCGGGAGCCCCGGGAGCGCCTGGCCTCTGCGAAGCAATCCTAGAGACGTGCTCGGCCTTGCTCCGTGTGGGCGACGTTTGGCGGGAAGGGGGTCTCCAGTCGTCCAGCCCGAGGTCCACCTTTTCTCGTGCGGTTTGTGACTTCGATGGGCTGCGCACGAGCTTGTCCCCCATGATTTCGAACCCGCGCGGCCTGAGGAGGCTTTCCCATATTTGTAGCATTACAGCGGGCACGCGCTTTACGGATGCAATCTCCTCGTCGCCGTCGTCAGCGAGCAGATTGCCCGAGTCTGTTGGATTTTGGCGCTCCTCGGGAGCTGGCGATGAGGAAGCTGGAGGAGACGTTGCCGCTATCATGCGAATTCAATCAGGAGTAGATAACATGGAAAAACGCGACTGCTCACGTTCAGGTAGTGATCTCCGTTTTGGAGGGGGCTTCGACACATGATACGCCTGCTCGTCAAACCTGCCTGTCGACTTTGGGTTGAGTGATTGCAATATGTCCCGAATCGAAGTCACTTACCGCAGAATTCTAATGAATCCCAGAACCACTCCTCCCAGACCAAGTGGATGTTCGCCTCCCCCCGCTGGTTGAATTTCTCGGCATACCGCATCTTTTCGGTAACCTCCTCTTGCTTGCTCGAACATAGCAAGTGTGTCACCTTCACAGGCCTCTCGAGGTTCTTGACGTAAACACCCCCCTGCCCTCGCAATAGTCGGTTAATCTCCGTACGCCGGTCGACCTCCTCGATACCGGATAGAGAGAGGATCACTCCTTCAAAAAGAGGAAGACGGTGTTCCTCAATGCTCTGTTTTCCAAGAATATCAGGAACCTATATGGTATAATGAACACGCACGTACCCACGCACCTCTGCTAGGTCAAAATCATCACCTCTTAACCAAACTTCATGACACGAAGTGATCCAGGACGGCCGCATGATAGATATCTTGTTCTCCAGCGCGCACTACAAAATGTCATGTCAATAGTTACAGTGCCATAGTTGCAGGACGTCGACAGACCCTGTACTTGGCACTGCCAGGTTCCTCTGCAAGGAGGTGGGTAACTTTGTCTGTGAGATCGGGAATACATGTTGCTCCCAGTTCGATGGCCTGCTTAAATAATGAGGTCTGTCGCCAGAAGTTGTATCAGCACTGTATAAGTTCTTCGTGTTCCGACAAAATAATTTAGAGTGTCTATCATGGCAGAAGGGCTGATGAGGTGTTTCCGGTACCACCTGCTCGACCTGACATGGACTCATATGGTGGCTGTACAACCGCCGCGGTGGACGGCAGTGATGCTAACTTCCCAATTACTCAAGGCAAAAGTGTTTCATGCTCCCTTTTCAAATGGAAACATGACACGCACCTTGTCGCTAATTCCGGTCGCACACAGAACGACTTCTCGGAAAGGTCTGGGACACAAATCCACGAAACTTGCGTCTATATCCGCATCTGAGCCAGGTTCATGAACCCATGTCGGGGGAGGAGTGACGTCCTTCGAACGTCTAGCCGCAGGAGCAGCTGGCCGAAGCTTGACGTTCGGAACCTGAAGAGGCTAAGTTAGGGGATTATGGTAATATCGCCAAGCGGTATAAAACAACCTTGGCGGATTTATTAGTACGTCTCAGATTCATGAAGATGCAACAAGATTGGCGTTGCAAACAGGTATTGGGCCAGTATTTGAAGGCCACTTGTAATTAGTAGGTCGCGCACGCGGGGCGTCACTAATATCAGGATTTTCAGACCAACAGAGTTATAGTTTCAGATATACGTGTCGTCCGGAGGTTTGAGTGCGACGCTGCTGGATATATCAGCGACGGGAGCCGGAGAGAGGAGCTGGCGCGGTACTAGTAATCAACAGTCGCGGCGGTCCTGACGCGACCACAAGCGCCTAGCAAACTTCAGGGCCGGCTTTATCGTGTGTGGGTCACGAGACTTCGCCTCGACATTCCGTTGTCGCCCACGAACACATACTGTGCCCGCAAACATGTCTTCCTCTGCTCTGTCACTACTTTCTCTATCCCTACAAGCATGCAGAGCCGTTCACCATCCTGCCCGGAATTCCTTCCGACTGCTTGCCACTGCGACACCGAACCCCGAAACCACTCAGTCCGAGCCTAACACACACTTTCGCATAACCCTCCGCCGTTCCGCGATTTCCCTGCCCAAGAAGATCAAGGGCACACTCTTGGCACTGGGGATTCATCGGCGCATGCAGACGGTGTACCACAGACATGATCCAGAGACGGCCGGCAAGATCTTGCGGGTGAAGGAGTTGGTCGAGGTGCACAACGTCCCCGCGTCAGCTGTGAGGACTAAGACGGAGCAGAGGCGCGAGAGGAAGGCAAGCAGGGGTTACGCAGTAGTTGGGTCGAAGTTGGAAGATGCGGGGCTATGATGGTGCGCAGCCACAATGAGGGACTACAGTGTGCGTGTGTATTTGTGCTGGCGGCAAATGCTCAGTGTTCTGATGCGAATGCAGAACCCGCTGTCTTGCATTTATCTCTCCCTTTCCAATTGTCTTGCAGGATTATGCCGTCGCACTGTTGCCTATGTCATTTTTTGGGGGCAGACAACCTGAGGGCAGGAATACTGGTCCCCAAGACGAACTGCCGAGGCGTTGCCCATATTGGCATCCTTCTGCCAGAGATGTGTAAACCGTCCATTGGGGGTAATAAATATAATCATACATGGTTGAGACTATCCAAGACAAGTGATAAATTGGTGCTCTAAGGGTAAAAAAAGGCAAGCAGACGGGCTGAGCCAAGCTCAAGTAGCCCGGTACGGCTTCACCAGCAACGGCATCTGGCTACCCTTCTCCTTCTCATTGCGGAGAAGAGGGCGTGTTACTATTCCCGATTTCCTCATGATCTCCTCAACCGGCACAGCAAGCTCATACTCGAAGGCACGGACAAGCGTAAAAACGAGACATTTCATCCTGTGACGGTGGATCTGGAGATAAGAGACGCACAGACGACTGGACGTGGACACTTACTCTATCAGGGAAAAACGGTAGCCAATGCATGCATGTGGGCCCCCGAGGAAGGACATAAGATTGCCCCACACGCCAGGAATGCTGGCGACGGCCTCTGGGACACCCTCAATCCAGCGATCAGGCCTGATGAAATCATTTAGCATGATTAGCCACTTCGTCGATGCAACGTACCTGAATTCATGCGCGTCATCGCCCCAAAGCGCCTTCGATCTATTCACGGCGAGGATCGGGATGAAGATATTGGAGCCCTTGGCGATTCTGGACATAAGGTCAGTCAGTGTACAAGGTAGGTATAATCAGCACGAACCTAATGCTATCGTGTATCTCTCCGCGAGTGTCAACAAAAGGTGTGTTCAGAGGGATAATATCTTCCTCCGTAGCGATCCGGATGGTCGACGGGACGGGGGCGTGTATTCGCATTGTCTCGCGCACAACCGCCTCCAGGTAAGGCAGTTCCTGCAGCTCGTCCATGGAAGGGTTCTCAGTGGGTACGCTAAGTAATTCATCGCGCAACTTCTCCTGCACTTCTGGCACCTGCGAGAGCGCGAAGAGACACCACATAGTCGCCGTGCTCGTCGTCTCGTGTCCAGCCACCAGGAACCTAAGGTTCAGCTGCATAAAAATCTGACAGATAAGTGATGTAACCTACGTTGGGACCTCTGCAAATTTTCCAATTATAAACATGTTGAAAATGGGAAAGACAGATGGACTTACGAGCGAGGACATCCGCATCTGTGAGCCTCTGACTTTCAGGGATATCAATTGCCATGTTTGCCTTGAGGAGCAGAGTGAGCAAGTCGCGACCGCCGAGTCTCTCGTCTTCCTTCCCGGCCTGCGCTGCCTTCAAGAGAGCCTCCTTCTTCTGAGCTAGCAGTTGCATGCCGATCTCCTTCATCTTGGCCTGAGCTGCATCAGTGCGCTTTGACATTTCGGTCGGCTGTAAGATGGTGAGTCCGTATGTAGAACAGTACCGCCAATACACCGAATGACCTACAATCCTGCGAAATATAGGCACCCATGACCGCAATAGCTGGAAGACCGGGTATCTGTTGCTTGCCAGGTTTGAGAAGACGAAGTTGAAGGCTTCATATAGTTCGTTGGGCTTCCCATGCGGGTTCAAAGCATGGAATTCATAGTTAAATCCTGGGCGTTCAATTCAAAATTTGTCCGATCGTTCCGCAAAAGTGTCTCACCCGCCAAACCGATGGAATCAAGAGTCATCTGACTCAAACCTTCGATGACGTTGATCCGGGCTGATCCAGAACTTGCAGCGATCTTGTCACTCCAGACATCGCGCAACTTCATGCATCGTTAATTCGACAGATCAACTCAAAGGTGATAATCTTGAGCTTACTTCGCGGGCCTTTTCCAAGAAGATTTCGGTCAGTTCACGCACTTGAGCAGGTCCAAATGCAGGATTCTGAATGAGCGTCAAGTCAGAAACTGCTCCAGGAGCAATGGGAATTTACACGCCATAATTCTTCTCTAATTTTAGGAGGGTAACGCTGTGAGTACCTCTGTATAAACCGGGATTTGAACAGTCAGACATACTTGCTGACGGTGCTGTTCGCCTGGGAGTAAGAGCAGTCAGCTTATCAGGCTGGAAGAGATTGGCAGGGACTAATTGCAACAAACCTTCCACGACCAGAAGACCTATGGACCGCCCAAAAGTCAGATTCCATAATTCCAAGCACGGCATAATAACGTACCTGATCCAAGCACTTGAGACAGGTTGAAACGGGTATGTTCTGGCTTCTCATAATTCATGGAGTGGCTGAGGACATGGTTCAAGGCTCTCATGTCCATAGTAAACAAACGATCGAGCTACCAGAAGGTTGTATATCAGTATGCCGATCCTGGTGAAGAGGGTATGTGTACATTGAAGAATCCATGATATTTGATAGTAGGGCCGTAGCGTTCAACCCATTCCTCATGCAGAACAGAGTGTTCGGCGTCGAATATGGCCTTCATGTTGCCCCATAACCAATGCGAGCTGGGAGGCCCAGGGAGATAGCGCAACGACGAATTGTAACGCCAAATCAGTACTTTAACAAGTTTCCAGAACGTGAAGAAGACTACAGCGAGCCCTAAGGACAGAATCAGTCGAGAGAGAGTGAATACCGCCATGGTTGACGATGCAGATAATTCGTGAGCAGTTTAGTGTCTCTTGCTGCAGATCCTGGCAAGCCTGGCGGTAGGAGGTGACAAGGTGAACGTGGGTACCGGTCGACTTAAGTACCTTCCTCTCGATCACAAGTGAGAGTACCGTATCAACGGCTTCGGACGCGTCTGCGCAAGCCGAGCTGAGCAATCTTTCATCCCTCCGCAGCAGAGTCGCAAGTCTCATCCTGACAACTCAAACGCTCACGTCTAGTTCATGATCGCAGCAGACTCGCTCGACCGGCGATCCGAAGGCTAATACAGTACCGTGAGTTCTTGGGGGCCGTGAAATTCCTCAAGATCATGCCGCCTAGGTTATGATGTAATTACTCTTACTTATGGGGCCCGGCAGCTAAGCGCAGATGTAGTAGAAAGCGACGAAAGTCCGTAGTGATGCCAATATCCTGCAGCGCTTTTACTTACTACTTGTCGTACCAAGTTAGATCGCCCTAGTGCGTCTCCGAGATATTCGGGATCGAATCGAGTTAGGTGCGCGGAAAACACATACTAAATTAGGAGACTCCGGCGCACTCAGTGACATGAGCTTGGCACGAGCTCGGTCGGCTGCAGCCATCATGGCAAGCCTGCTTCGACGAAACCTTGCCCGGCGTTTACATACTGGTCTTCGACTGCTCGCGCGCTTCCTACCCTCCATCGAGTTTTGCCACTGCTCAGGCGTAGGTTGAGACAAATCCTCAGGCATGGCACCCTTTCTCTGGAACGACGAGGAGCAATTTATAGCACTGGTCAATCTATTATCTCTGCGAAATGGCGGGCAGCTGGACGCAGGTTCGGGAGAGGACGATGTGCTGAACGATTCCGATGAAGTTGATATCGATGATGGTGATACTGTCCATCCTCATCTGATGTCTGGAGTCGACGATGACTGCCTGAAACGCAAGGTTTTGGATAGGATGGCGGAGGTTGCTTCCCGGGACAAGGGCGGTAGACAGGTTTCCTGCGCTATCCTGCAAGAGAAGGATGATGCGATCACCATCTATCTATCTCGGAACGAAGGCTTCGACAAAACCGACAAGGATTTCTTCAAGAAGACGGAAAAGCTGCTTGCAGCGATATGCACTCAGACGAGTACGTTGTACGTCTGCGCAGAATGGAGTTTACGAGCTCACGAACAAACGATTTTAAGATGAGGACGCACAGCCAGCTCAGGATGCATTATGGAAGAGAATGCTCCAATACAACGAACCTCGTCTTGAGCAGTATGTTCGCAGCCTCAGAGAAAATCTCCGTTCTTTCAGAGGCAGGGATAGCGGGACTATTCCGTCCTGGTCTGTTACCCTAGAGCACGACGGTGATGTTGTCGATGACAACCAACTCGGTCCGTACACCGAGCAGACTCATGAATCCTACATGGCTTTTGCGCGGAAGAAATTGGACGAACTGTCCGACATCGTCGAGTCACCAAACAAGCGAACCCCGGCTGATACCAGACGTCTTCTTGTCGAGAAGTCGCATTCCATGCGCCATTTGAGATCCGTCAAAATATTCATCAAGGCTTGCTCGAGCACATCGATCGCCAACAAGCTCTTATCGGACATCCTCTTCCTGGGGCGTCTTCGATCCGCGTATCTCACCTTCATCGATGCGGCGCACAACATCCCCGCGTTCACCAGCACATCCATCGTTCTCGTTGCAGCTCCAAAGCCACGGGCTCCGCCTCTTCGTCCCCGCTCCTTGGCTGACGTATTCAAAGGTTTACCATTGCCGTACGACGATGCATCCATTCGAAAGCACGTGCATCCTAAATTCACGTTGCCAATGTTGCAGGAGAAATACGCTAAGCTTCTGGAGAAAGCTACGAAACTGAAGCTTCCCACTCATGCGGAGGTGCAACTGATCGTTCACCTGTTGAAGCTCGGTATCGTCGATGCCGAGGTTTTCCCATACATTGGTTGCAGCAAATTGACCTGCTTCCTGTGTTCCTCTTTTCTTCGGAGCCAGGCTGGTCTGAAGTTCAAAACCAGGGGCTGTCATGGAAAGCTCTACACTCTATGGTCCGTCCCTGACACGGAGGACTTGACCCAATCCGCGGCAACGGTGTTGTCATCTTCCTTGGCAGCCATGAGGAGTATACTTGTCAGCGAGATTTTGAAGCCGATTCAAGCTCGAGTAAATGTCGCAGAATCTTCTGCTGGTTATACAGCCCAGAATTCTGTGCAAACAAGATATCTGCATATGTTACAGGAAAGACGGGCTCGTGAAGCTGAGTTCAACTTCCTACGCGAGAATTGGTCGTCTGCCATCCGGTATGTTCTGCGGACTTCTAAAGTTTCTTCCCGTCGGACGAACTGACATCTTCCCAGTAAGAATGGGTTGCCCACTGAACAGATGGAGAATGAGGAGGATGAGGAGGATAACAATCCCGACCAGAGAACTGCAGTTGAGGCACCAATCTTTGGGGAATGTCAACAATGCGAAACGGAGACATCGAGAAAATGCTCCAAGTGCAATCGACCTTGGCTGTGCAGTGAAAGCTGCGAACGGCTTTACGACTCTCCGTACCATAACTTTCTATGTGCCATTGACCGGCCGCTCGATTCTGCGGATTATCTGTACCTGGCCTGCCTCAAGGACACCTTCCCTGACGATCCAGACACTCTCAACGATTTTGGATTCAGCAGGCTATTGTCAGTCGGAGATCAATCGAAGCTCCTCGGATTGTACATAGGAGTTCTCCTGTACATGGGCACCAACGTTCGAGATCTGCACAAGTGGCAGTTGGAAGGCACGTTGGCGGCGAACATCATCGCAATGTATGAAAAGATACCCGAAGGTAACAGAGGTGGTTACTATCCCTGGTTCTTGCAAAATCGGCATATCGTCGACTCGCCCTCTGCCGAGATTGATCCACGCGAAATGCAGAATACATTCTTCGCTATTGCACGCCCTTATCTCGACCCTGTCGACAAAGACAAGGCAGTGCAGGAATTTACCCCTCAGGCGAAGCGCGATTCATTTATGCTGTATGCGCTGTTACTGCGGGGTTGGCATCCGGATCCTGTGTCTCTCCCTGACCTTTTCTTCGATTTCGGTTTCTGCACATGCAGGGAGACTCCCCTTGCTTTTCTGTACTTGGATCTGATCAAAAGATGCACGTTCACGGAGTTCTGGAAGGCGCACCAATCGAACAGCCTCATTCCTTTGTTCGATGCCTATGGGCTAGCACAGCATCGAAAGAGGATGCCACATCTCGAGGCGTTTTTGGCTGTCGGCTCGAACGTTAATGATTTCCGACCTTCTGTCTGGAACCTCGTCCTCTTTTTGAACACGGAAGGTGCGGACGCACCTCGATACCTCTTGGTGGACTACGGCTTCCTGAATTGTGATAATGCGAAAGAGAAGCTGGATTTGAAGGAGGTTTACACCCGTCTTCTCAAGAAAGTCGACCCCATGGATTTGCACAACGCGTGCATCACTGGCCGACTCTATGACTTCGCGTCTCGACATACTCCTTTACCTCGTCGCTTCCAACGTCTGATGAGGAATCCCTATCCATTGCCAGGTTGTTCGTTTGCAGGCATGTATGCCGCGAACGTGAGTATTAAAATGGAAGGCCTTCATATAGTCACCGCGCCTTAAGCTCAGTCGAAGTCCGGATTTTCTCCCAGAGAACAGACCATGTTTTTCTCCTGTCAGTGGACGTAGGATATCGCTTCGTTCTCGTCAGAACTTGATACGACTGCGATACGTACTTGGATTCGCAAACTTCGCTCCTGTAATTTGTACCATTTTTCACCTACATTGACTTTCCAGACTCCCATCTGCGCGCCTTATGTACTGAAATGGCTCAAAGTCCGCTGTGTACATACTCCGAAAAACTCGGGATTCAGGTTATTGAGCATGTACAGCTAGTACTAGTATGGGAGAGTTTCCTAGTTGAGACTATCAGGTGATTGCCAGATCCGAATCTTGAAATTCTTCGCAACCGTGACTCGTGTGTTGACTCTCTCTCTGCTCGTCATTCTCCACTTGTGTCATAGATGGTCTCATGGCGAGTGTCGCTACAGGACATATAGGATAGAAACAGCACCATGGAGGTTCCTGTACGTTTCGCGCTGACGGCTGCTCAAAGGCTATCTCACAAATATTCAGGCAGAGTTCGAATGCTTTGAACAAATCAATGCAAGGGCTATGGTCTGCCCATCGGCGAACAAAAATCAATCTCAATTCGTCTTCTGTGTCGAGTTCATCCGCCATCACACCCATAGCTACGCCTGCTGGCGATGAACCAGTTACCGCTGTCTCATTCGCTGAGACGCAGACTGCAGAGACCTCTACTGCTCCTCTATCGGGTCCACCACAATCTCTAGATGTCGATGGACCCATTCCAGATACACGCGCAGGAGTTTCGAAGAGAAGAACGCGCTCCGCTCGAACATCCGGCGAGGATAGTAACAAGAGGACGAAGCTCTCGCACCCATCAGGCAGCGTTTCAAAGGACCACACGCCTCCGTCGACTCGACTTTCAGACCTCGGGGGCGTTGATGCCTGTATCGAAAAGATGCTTGAGCTCGTGGCGATGCCACTATGTCACCCGGAGATCTACATCCATACGGGTGTGCAGCCTCCGCGGGGAGTGCTGCTTCATGGTCCCCCGGGTTGTGGCAAGACGCTATTAGCAAATGCCATAGCAGGAGTATGTCAGATATTTATATGTTACACTGCGCGGCGCTAATGCACATACGATAGGAACTTGGTGTGCCATTCATTAGTATTTCTGCCCCATCTGTGGTGTCCGGCATGTCTGGTGAGTCAGAAAAAACACTGCGGGACACATTCGAGGAAGCGAAGGTAAGACAACCATGTCCTGGTTCTTATTTCACGTCCATAAACAATGTTACAGAGAGTAGCTCCGTGTCTGCTTTTTATCGACGAAATCGATGCCATCACACCGAAGAGAGAAAGCGCACAACGGGAAATGGAGAGACGAATAGTCGCACAATTTCTCACATGCATGGATGGTTGGCTTTTTTCCTTGACGAGAGCTTCGCCTGATACTGAAGTGCGATCAGACATGTCCTGGGACAAAACCGACAATAAGCCTATCATCGTCATCGGGGCGACTAATCGACCGGACTCGCTAGATGCAGCGCTGCGTCGAGCCGGCAGATTCGACCATGAGATCAGTATGGGCGTCCCAGACGAGGAAGCGCGAGCACAGTGAGTACATACAGCTTCTCCTGCGCGATTTCAAATCTCATAAGTTGGCAAGGATTCTTCGCGTGTTGTGCAGTAAACTCAGGTTGGAAGGCGATTTCGACTATATGTCGCTCGCGAAGGCCACGCCTGGTTATGTTGGTGCAGACTTGACGGCTTTAACAGGCGCAGCCGGCATCATTGCCGTCAAGCGTATATTCCAGCAGATATCCGAGGGCGCTCTCACCATCCCGGAGATAATAAATGAACAAAAAACTCCTTCGGACGAGGACACTTCCATGCTGGTTGACACACCTCAAGTTATCCCTGACCAACAGGCAGATTCGCAAGCACCCGCAAAACCAGTGCCATTCTCAACGTTTGACCTGTCTCTTCACAACAAGCCGGCCAGTTCCATCGTCCATTTCCTGCGTGCGCATCCCGACCCGCTCACAGAGGCCCAACTGGCACCTCTCTGCATCACCGCGCCGGACTTTAGGCTCGCGCTGAAGCAGGTGCAGCCGTCGTCTAAGCGCGAAGGCTTTGCCACCGTCCCGGACGTCACCTGGGCGGACATCGGTGCGCTGCATGAGACGCGCGAGGAGCTGCACATGGCCATCGTGCAACCGATACGGCGCCCGGAGCTGTTCAGTGCGGTCGGCATCGAGGCGGCATGCGGCGTGCTGTTATGGGGTCCGCCCGGGTGCGGAAAGACGCTGCTCGCGAAGGCCGTCGCAAACGAGTCGAGGGCAAACTTCATCAGCGTGAAGGGCCCTGAGTTGCTGAACAAGGTACGCGGTGCATAACCTTTCTCGGAGCAAGACCTCATGCATGTCCACCGCGCAGTATGTCGGCGAGAGCGAGCGGGCGGTGCGTCAAGTTTTCTCAAGAGCGCGAGCTTCCGCCCCCTGCGTCATTTTCTTCGACGAACTCGACGCGCTCGTTCCGCGGCGAGATGACAGTCTCGTGAGTTATTCCTCCCCTTCATCTCCGCCCTCAGTCCTCACTCAGCCCCCCTTAGTCCGAGTCCTCCGCGCGCGTCGTAAACACGCTGCTCACAGAGCTAGACGGACTCGACGCGCGCAAGAGCGTGTACGTGATCGCAGCGACGAACCGGCCAGACATGATCGACCCCGCGATGTGCCGGCCGGGGCGGCTCGACAAGCTGCTGTACGTCGACCTACCCTTGCCGCACGAGCGCACAGAGATTGTGCGCACGATGGCGCGACGGCTCCCGCTCGCGGGGCCCGGCGCCGCACAGGCGCTCGAGACGCTCGTGTGCGAACGCTGCGAGGGGTACAGCGGCGCGGACCTCGCCGCGCTCGTGCGCGAGGCGGGCGTTGCGGCGCTGAAGCGCACGCTCGGCGCGCTCGACATGATGGGTGCGGAGACCGATGCAGACGAGACCCGCGACGCGCTGGGTGGGGTGCCGCAGGTGCAGGTGCAACTTGACGACTTCGTGATGGCGCTCGACAAGGTGCAGCCGAGCGTGTCTGCGGCGCAGCGGAGGCGGTACGAGGCGTTGCGGTCGAAGTTCGCGGGACTGCCGGTGCGGGTGGGAAGGGACGAGGAGGAGAAGCGTATTGCGGAACGGGGGTAATTTACACTCGAGTCCTCGGGTCACCTTTCGGGCTGCCTACGGCTCCGGAGGTGCTTCGTGCTATTTTTTGAACGGCGTTCGCGATGCGACGTGCTAGTAATACAATTCAGAAGAATACAGCAAAGTCCACGCCATCCTACGTATGTGAACGCGTCTAACGCCAACCCGCAGCATCACAGCTCGCCGACCTTCTTCACACCCTGAGTCACGCGATCGTTCCGTCTCCAAAACTCGACGAGCACGCTCGCGAGCCGGCCAGGGTCGTCCTGCGCCCCCGTCAGCACGAGGCGCGAAGAGATAAAAAGGGGGGGGGGGGGAGGGGAGCGCACCTCCTGCAGCAGGTGCCCGACACCAGGCATGACGACGAGCTGGAACTTGCCCTGCATCTGCCCGATCATGAGCTCGCGGTCGAGGCGTTCCGTGCCCGCGAGCACGAGTAGGCGGGCAGCGCGCGCCGCCAGGAACTTGCGGGAAAGCCCTGTGAACCAACCTGCCCAGGGGGACCACGGTCAGCAGCGCACGTCAGGGAGCAAGTGAGAAAGGAAGGCACAGAACGCACTGGTCCAGTATGGCGCGGTGTCACGAAGAGATGTGCGCCAGACATACGGCGGTTCTGTCGGCAAAGTCGACGGCACGATGAGCCCGGGGACAGACACGCGTGCGGACTCCAGGTTGCGGATGACGTTTGTCCTCACACTGCGGACCGCGCAGGAATCAGCTGCATCGGTAAATCACGACAACGAGCTGCCGCTTACTGAAATTCTATCGCGTCCTCCGGGCTGTCGAAGCCGGCGCGGCGAGCGTCCAGTAGGCTGTGCATCTGCGGGAGGGCTTCCAGCGTGAATTCTGCGGGGTCGCATATATGCGCTTGTTTAGTGTGCTCTAGGTCGCGTCGAGGGGATACGGACCTTCTACGATATCGAGCACGGCCACGCCAGTAAAGCGGTACCCGAGGTCCATCAGGAGTGGGAGAGCGTTGACGCATACTGAGCCGCCGAGGCTGTGGCCGACTAGCTGCAAGGTATTACTGGCTCTACGACGGGTCGCGGAAGGGGCGAGCGGTTTGACGTACCAGCAGGGTGGGCGCTGACGCCGAGTTGGGGTAGACGACCTTGAGGAGATTCACGAAGTCCATGGTGAGCGTCTCGAGCGACAAATCCTCTTCTGGCGGCGGGGGCAGCTCGCGGCGGGTGGTTTTCCCTACAGCACTACGGTCAGTAAGGCGAGACGGCAAGCCAAACGCACACGCACCATGGCCGCGACAGTCCAGGGCAAGCACGCCGCACTCGCCGTTGCTGAGGGCGGTGATCTCCTTGGCGAGGCACGCGAAGGTGAGGCCAGAGTGGCCGGCGCCGTGGTGGCAGATCATGACGGCGCCATTGGCGAACTTGGGCGGGGTGTAGAAGACGCGGACGTCGAGTCCGGAGTCGGGCACGTCGACCTGTGTGGCCTGGTCGAAGAAGTGGGCGGCGGAGAGCGGGGAGTGGTCGACGGAGGAGTTGCGCCTGGTGGTGCGAACGGGCCTGGGGGGCGCGCGGGGGATTCTGTGAGTACTTGCGATCAGTATGGCGGGCGTGCCACTGCAAGTCACTGCGCCTGAGGTGCCCGCGTGCGGGAGCGCGTCGGGGACGTGTAGCAATGCAGAGGAGAGCTGCCCGACGCGACGTCAAATATCCGTACGAAACTGAACATCGCGGACGCAGAAATGGTGGGCGACAGGACAGCGTCCGCCGTGATCTGCAGGGAGGAGAGCAGAAGGTACTTGCACTTGCGGGGGACCCATCGTGGATGGCAGAGAACCGAGCGAGTCCACAGCCTCGGACTCTTCATCGTCGTCTTCGTCTTCGTCAGAGTGAGGCAGCGTTGGGAGCTTCGCGATGCGGGCAGCGAGCGCAGAGCGGTACAGGTCAGACATGGCAATCGCAGACAGCGTGTATCAGTGGGCGCTTATGCACCTTGGCCGTGACCGTACAGCACATGCAACTCCTCGTCCACTGCTGATCGATGTCCACCAACTCAGTGTGCATATCATACATCCCCACTCCGCCGCGGATATCTATAATGTTCGGTTGAAGTCAACATGCGAAGTCGATGCACCTTAATTCCATCCACACGCAACTGATCGTCTTCTCCCCGCTCGCAATTGCCCTCTTCAGCTCCCTTCCGGAACCCCTTCTCATACTTGGACGGCACACCATGTACACATCAGGTCGCACTCGTGTATCGTTATCGTTCCAATCGTGGTATTCCAGTGCCGTCCTCGACCGAACCCGAACATGCAGAAGCCGCCCAAGCTGCACGAACACTGCGCCGAAAGCCTCGCGTCTCAGAGCTCCTCGGTGCAAATGCAGTGCCGCCTTCGTATGTCGGTCCGACGCTCAACCGTTACTCCATCGAACACCCCACCGAGTCTCCATCGAAAGCGTGTTCTGATATCTGAAACTAATTGACAACAACAGCTCTACCGTAAGTACTCACTATTCAGCTATCGAGAATGCGTTTGTGATAATGTCGGACAATGGCGAGATGAGAAAACAGAGCGGACAATGCGGAGAGGACAGCTCGCCAGCCGGCCGTAGGACCGGCGGCGTAACCGTAGGCGTAAATAGGATAATATGCGAGGAATGAATCTTGCGGTGATGCGGCGTAACAGACGGATGAGATGAAAACGACATTGGCAGAATGTGTGCAATGGCAGACGTGCGTGGCTCAGGCCCGAGGAAAAAGGTGAATGGTGAGAATCTGAAGCTGATCAATATCAACGCGTCAAGTTATCGGACAGTCGGAACCTCGTCCGCCCGTCATGGCCAGCGGTAGAGCGCTGGGTGCATGCGGCAAGCAGGGCCGTACCCCAACCCCACAAACAGAATAGGCAAGCTCGCAGGCTTATCGCGCCAGTGTTGTGCACAGCGTTAGTGCACCTAGGCATGCGGTGTGGGCTGCTGCACAGGCATCTCGCGCGCCTGACCCGCGGAGTCCTGAGGTCAGAAGGGTGATCAGCAACGCGCGACCCCAACGCAGAATGCAACCAACCATGCGCTGCTTTTTGACAGGCCGCGGGCGTACCCCAGCGCTGCCGGCCTTGGCGCCGACAACCACGAGCGGCTTCGCTGTGCTCCCGGGGGCACCCTGGGTAGGGACGGTGCCGTTCACGGACACACCGTCCGCCGTTTGCTCACGCTCGCGCTTCACGCCGCGCTTCGGCACCGCTAGTTCCTGCACCATGCCGGACTGTGGACGTTGCATCGTAGCCGGCGTATGGGCCACCACAGGCGGTGGCGCAACTGCGGGTGGAGAAGCGTAGGCGGCCGGTCCAGGCCCCGACACGGGGGTAGACATCGACTGTGGCGTCCCGATGCCTACGGGTGTCCGCCCTCGGGCCTGGCCGGTACTTGTATGAGGCCCTGACGGTTGTCGAGGCCTTGGTGTCGCTGTACGAGCAGGGCCCCCTGCAGTGCCTGGTGTCGGGGCCGCCGTGGGCGCTGGAGTCGCGGGAAATCCGGACGGTGTGCTTGTGCCGACAAGTGTGGCGGGCAAGATGCCCGCCTTTGCACGCTTCTTCATCTCCTTCTGTGCGTTGGAAAGTGACTGAGATGAGACATCGTGAGTTGTGGCGCTCAAAAGTGAGACGAACCCGCTTCTTCCTGTCCTCCCGCGCTTGAGGTGACTCTGCCACCAAGGCGTTGATATTCCACTGTGTGGCAGGTGAGTGCTGAAAAGCAGGAAGACGGGCATAGTAAACGTACACCCTTGAGTCCTTCAAGACTGACGGAAAACGCCTCCCGCTGCGTTTTCAAGTCGAACGGCGTTATGGCCATCTTCTGCTTGGGCGGAACCGATATCATCGTCGTCAAATAGTCGTCTTTCTTCATGGAGTGTTTGCCTGCAAAAAAGGGGGGAACGACGAAGCGTCACACGGGAACGCCGGCGGAGGCGGGCGAGGCTTCGACGAACCAGGTATACCCTTAATGAGATGCTTGTAGTTATTCTTCCACTTCTTTTCTCCCTTGCTATCCTCTTCGTCGCCGTCGTGGGCCGCGGGCGTCGCGGAGAGGTCGGGGGGCTCGCGGGGCGGGTGCTCCTTCTCCTTGCCCTTACCCTTGTCTGTGGCGCCCGGCGGGGTCGGTGGGCCGCCGGTGGAGACCGGGGTGACGTACGGGCGGACATACTTGTCGTAGGCGGGTGCGAGCTTGAAGCGTGCGACGAGGTCCTGTGTGCTGGTGAAGTAGGGTGGGGGCTGGGGGAGGGCTGCGAAGGGGGATAGCGAGGTCAGCTCCGTGGCAACGCAGAGGGCGAACGGGCAGACCTGGGGGCGGGAGGACGTCGGAGACGGTGGAGGGGCCAGCGAGGGCGTTTGTGGGCTGGAGGGGGTACTGGGCGGAGAGTCCGTCGTCGATGTCCATCACGGCGATGGCGGCGACGATGAGCACAGCGCTCTGCAGCTTCAAATCGCGTGAGTGGCGAGAACCAACAGGGATTCCGTCTCCGAAAGGGTGTTTCTATCTGAGCTTGAAACAAAAGCGGAACGAAGGTAAGCAGCATCCGCGCGGAGCTCGAAATGGGATCAGTGCCCTGTGGGGTTGTGTCAGCAAAGGAAGGCCGCTTCCAGGCTGAGCCGGCTGCGCAGATGCTATCATTTAGTACTGAGCTATCGACGAGCGCGAGTCGCAGGACACGCCCCATGCGCATTCCCTCTCCTCAGGTTCCACCATCATGGCTGACCCAGACGACAGCTTTCAGGCAGCCGACGCCATAGGCACCTCCACCATCTCTGTCTTTTCCCCCTCCCTCTCTAGAGTCAGGTCTCACACTCCCCAGGTTCACCATTCTTCACTGCGCCCCGAGATGTCAGCGCTCACCCCGACCGAACGAGACCCGCTTTTGCACGGCGCACGTAAGGTCAAGAAGCCATTCTACCGTGCTAGGCCGCTATGGTGAGTGTCGTCTATCGGTGTGCCAGAATTGCCGTCGTTATCATCGGTGGTCACCCAACCGTACGCCACCGCAGTTGCGCGTCAGACTAGCTTGCCGACAGTGGTCGATGAGAAATTTCGACCTAGGCCGGCGTTGGCATTCACAGCGTAGGCATGCAGCGCGTCGCGTTTGGCGCCGATCACGACACCTTGCGTCAGTTTCGCTAGTCGCACTGTCGTGCACTCTGTCCGCACTTGGGTTCCTACCAAATGTGTCGACTGTGCGCAAATCACCTCAATGTGGGGAAGGTGTTGCTCGGCCATTCCACTCTTAGCTCTCCGTAGCTTCTAATGAGAATTTGACTAATGGTCCCGTTTCGCACAGGCTCGTGCCATTCGCTATATCCGCGTCAGTCATCGTGAGTACAGTATCTCCCGTCCACTCATATGTGACCGACCCCACGCGCAGCGCGGAATGACCTTGGGTCCGCGTATCGAAGTGTTCACTCAGCTCTCTTGCAATGCGGTCTATGGTCACGACGTGTACGATCATACGACCACCAACCTGTCCCTCGTTTCCGCCTACCACACTCCTTTGCACATCGACCCCGTGGGTCCTCACCTGAGCAGGCTGGACTTTGGTTTCTCCCGTTTCCGCAAGCGCTCCCTTGCAACGTTCCAGGACACCGCTGGCACAGGCGATGAAGATGATAACGACGAGCCAGACCCGCGTCAAGTGCCGTCGAAACGCTGCTTACAGGATGCGACTGTGCAAGCTGGTGCGGCGCGATTGCAGGTGATCATGACCACGACGATGGGCGTGCTTTCCGCTCTCACGACCGGCTGGTGGGGCCATTTCGGCGAGCTGCACGGCCGCACACGCGTCCTGGCTGCCGCCACGCTCGGACTCTTTCTCACGTATGTACCATACCCATTGCTATCTATTTTCAAACCCACTGACCTGTGCTCGCAGGGATCTGACGTTCATTCTCGTGTCTACTCCGCATAGCATCTTCGCCGCACACGGACACAAGCTGCTCGTCATTTCGCCCGCGATCGAGGGCATGCTCGGCGGGTGGCAGACGCTGCAGGCGGCGATCAACGCGTATGTCTCGGACTGCACCTCGGACGGTTCGCGTGCACAGATCTTCTCGCGCTTCACGGGCGTGTCCTTCCTTGGGCTCTCGATCGGCCCCACCATCGGTGCCTTTCTAATAACGCACCCCATCTTCAAGTCTGTCCCGCCGCCATCATCGTCTGCTCACGCCGGCACGGCGACGGTCACCTCTGTTTTCTACGTCGCCACGATGTGCTCATTCGCGAACCTGCTCCTGGCGCTCTTTGTGTTCCCTGAGGCCCCGAAGAAGCGTGCCAAGATCGGACAGGAGCTACGAACGGTGCCAGACGAGGATGCACCAAAGAGACAGGGCCATCTTGCCGGCTTCCTTGCGCCTTTTGCGCTGCTGGCGCCGCAGACGGTCCAGAGACCAAACGGAACGACGGCCAAGGATTACCGCTTGACCTTGATCGCTCTTACCTTGCTAGTATATGCGCTATCTACTGTGAGTAGACATTTTCAGTTTTCGCATGTTCATGATGGCTCAACATCCACGCCTGAAAGGGTATCTTCCAAATCAAATATTTATACGCAGAACATATCTACGGATGGGGAGCTGAACAAGTAAGTCTGAGGTGGTCGTCACAGTGCCTCCGTGACTGACCTCCCGATCAGCTGAGTTACTATATTTCTGCCATGGGTCTCGCTAGAACATTGTATTTATTGGCTGTCATGCCACGTACGTCCACCTTCTCTTTCTTAGCGGCCTTATCTCTAAATCCTTGCTTCGCAGTGATCGTCCTGACCTTCAAGCCCAAACGCGAGCCCGTGTCCCATCCCACGCACGCAGCCGTAATCCCGAGCAAAAAGGCACCGCCCACCGCAGCGCAGGTCGCGCGGGAGATGAAGTTCGACTTCGTGCTCCTGCGCCTGTCGCTGGTGGTAGACCTGCTCTCGCACACGCTCGTCACGCTCTCGCCCGAGAGCACGAGCGCGGCGATGTTCACCGCATACACGTCGCTCAGCAGCTTCGGCGCGGGCGTCGACCCTGCAATGCAGAGTCTCGCGCTCTGCATCATGCAGGCCAACGGCGAGGATAACCGCGGGAAGCTCTTTGGCGCGTTCGCGATGCTCCGCACCGTCGGCCAGATGATCATCGGCGTCAGTCTTTTCTTAACTCTCTTCGCGTTGCGCTGTGCTCACACGTCGTTGGACAGCCGATACTCTTCGGTCTGATCTACAGCGCGACGGTCGCGCAGTTCCCCAAGGCGATCTTCATCGCGGCGGGCGCATTCGCGTTCGCCGCGCTTGTGCTCATCTGCTTGGTGCGCCCCGATGCGGGCTTGAGGGCCAAGGTACCCTCACGCCGGCGGGACGACAGCGAGATCGAGCGTGGTCGGTCGCGCGTGAGCAAGGACATCAGCCACTCGAGTATGAACCCGACACGGGCAGATTCGGCGTCGGGTTTGCGGTGAGCTTGCGCGGTAGAGTGCTTTGCTGGATGTATTGGTGTTTGTATATGTACATTAATCGCTATCCCCTTCTGTGCGCTTCGCCTGGATCTCTCGTGCGAGGGACGTGGCGGAGTGCCCATATGCATGCTTAGCTTACAGTACGGTTAGACTTGTAACATATTGGTTGGAATATTGAATAACATAGAAATGCCACGACTTGGAAATGGATGTGTTGGAGTCTGCAACTACAGAGGTGACGAAATATGTGGTCGCCCACTATGAGTTGTGGAGATCGTACGAAGGCATTTCCAGGTAACTCCCACTTACAGAAAAACTGCGCTTTAGCACTTCCGGAAGCTGTACTGGAGCACTTCTGGTGGTTCGTAAGGTGAGTGCACGACGCCAGAATTCGACGTGATGAAAGCTCACAAACGGTAGGAGCGAAAGTCCGAGCTTCAAATCCGCCAAGTTCGGACTTCTTTCAGCTCAGCAATTCACTGTAGATAGACCGCTCTAGTTCCTCCTACATAGGAGACACGTCACCCGAGCCATGCACTGAGCCGCTCCACGTATGCACATATAGTCAACGGAAACGGCGACGATGGTCTTCGACCATGTTCTTGACCGCAGACCACCATGTCGAGGGTAGCGCTCGCTCGTATACCGTCGTTGACGTTCTACAAAGATGCTATTACCCTCTCGCGGAGAGATCGTCCCATCCCCCAGTTAGTTTGCAAGGGAAAAGCTTGTGATCTGTACCAGCCCGAAGTTGTCCGTTGCGCAAACATTGGCGGCGGAGGGACCGAGGTGGATTGGAAGGTGAGTCCGGCGTCTCAGCAGTGAGGTTGCGTTGACGTCCAGGTTGGAAGCGCAGTGCGAAGCTGACCTACCCGAGTCGTTGCGCTTCGGGAGAGTGGAGGTATCATGCGAAGGCTGGTCAGGACCAGGCGATCCTTATGTATTGAAAGGTATGCCAGACGATGCCCAGTCTTGAGCTTGAGCAGCGTCTCACACATTGTGTGCCATTTAAAGGCTCTTGTTCTCTGGAGTATCGCCTTGTCCAAGTACCAAGTGCTCTTCGAACGGGTGAAGAACCTAGTTTCCCTTCACGCTGGTTCCGAGGTATGTAACGTAAAACCATGTATTATACCGTGTCAGATGGGTCGCTCACATGGCATTCTGTGCGGTGCAGCCGCCTCACAAGATCCACTCTCCACGATCTTTACTATAATTTGGACGGCTATATTGCTTTTCATTCTATATAGCATACTGAAGTCCTGCTTCTCTCGCCCATCCTCCACTAGTCGGCCTGGAGGCACGACCCCTCGTCCGTCTGGTGGCTTTCCGGGTTCTGGCTGGTTCCCCGGTGCTCATCGACCAGACAACCCCACCGTGCCTCCGCCTCCCCCATATTCCAAGTATCCCAGCTCCTCAACTGCGCAGGACGAAGGCTGGCGGCCAGGATTCTGGACGGGCGCGGCGCTAGGCGGTCTCGGGTCGTACCTCTTCAACCGTCGAGAGCGGGAGCGCACAATGGGCCCCGCGGCGTACGACTGGGAACGCGACGAGCGATTACATCGGCCGCTGTCGTTTGTGCCCCGCCGATCGTCGTCTGGGTGGGCGTCTGGATGGGGCTCGGGTTGGGGAAGACAGCCGGACCTGCGGGATGAGGACCGTGGTGAGGGTCCGTCAGATTTGGGTCGAATGAGGCGGAGCACCGGGCTTGGAGGCTCAAATGTGCGATGAGGCTCGCGGTTGTATTACGGTTGTTAAATTGTATGTACTTTTGCTCAAATGCAGACGACGGGCCGTAGTTACACTGCTTCGCGCGCGCGTACGGACGCCCAAGGCTGCACTGCTATGCCACGAGCCTCGCTCTGCACCTGCCACCATGAACAGCTGCAGGCTCATATGGCGTTTTCTGCAAAGGAGGGCTTTTTACACTATCGTACTTCCTGCCTTCAACTTCTTCGCGCTCTTCCGTCCCATCTGCTATGACGCCCCGCGTCCCAGTTCCGGTCGATCCTTTCTCAAGTTGCTCCCAATCACAGGGCGCTCCACTTTAGCCTCCATGTATATCTTATACCTTCCGGAACATCCTTTCCAGCTCAGCGAAGTCGCTCTCTATAAAGAGTACAGCTCCGGCCAAGTGTTCTTCGTAGGCAAAGTCGTCGACAGCAGAGGAAGAGACGTCGGACACGTCTCGGCGGAACGTTGCACAGAGTCCATGCCGCAGCAGTGGTACATGAATGAGCCAGGAGACTTCCTCTCCGTTCAGATATCCCGACGCACATTGTTCGGGAACTATCATGCTCGCGCGCGCAAGTCTCGGACGTACAAGCTGTCAGACGCGGAACGCCCCGACTCCTTTCTCCACCTCGTAAACGCCTGCAGACTCGCCGACCAGAAATACAATCACCTCCCGGAACAGTCGTTCTGGTACGCCGGCTTCCTGTTCGCGCTGCTGTGCGACGCACCGACGGAGGACGTCCGGATGCGAAAACACGCGTTTCTCGCGACCACTGCGCAGAACTGGGGGATTCCCGCGACGACCATTACGGATATTCAGAATTCGGCGAATGACGCCAGCGGCATCGCTGCTCAACTGAAGGCTGATGCAGTCAGATTATGGCACATCCGGAACATGACGGAGGAAGAGTACCAGGAGGAAATGAAGAACCTGGATGAAGAGATAACGCAGAAGTATAGAGCAGCGACTAAAGAGCTTGAAGAAGCGGGGGGGAAGTATAGAGCTGAGATTGAAGAGCATAAGGAAAGGGTGCGAAAGTATGGAGCAGAGGCTGAAGAGCATAAGGAAAGGGCACGGCAGTATGGAGCAGAGGCTGAAGAGCACATGGAAAGGGCGCGGAAGTATAGAGCAGAGGCTGAGGAGCTTAAGGAAGGGGCGCGGAATGATGAGGCAGACAGACATTAAAGGGCGGCAAGCGGCAGCTCGAGGCAGAAGCTGAAGAGCGTCGCCGTCAGGCAGCTTTGGAGCCGAGCTCCATGCAAGAACAAACAGACTCGAATTCGCGGATATCGAGGTGCAGTCAATCTGGAGGAGGCATCGAGGAAGCTGCACACAGAGGCAAGGAGATCCAGATATTGGCCGCAGCAGCAGAGTCGTTGCGTGAAGGTGTTGCTAGATGGAGACGGAGATGTACTACTTGAACACCGTCAAAGTGTGAATATCAGCAAAATAATTGTCTAGGGAGAGCTCGTACTGAGTGTCACTTCAAGTTGGGGTGCGAAAGTCATCGCTTAACGGTCTTGTCACTGACGAGGACGGGGTCGAGGTAATGCTGCCGCGGTACATACGTCACGTGCGGTCGACAAGAGCTTCGGCGAGTCTTCGGCGTCGCTTCAGGCTCTACGCTTCATAATCACCAACGATGGTCGACGTTGGGAACTATCTGCGGTATGTCTTGCATCGTTGACTCTACCATCTATACTTATCACCTCTATCCAGGTGCTTCCGGAGGCGTGTCCGCAATGGTGCGGACAAGCTAGATGGTGGTCAATTAGAATTTACCGCACGTTACCCAATATTCGCTCCTTCTCTCGTATGTATGCTAATGCTAGCTTTCAATCTGTAGCTCAGAGCGGTTTTCTTTGGACTACTCATTGGATGTCTGTTATGCTTCACGAATTTGTACTTCGGGTTGCAGACGGGATGGATCAGCATGTATGTTGTCTGGTTCGTTGGACGAGTTGTCGACACTGATCTTGAGTCGCAATCACGTTTGGCCATCCGTCAGGATGTCTCTTCAGTCAGCCCTTATTGGATTTCTCGTCTCGCGATTCTTTTCCAAACCCATGAGCGCACAAGAGAACGTCGTTCTGCAAACTATTGCAGTAGCAACCGGAACAGTGAGTCAGATTGGCGCATATAATTCTCCTACGGAAGCTCATCTATGCCGGTGTGATAGATGCCTCTCGCCGCTGGTTTCGTGGGCATATTGCCTGCCCTCGGTCTACTGGATGAAGAGAGAGATGGCGTGCCTCCCTTGCGTCTCTCATGGATAGGTACAGTGGGCTGGTCGTGTGCCGTCGCCTTCTTCGGGTACGTCGCCAAGCTGTTAAACCAACGGATTACCCGATTGTTGACGCTCTTTCTTGTCAAGAGTATTTCTCTCGCCTCCAATACGCAAACAAGTGGTAGGCCCTGCGCTTTAGCTGACACCATTTACGAATTGATACCAGCAACGCCGCAGATTATAGAGGAACAGCTCGCTTTCCCGTCAGGGACAGCCACTGCGCAACTGATCTCAGTGTTACACCAAATACCCCCTCCAGAAGGGACTATCCGACAACGAAGAGGCTATCAAGAGCTTGATACTGACGATATAGAAGGCCCTCCATCACCGGAGTCTGATGTTACGGAAAGCTTTGAGTCGGAGGCTGTCGAGCAGGAAGGCTGGGGAGCGCTGTTGTGGAGCTTTGTCGCGTCTGGCGTAATGACGGTGGGCCTATAGACACAAAATCCCGATGTTGGTCCTTCACTAAACTCCGGTAGCTTACAGCTTATTTCTTCCCTGTCGTGTTTGCCATACCACTCTTCGGGAACCACTTGGCGAACGAATGGCTGTGGACATTCACGCCCAGTCTATCATACATTGGCCAAGGTACGTCGGACGAATCTGCAGTTGTTGGACGGTATGAAACCTCGACTCGCACTAGGCATTATTATGGGATTCCCAACGACGCTCAGTATGAACCTCGTAAGTCCGTTACCCCCCGCATCTCCTGTCCTATGCTCACTTACTCAAGGGCATGCTCGTTGGATGGGGTATCCTGTCTCCGCTCGCAAAACATGCAGGTTGGGCGCCGGGACCAGTAGGCGACATGACCATCGGTGCGCGGGGTTGGATCCTCTGGGTTTCCCTTGCCATCATGTGTGCGGACAGTCTCGTCTCGCTGATGCCTGTCATTGGCGAGATTTTTTACACAAAGGTTTGGCTCCCCAAAACAAAATCGGGCAGTAGTGTAAGCGCCGTCGATGACAAGGAGGCGGAGCCACCTGAGAGGCTCGTGCCTACTAGCTGGGTCCTGTGGGGTCTAAGTGGCAGTGTGGTCTTCGGCACTGGTCTTGTGTGGTTAGTATTTGGCCACGAAGGTATTAAGCCGTGGGCTACTGTCGTCGGATACTTGATGGGCGCGCTTCTCAGTGTTCTCGGGTTCGTAATTATTCGATCTTCTCTGTCAGTCGGTACTAAGCATTTCAGAACTTGTCCAGAGTCCGAGCACTTGGAGAAACTGATCTGAATCCTGTCAGTGGGCTGGGTAAGATCAGCCAGCTCTTCTTCGCGTGGATCCAGCCGGGCAATATCGTTGCCAATATTATTGCCGGTGGTGTTGCTGAAGCTGGTGCACAACAGTAAGTTATTCTAGTTTCTCAGTCTGGCTAATCTGACCTGTAAATCAAGAGCGGGAGACTTGATGCAGGACCTGAAGACCGGCCATTTAATTCACGCCTCGCCCCGCGCTCAATTCTTTGGCCAGCTTATTGGTTCATGTCTGTCCATTATAGTCACGGCGACAGCGTACACTCTGTACAACCGCGCTTACCAAATTCCTGGACCCTCGTTCCCTGCACCAACCGCATATGTGTGGTTAGGTCTTGCTCGCTTGCTCCGTACGTATTTTACGACTTCCAACTATGTTGACTTACTCGTAACTTCCTCCAGGTGACGGCCAGTTGCCCGAGAAGAGCAGTGATTTCATGGTTGCTTTTGCTATCTTTTTCGCGCTGGTGTCAGCAGCCAAGGCATACGTAGGGCGACGAGGCGCATGGTACACAAAGTGGATACCCTCCGGCGTGGCCTTCGCGATCGGCTTCCTAAACACGCCGGCTTTCTCGCTCGCGCGATTAATTGGCGGGATCATCGAGCACGTCTACTACACCCGCGTCGGGCGCGACACTGGTGGCATTCGGCTCATCATCATCGCCAGCGGCTTCGTACTCGGCGAGGGTGTGGTGAGTGTGGTGTCCCTGATTCTGCGAACATGGGGAATCGGCGTGGCGGGCTGTTGGGGATGTGGACACGGGATGTGTGGAGGATGTCCTGCGTGATGCCAAAACCTGCACGCTTTCATTGGACCTGACTCGGATAGAGTTGGATATCATGTATTTTACGTAGGCTATTCGTCGTTTTAGTTTTTGACAACCATCGGATGTATACATACATGTAGTTCTGACCTTCTTCGACAGACAATAATGTCGGTGTTGGAGTGTCAAGCTTCAGTACCGACGGACTGAGAACTCTGTTCGTATTCCCCATCAGCTATTGCGAGTGAACGGACGTTTAGAGTGTCCCATTGCGCCGGTCGCAACAGCGTATTCAGATGTTGTCTCTAGTCTCCCAAAGGCAGACTGACACTGCTTCAACAGGTTATCCGTGTCTGGGTTGTCTCCCGATCTGATCTGGCTCCGAGCTGCTACTAGGATTTAAAGATTACTATGGTCGCAGTGTTACATATCACATGCCGCTGCCAAATGCTGTCACACTCACGCCGCGTTTTGGCAGGGGAGAAACCCAGTCCCGAGCAAACTACACCTTCCACATTAACTTTGAAAAAAAAATGTCACAATCAGATCATTAAAAACCTGTTTTTGAACAATATGATCGCAGCAGATTTTTGAAGGCAGTGCTGTGAAAGGCGTAGAAAGCCATTTTGTGCTGTTCTCCAGCCAAGCGTGACAATTCAGGTCACGTGAAGTAATTTTAGTCAAGAATGAGATGGGTCTATCTTAGTACTTATACTTACACTGACTGCGCTTATCAATTCCCTCTGATACCTTGCCAAATTCTCAGCTAATCCTAACATCCTACCTGCATAATCAGAATATTGTCGTAGCTACGATAGAGGTGGCAGGTAAGTCACTACGACTTGTAATTCCTTCCCTATATATTCATCAAGGAGTGCCATTCAGCTCTGGCTTCAGACGCTGACGGGACAGATGCCCGGTGTAATACCAGACACCAAACCACCTAGCAAGCTGCCACCCGAGCTTGTTGAATACATCATCGAGGAGGCTTGGCTGACCTGCTCCACCGCCGAACGCTGGGAATTGTACAGCAATGTCTGTCGCGTCTCCCCTGATTGGCATGCTATCCTACTCGATATTTGTCTGCAGTTCGTCATTATTGACGTGCCAGCGGACATAGAGGGCTACAGGAAGCTCATGCCGTCCCGGATGGCTCTGCGCGATAATGTGCAGACCTTGGGCGGGGGAGCATATTATTCATCGAAGCCTTCCCATTTGTGTTTAACCCTAAGGAATCGCTTCAAACGGCACGTAATGCGCGACTCTTATGGTAACTGGTCCGACTTCTACGCCATGATCCACCCTTTCGTACCGAATTGTACGTCCGTGCATATTGTTTTGGCCGATGAAAGCATGTTCGAAGGGAGTATGTCGAAAAGGCTCTTCAGCATGTTGTCTCGTATACGCAACACGAGCCTGTACCTCACTTGGGCATACTACGCGGAAGGGAAGGGAACGCCTGACATTCTCCTTCCTGCCGTTACCTATCTCCGCATCCAGCACTATCCACAGTGCTCGTGCCGCACCGCATCCGAGGGTCAACACGAGGATAACTGCTTGTCGGACAATCTCCTCAGCCGCTTCCCCAATCTTCGGCACCTCCATCTTGACTCACCCTTCTTCCTCAAATACCTCAGAGCTTCACCCACTTTGGAAACCGTCACTTTGGATGCTCCTCCCTCTCGGGTAATAGCCACGCGCGAACCTATGAGTTCGCTAGTGGGGTGGAATATCGGTGCAGGCCTTAATCGAGGTTTCTTAAAGGGTGGCGCAACATCTTCTCGCAGACGGATACTGGTGAATACAGGCACGAAGGAGCCCATGGGATGGTCGCAGGCACAGATCGCTTGCGATGCACATGGTGTCGTTTTGGAACGTAGGTGTATTTTTGAAGACGATCCAACGAACGATATTCCCGACCAGCACGGGTTGTGGAAATTGGGTTACGCATCGGGGTTTCACACAAGAAGCTGATGAGGCTACTGGTATGAAATACTGAGAGGGATAGCTTGGACGTCGCCGCTCACGTTCCGTGTCAGTGTATACTAGTTGAGACATAAACGTTCTTCATAGGGGATTCTTCCCCAGTGTCACTTCTCGTAAGTACTAGTGTAATCCGTACAGTATACCAACAGCACGAATGAAGTCTTCCAACGATGTTACCACTCAGTATTTGGGGATGAACGAGTAAGATTTACTATTACAGGTTATTTTCCGCGCAATTGCCTCTCATATAGACGTACATGCTCAACCGGCCAGCGTCTTAGACAACGCCATCGCTACGAATGGCGCACTGGCCAAACTCCTTCTTGGTGAGACCTTCCTCCTTGGGCAAAATGTCCTGGGGACGTCCCCGTTCATGAATCCTATCAAGGATAAAAGAGACAAAGCTCACATGGTCGAAGATACCCAAGGGAAGGGCGAGGGTCACGCAGGCGTTCGGCGAGTCCTGAGGAAGAGTTTAGGACGACGTACCCGCTTACGACTCAAGTCGAAGCGCTTACAACGATGGCGCCAACATGGCTTTCAACAGGGGCAGCAGACAACAGCAAGTCTTTCGCAAATCGTCAACGGATAACTCAGCGAGAACACAGCGATACTACTCACATGCTTGCTCGCGCGCTTCGATGTGCAGTAAGAGAATCAGAGTCAGCTTCACCTCGAAGAAAACGAGTAACGTACTGTATCCAAGCTGAGGATTTGATCAGTACATATCGCGATGCCCATGAGGAGTGAATACACACCTTCATCAAGTAAGCGATGGCGTTCAATGCAGCCTGCTTATAAGCGACGGTCCTGGAGGACAAAGTTGTCAATCAACATTCCGTCGAAATGCATACAGTCAACACACGCGTCCATATTGTATTGCTTGCCATCGCCATCTGTAAGAGATGTGGGGATCAGACCCCAAGTTACGCCCGTGCATGCCACGCACGATAGTCCACGCTGATACCCTCGAAGATAAGCTACACGAATTATTAATGTTCAGGGTCACATCATTGGTGAAACGTATGTAACGCACCTTCGCTGAGTACAGAGGATCCACGGGGGAGGGCTGGGTTGGACGTGAATGTTACTAATGCTTCATTTCCTCGCACATGAGGCACAGCTTACCAAGAAGAGCGGTTGCTTCAGTGCGAACTTCTCGACGCCGTTCTTAATGATGCTCGTCTTGAAGGTAATGATACCTGCCTGTAAGCCGAAGTATCGTCACGTTACTGGGCAATCACCACAACAATGTACAACGTACCATCTCAATGGCTCCACAAAACGAAATCTAGAGACCGTCATCATCCATTTTTGCATTTGTAAACATCGATACTTACTTCTCCCTGTGCGAACACGTCAGTCAAACAAAAGTCTAATCATCCGTAACGAACAAGCTCACGTCGCCCTGCGAGAAATGCAGATCGCCGACTGACAGATTTGCACCTTTGACGAAGACAGGGAAGTAGCAACGAGAACCCCTAGACGTCCTGCATGAGCATATTGCACTAGACAGCAATACGCCAAAGGCTCACTTCGACAAGTTCTTGATCTAGTCAACATAAATGGCGAGGGAATAACGGTCAGATTCACGGACATAGTAAATGCATCACTACACCCACATCGCAGTTTCCGCCATGCTCTCGTCCAGGGACCGTTCTAGCGCCTTCAGCGTAGATCTTCGCCCTCACATCATCCGGCAACTCCTGACCAATATATGCACCTTGAGCCAGAGGCGGTAACGCCACCGGCGGGACAGCATTCGCGTGGGCGGCAATGAGATCGCCCTCGCGCTTGTTCCAGGTCGCAAGGAGTTCTGCGGAAGGAGCTGTACCGATCAAGCCAGGATGGGAGACACCGGCAAAGCGAACGCCGGGAATGTGCCTTGAGGTAGCATAGACACCTATTAGGAACATCAGGAAATGGGTATCGGTGTGGTCAGAAGGTCGAGAGTTACCCTCGAAGTCCCAGATTGCCTTGGCTGCCTTGCTGTTAAATTCCCGAGCTGACTCGACTATGAGGACGAGGAGTTGGACCATGCTGCCTAACACTCACCGAACAGGCCACCGCCATTCGTAAGTTCGAAGATACCCTGAGGTAGAACAACTCTCCATTCCAGCACAAATCCGTGAAATCATATTGGACCTACGGTATAACCCCAAGGCATCTTCTCGAACGGGGTAACTGAGCGGTCGGTAGTTAAGTCTCTTGCGTTGTATTTGTCAATATCTAGACATACCATCCAATATGTCGACAACCAAACAATCTCCGGGCTCGGCGCCTTCAACAGCAACCGGACCAGACAGATTATGGATTTTTGTCAGATCCACATCCCTCATGTCATCGGCAACTAAACGTAAAGTCAATAATCGAAGAATAGACGTGGTAAAAATCGACGCACAATCATTGTTGCCAATCTGAGCACCAGTCCAGTCTTCGACATGTCGGCTGATATGAATCGTGGTGCAGCAGATGACGAAACTTACCGACACATTGGATCTTGAACACCTGGAGACATCAGTAATGAGATACGGAGCGTCGAGGAGTAAAACTGCAACGAGCACTCACTTCGCCTGGTTTCACTGTAACGAACGCGGGAATATCGGGGCTATGAAGATCGAACAATGTATCGCCCCAAAGAACGCAATTCTATCAGTGCACTCACTGCCAACGGTTGTGGATTCCCTGGATACACATATTAGTCAGGAAAGGAGACCACAATACCGCATATACGAACTTTCTGCTGATCGGCAGGACTACAAAGAAGCTTTAGAATTACCTTGAACTGGCAAATAGAAACTGATCAGCACTCACACAAAGGGATCGACCTTGTAGAATCATTACACAAGTTAGAGCAGACTACCGTACAGTTATCAGTCACTCTACCTCGATGAGGGTGGGGTGCGCAACGGAGTTCGCTTTGGTGGCCATGGCAAAGAATCAAGCCTTCCGAGTCGAGGAGCTGGTGGCGATACGGTGGTGAGGTGCACGTCGGTATGGCGTTGGTGTCACCAGGAGCTTTATACTCTCACGACATGATAAGGCGGCCCGCCGGCGGGGTCGCCCAGCTCAGATGTTGAACAAGTTGACAACGCCATCGATAAGCACCTACCCTAGAACGATCATGGATAGCACTAAGCGGGTTAACTTATGGCACTCCATTGAGAGATAAGATTGACCTGAAGCAGACACTGAGATATCATCATGGCAGCAGATACCGTAGAGTCGCACGCACGGCAGAACCATATGACTTTGGGCTGTCACGTTTCACTCGCTGTTCAGAATTTGCTGCGTTATCGCCGTAAAGCCACAAACCTAGCCCTGCGAGCACGGCGCAAGAAGAACAGGTTGAAGTTAGTGATGCAGCGGAGGCTGTCGTTTAGATTTATTAGACGCCCATGCACAGATCGATCATTGGCGAGTAGTCTGATAACAGGGCCAATTAGAAGCAAGAAATAACAGAAGTGTTTCTTCGATATGTCAGAATCGTGAGGGGTCGTCGTTACAGGAGAGCAGAGCGGTCTGTGAGCAGAATAACAGATGAGTAGGATACAAGAATAAGTCATTGCACAACGTCCGCGACTGAGCATATCCAAGGAAATCCGACAGAGGGTATTGTCGAGGTTCGTGAACAGATGAGGTAGAGGATCGTGAAGGAGTGTCATGCATTGGTTTGTCCTTGATAACGCTTGATCAATTCTCTCAATCGTGCCTGTCCAAATGCTAGTTCCCCTTTCGCGGTATTTGGTTTCGGGTCCGAAGGCTTCAATCGTGACATTTCAGGGATAGATGTAGGAAGCTTGAGGTTGTTCCTGTCACTCAAAGGTGGAGTAGGACGGGCAAGCGAAGCCGTCGAAGAGAGCATGGGCGTAGCTAAAGATGAAGAGACAGCTGCAGGAGAAGTGCTAGCCTTGGTCATTCGACCGCGTTTCGCGGAGATATCTACAGCTGGTGCTGCTTTCGTCTCTCGTGGTCTAATAGGTGCAAGAGAAAGCTTCGCATTCGACGGAGGTTTAGGAGGTTCCGACAGCGGTAGGCTCTTCTGAGGGAGAGGCTTCATGGTGGGTGTTTTCCCAAGGTCAAGGGTTTTAGCAAGGGAAACACCGGAATGCTTGACGACAGGCTTCGAATTGTTGTCCTGCTGCTGCGTGGCGGAGGCCCAGATAGCTGCCACAGCGGTCACTTTTCCACCCCGACCACCACGAGCGGAACGGATGTCGTATCGGACTTCGGGATCCGGCGGCTGAAGTGGATAGGCCGCTAATCGAGGCGGTACCACTGCCACTCTCGCCAGCGGTGTCTTTGGATTCGGAGAGTCCTTTCCAGAATTGCGAGCATTTACGTTCCCTGTAGGAATCGGTACCTGGATATTTGAACGGATCGTGCCTATCGGGAGAAACCCAGACGATCGAGGATTCGGAGCAGCAGATACATCTGGACTGGCAGCGTCTGGAGAAACATTTTTTGATAGATCCTGCAATGCCTCAGCGTCACCTTCGGAACGTTCGCCATCCTGCGCAGGGAGCACTGTTTCCAGGCTGGTAGGAGGTGACGTCGCCTGAGGAAAAACATCTGGCTCAATGCTTCCCAACCAAGCAGCCACTCTTCCCTGGGCTGCCTTTCTAAGTCGGTAAAATTCATCGTCTTTGCTGTGGTTTGCACGCTCCCCGCCATGTTTCCTTGATCCGCCGTCCTTGTTGCTCCCTTGAATTTCGGCTTTCTTCGACTCCGATTTCGCGTCTTCACCGATCTCACGTTGGTGAATGGGTTCTTCGCGCTTAAGCGTCCGAGGCTCTGACCCAAGGGCAGGAAGCGTAAGGCTAGAGATCGCTGAATCGACAGCGGGATCTTGCTGATCCGTAGAGCGGGGTATGGAGATAGGTAGCACTGAGCGCACGTCTGCGTAATGCGCTGCTTTCTCAATCTTCCGTGTGCCCACTTCGGCGAGTAATTTCGCTTCCAAAGCATCTAGCCCACTTACTCCTCCAATGAGATCCAAGCCTCCGGCATGAGCACTATTGACGCAGGGGACTTTGAGAGATGTAACTGCAGCCAAGGTAGGCGTAGGCGGAGTCGGTGTCTCTTCCGGGAAGAGCGAGTCCAACTTTGTCCGCACCTGAGCGACACCGTCCTTATCCGTTGAGACGGGCGGACTGGGCAGCGTCTTGTCTCGATCAGCGGTATTCTCGTGACCTGTACAATTGTTGGGCCCTAAGTCGAGCTCCGCGCCCGACACCGACATGTCCGCATTGTGGCTGTCCACTCGAGCAGCAATGCGCTCTAGGTTCTCGATGTGTGTGACTTGCGCGACTGGATCGACAGAAAATGAATGTTTAGGCGAGAGCATCGGACGTGGAGAAACAACCAAACCCTGGGCACAGGCAGGCGATGTAGGGAGATCCAAGGGTGGAGGCTGTAGGCGTGGTCGACTATGTGGAGACGATGATGGGCTGTAGCTCGAATAGGCTTTCAACGTGAGACGCTCCACAGGAAGTGACAACGTCGGTGGAGTTGGAGGTGTATGCGGGTCGGACGATACAGGTATGGCAAAGCGATGTGAAGGCGGGGAGGCTGAGCGGTGTCTGGACGACATGCGGAGATGGAGAGTAATGCGTGATGCGCGCTCGCCCTTGCCCTCTTCGCGCTCCGCAATGGGCTGGTTTAATGACAGGGAAGGCAGTGGCTGCTGCACGTAAGACGTAGGTAATCCGTAGAGTGGTTGCGACGGGATTGGCTCGGCACTGGTAGGACGTAGGGGTGGAATGTAAGACATGACAGGGTCCGAGTGATAATACGGATATGACACGGGCGGAGGTGAAAAAGGTCCTGCGGATGGTGGGGGCAGCCAGACCTGACCTTGATGCAGGTATGGTAGCGCGAAGGGTGACGTGGGAGGTGAGGGATATGAGCTGATAGGATACTGCTGGTATGATGCAGGCGATGTGGACGGCTGGTATAGCGTTAAGGGCATAGGATCATATATCAGTCCGTTGTAAGGCTGGGGTGAAACAGAGTACGGATCTGGGAATGGTACTGTGGACAAGGCCAAAGGATGCAAGATCATGACAGGAAGGTCCAGACGGACGTCTTTGCTGATTGATTAAATCCTACATCAACGCGACCCCGAAGATTTGAGGAATGCACAAAAAGCGCACCTTCCGATGCCCATGCTAAGCTTTACACTGACAATGCATCGTACTTCGAAGAGCGGTTCTGTCGTACTGTCACTTTCATCGTTGCCTCTGCGTTTCCCTCCTTTCACTCCTCTAGCAGCCTTGGGTACGTCGACAACGAGATTAGCCACACCTTCTGCACCAGCTTGAATAATATATTCCGCGCCACGAAAAGAGACTGACGTCAAGGTGTCAGATATCTGTAAAAGTTGCTTCTGCGATGAAGCCAAACTGGACAGATGTAGCTGTCGGGTAAGGGAAACTGCAAGCCCGGTATTCTACGCAAGGGTTAAGCCCAGGATTGGACAAATTTCATCTTGGGAAACTGACCTTCTTCGCAGAGTGATTCTTCACCTGTAACTCGATGCACGCTGGCTGGCCAGCAACCATGAACCCACCAACTACCTTCCCTTGAACCCAAATCTTCCCGTTTTCGCCCACTATCAAACCTTCCGGTACAGTCATTCTCGAGTGATCTTTTTCAAAGCATTCTACCACATCTACGAGTTTCTTATCCATTACGAAGCTCTTCTGTCCCTTCCAGGCGACGGATACACTTGCCCTTATCTCGTAGCGAACGTTTGCCAGGCTAGATCCAAAATTAATCGAGGATGGTGAAGATTCTGGAAGTGAGAACTGAAAGAGGAATGTCGTCACACCGCGACGGGCAGGGTAGTGATGGCAAGGAAGTGGAGGATCACCTGGGGTAGGATGTGGGTGCACGGCATTGGAAGGCGGGAGTCCTGGGCCCTGAAAGAGACGCCTGGGATGCAAGAACGTTGAAGTGGCGGAATGATCCCGAGAAGTGAGCTCTGTCGAAAACATGAATTCCAACGTTAACTTTGCTGGCCATGGGTATGACAGACCTTCAATAGCAAACAACTCTGCCATTATTACGCCAATACCTAACCCTTTGTCTGCTTTACATTCCACCTCCATTTTCCCAGTAATAGTACTTCCTGCGACGAATAGTGGCTCGGCCAGCTTCAACGACACCCTCACCTTCGGGTGGTAGGGAGAGGCATTCATTGGATCTAGCCTGGTCTGCAATGCCATGGCTGGTACGATGATAACGCGCTGCCACAGAGACCCAAACAGTAGACAGGTGGCTTCGTACACAGACCCTCGGACAAGATGAGGAGATCAATTCTGAGACCGTTAATCAGACAATCCGAGAGCAGCATGCGTGCAACGGTTGGTGAGAATTATGTAAACATGGCCAGGAAATATTCAGCAAGGATGGACGTGGCGTCGGATGCGATTGAGATTGGAAGGTGAGTAGCTTGCTGCTCAGGATTGCCCTCATTTGGACTTACATGCCATAAATATAGTAACTCTCGAAACTCAGAAGCTCAAATGAAAGCTACGAATTATTTTGGGCGACAGTCTACTGTACTACTACGTGCTGTAACTAGCTTGCAAGCTACACAACTCGATACAAGCTCGGCATCCTTGCCTCTCGCGATCGAGTTGTACAAGTGCTAATCCGAACCCACAGTGGTAACGTTAACAGGACAATATCTCCCTTGGCTTGCCATTCTTTGCAGTATTCTCTGCCTTGGTACGCACTTCAAATTGCAGAACCTGCCCTGGCTACCAAATCGTCTCTACGCTGGGCTCTGTTTCGAGGTTGTTGTTCTGTGTTCGCCCTCCGATTCCTTTTCGTGCACTACTCCTCGTACCTAAATGCCCGCGAAGTACTCACACGTAAAGAAGCGACCAGCTGGACAATCTAAGAAAGCTGGAAGCAACCACAGCAATGGAAGTAACAACCACGCTCACCACCGGAATCCCAATCCCCACCTCGATCGGCACATTGATCTCAGCATTACACAGGCAGTGACAGCCGTGTCGCAACTCGAGCGCGCGATTGCCCGCATTCTGCTGATTCGTTTCGAGCAGGACATGGCGCGATTGTTCTCTACACACCTCCACTGTGTCGCGCTTCTGCATCTCCCCACGTTCGTAATGCGATGTGTCACCGTATGCGGACCTGGCTGGGTGGCCGCGAACGCGGACTGTGACGAGATTAAAGACTTCTTCCGTGCAGCGATTGGCATGGACCTGAGACAAGCCGGCGATCGGGTTGCTACGAAGAGCGTCCTTTGGTCGTATACTGCTTTGCGACATTTTGTACGTCTTTTATTCGGAGCGGGATAAAGGTTGGCATTTCAATATATCGCAGGCCATGTCTCACAATGTCTCCATCTGCCGGAAACGTGGTCTGCATTCGCTGCAACTGCTTCCGCATTACTCTGCCCTGAAAGCTCATCTCGACACTCTTGAGGCCATGCCAGCACCTGCATTCGCCAAGCCACCCCATCTAGGTTCACTGTCTGAGGGACTTCGCGCTCTGGAAGATGCGTGTGGAGCCAAATATACCAAAGACGCGGAATGGCGCACAAAGCTGCGCGTGGGGTACGAGCGCGTCTGCACCACTCTTTGGCGCGTTGCTGGCGAGTTTGACGTGCGCGGATACGGCCTTGTCCTACGCGAGAAATTGACGAACAAGTGGTGTGACTGCGGGTGTTCGACGGATCATCTTAGTGAAGTGTGTGAAAAGACAGTGCGTGAAGACGAGGAAGAGAGTGGAGTGCGGCCGGGAAAGGAAAGAGAATGGGACGGACGTGGTGCGCTTGTTTTGTCGCCGACTTTACGTCGCGCATTCCTCAAATGCTCTTCATAGGAAGCGGTGTGTATGGCTGGGAAACAGAAGAAGAAGAAGATATTTGGGAGATTGACTTCGACTTCATCGGCCTGGTATCGGAGGATAATGACGACGAGGGCCTCGATCCTGACATGACTATCAACGGGCTCATGGAATGGCGATATCTTAGGGCTGAACGCGAGAAAGAGCAGGTCGAGAACTCATTGTCTATGCATCAACTTTGTACTCACGCCGTTCATGATGCTCGGTATCTACAGGGAAACACGGCTTTCAAGAGGGGTCATTACGTGGAAGCCATAGAACATTACAAAGCAGCACATCGAATCGAGCCCGAGATGTCGCATTATCAGTTGAACCTCGCGGCTGCGCACCTGAAGCAACAAAAGTACGTGACCAGTACTCGCTCTGTTGCCTTCGTGCTAGCAGCTCATGCTACGACATCAGCTGCGTAGCTGCAGAACGCGCCTGTGATACTGCGCTCGGTCAGCATATGAGCCTGAAGGGGCATTGGCGCCGAGCACAAGCGCGAAAAGCCCAAGGTCGCACTGAGGATGCCATCAAGGGTATGCATGCTCGGGCACCATGAAATTAGCTTTTTAGACTCACGTCTACGTGTAGATCTACGGGCTGTGCTCAAAATCCAACCCACAAATGCTGAAGGGTTGGCAGAGTTGACAGTATTGTCACCGGCCGATGCGCCTGTCTCTTCCCCTTCATTTTCTTTGTCGAAATCCGCCTTTTCATCCACCGAGTCGTCTTCATCCCGTTCTCAACCTGCCGGATCGACCGCAGCTACGAATCTTTGCAAGCCGTTGCCCTTCCCGCGAACAGACGTAGATAATCGCAAGTTGAAGATCTTCACCCTTCCGTTGACAGTGGACATACCCATTGATTTCATTCCATTTCTCAATGCCAAGATGGCGCCTCTATCCTCTTCCAAACTGATTACAGAGTCATTCGTATATCCTAACTGGGAACGCTACGTTGTGCAGAGGGTATTGGACTAAATGTGAGCGTGCTTACCAGTCTGTATGGGCATCTTCATTTTATGCATACCTTCCGTCTGGAGCCTGTACTACTTTTGCATCGAGTGGTTCTAGGTACCGTCATATCGTGCTTCTTCGTGGAAGTGCATGTATTTGTCTTCTAGCACTCTATTTTCGTAAGTTATGGGCGCCGCCGCTGCAGATTTCTTTAGCATTTGTACTCTTTGGTAGACTTGAAGCAATCTTGAAGCATCTTAGATTGTGTCTTGAGCGTCTTGAATCACATCTGAAGTATATTGTTCCAAGACCAGCGGTCTTATTTAAAGAGAACGGACCTCATTACTTTGAGACGACCGTCTTGCGTCCTTATCCATCTTATTGTGTTGATTAAGACAAATGAGACCGAAATAAGACGGGTGGAGTTCTCCTGATTGAGTCACTGTTGGGATTTCGAAGGTGAATCTTCCGTACGCGTAGCTTGAGGTTGGGACATTATAACGCGCCAACGCTCTTGATACTGAGTTCCCTCGCGACGAAGCAGCGATCCTTGTCTCGCCCCGTCGCACTCTCAAAGGCTGTCACCAGCGATGCTTGGCCGTCGTCAGTCCTGCAACATGTGGGGAAGGTCAGTATGTTACATATTAATCGAGTGGAAGCACTGACCACTCAACAGTATGTGCATCCTTGTCCAGGACGACCTTGATAGTGGTCCAGGAGAAACGGACGAGCGAGGGAAAGCCGAACGTGCGATCAAGCGAGCTCTTGATCCATGCCTGCGTCTTGGGATCTAGAGGTCGCACAAATGACGGACATCCACCGATGATGGTCGCACAATCTTACCAGAGGGATACCCGCTTCCGAGCTCTTCGGCCCATCGCGATTCAGCTCCCTTCGTAGCGCCGTCTCCGTTCTGGCTTAATGGTTGAAGCTCCTCGAACACCCAACCTTCGATCCAAGCGTCGCGTGTCACTTTCGCCGCGACACTCGCCGCGCCGACGATCTTGAATTTTGAATCCGCCTTCGCGGTGACCGTGAAGTTGATGCCAGGGAACTGGGAGGTCAGATATGCTTCGTACTGCTTGGTCGGGCCGAGCGCATCCACAAACACCTAGAGTCAGTCAGGATACCATGGATAGGATGCTAGACTGCATCAAGACGCGCCTCCGATAGGTGGATGCCGCGTTGCAAGACTTCCCGGATGAGGAGGATGGTAGCTTGTTCAGACTGGCGGTTGAGGTTGGTTGGAGGGCGGCGGAGCATGCCACCAGAAATTGCTTGCGGACTAGCTCACGGACATTAGTCCCATCTCACTAGGACAAACAGTGTGCGCACCTCAGGACCCGGACTGACCAGCCGAGGTTCGATGCGTCCGAGCACAACGTTCCCAAGAGTGACAACCGTGTGCTCGCTGTCAGTGCCTTCGAGTCTATATGGTGAAGAGACATGAGATGGTAAAGCTGGGAGTATAACGGCGTACCCGCGAATCCAAGTCCATCCAGCTCATCCTGGTAGGAAGCAGGGCAGTATGCTACCCCATAGACGAGCGGACCCAAGACTGGTCCTCTTCCGGCTTCATCGACGCCCAGAATATAAGGTCCCGCAGCGGTTGGGGTTGGTGAGTGATAGGTGTACGAAGCCGTGAGCGGGGATGATGGGTCTGTGATGCACGGAATGCTAGTTAGGCCTGATGTTTGCTTGCCCGTGTTGCCAGACATGTTGGGCCAATACTTGCTTGATAGCGGCTTCAGCTTGAATTGTATGTCTGGGAGTGGGGAGGAGAAACTGCGGTAGCGACGCGTCGACGCGTCGACTTTTCCGCGTAACAAATTGGCTTCTAACTGGACTAAAGTACTGGATGACTTCCCGTAAAGGATTTAGCGGTTAGCAGGGCCTTCTAAAGCTAACTCTGGCTTCGAAATATTTAACTCCGACAATTTGTCATCCAAATTTCCCTAAATTGGAAATGTGCCACTAGACTTTCTCACTGACTCAGCACTCCGGGTGCTCAGCAGGATTGGAATGCATGGGGCACGCCGGGCACGGCTCATTCACATCAGAGAGTCAGAACTAGGTAGAAATGCAAGACTACAGCTGCTGATTCAATCATATGGAGGTACAGTCACTAATCATGAATCATGAACACTTGAGTCTGAGTGTGCACTCGGTGCACCGAGCCTTACAGAATGCAGAGAGAGCCCTGAGAGCACGAAGTTGCACCCCATCCATGTCAAGTGCAGGTTAATTGAGAACTTACAGTAGAGCACATGTATACTCTTCCCGCACCTCTGCACGACCGCCACTACTTCAAACCACGAACGCACTTCACGGAGTACAGAACGTGCGATCACTTACGAGTACATTCATGATTGCGAAAATGGGGCCAAGCCTCTTGAGGAATGCAAGTGCAGTGTATACAATTAAAAATGCTGTGAGAATGTGGAGGTGTGGTCTCAGGCTGCTCATAGGTGGTACTCACATGAGGTAACTAGTGCCAAGCCTTCGGTCAGGGTGAAGATATCTGGGGTTGAGCAACAGATTAGCATGACTATAGAGACAATGAGAAAATCCTCAGACACAACATTTGACAAAGGAAACATTACAGTTCGTGTCTGGATCTGTGTTGGTGCTCAGCATTTGCTGTCACTATTATACTTGCATTCCAGGATGATGACAGATGTACCAGATGGATAGGAAGGCAGTTACAGTGGCATTGAAACACACTAAGCACAGCGATGGAAGACGAGAAATGAATATGGCACTCACTCTGGTTCTGCCAACATGCTCCGCGTGGTCTCCCGGTCCCAATGTCAATAACTTACGTTTCTCCAGCTTCTGCGGGGCCGAAATTGTCTAGCTAAGCTGGCGCGCAAGAGATTTGTATAATAGCACCAACATATGTGTGATGAAGTCGGGGAGGACACGGGATACAGCGACGAAGGCAGGGTGCGCGCGCGTTTAGCGCGTTTAGCAAGCATTTAGCGCGGCTAAAGTTTAGAATCCACCTCAGAGTGGATACTAAATTTGGCCTCTAAACCAGTTCTAAATGCTCGCTTAAGTGATTTAGAGGTGTTCAGGGAGTTCTTTCTTAGTTCCAAAACCTTGTGCCGGTTCGGCAGCTTAGTCATAAATCATCTCCGACAAATGAAATATCTATTTCAGGAAGGTTGTCAGGGACTAAACGGACTGCCGAAGTCAGCCGAAGGGTTCTAAATGTTTAGAAACCGGCTGCTATCCGCTAAATCGCTTACGGGAAGTCATCCACTAACGTCCATAACAAACTTGAATATCAAGTGGTGGCTAAGGCTTGCGATCCGTTAGCTGCTTGATCCGATCCTTGAACTATAAACATCTTTCACCCGTCCGCCATCTGCCCAAAGTCAGTTCCCGACTCCTCAAGAAGACGTGCGACATGGCTAGACTGACTAGGATATGTTTCGCCGTATAGTGGAAGATATCTCAACCGGGTCAGATTCAGATTACTCCAAGTGAGTTCCACTCGCCTTTCGTTAAGTCCTTACTCACTATGCAGCAGTTCGGTACAGTGGTTTTCCCCATGTCCGCCACGCTGCATTGACCGCGTTTTGCAGTGGATATCATGGTTCTTGTCGTCCAAAGGCAACGAATACTTCTGCGAAGTGGAGGAGGATTACATTCTCGACCGATTCAACCTCACAGGCCTTAACACCGAGGTTCAACACTATTCCCAAGCACTGGATCTCATCACAGATAACCTCGGTTTGTTGTTGTTATCGGCAGATCGTTATGTTATGCGACTAACGTTTTCTTAGATGACGAGATTCAGGACGAGTTCAGAGGTACCCTCGACGTACAAGCGCGTCTCCTGTATGGAATGATTCATGCGAGGTGGATTGTGACAGCTCGTGGTCTAGCTAAGATGGTAAATGTCAATTCCTTCCCCGCTTTTCTGCTCTGTAACATGCTTGACCTGTCTACTTCAGCTCGACAAATACAAGAAGGCAGATTTCGGTCGTTGCCCGCGCGTGCTTTGCCAGTCACAACCACTGCTTCCAGTAGGACTGACTGACATTCCGTATGAGAAATCTGTAAAGCTGTACTGTGGCCGATGCGAAGATATCTACTCACCAAAGTCCTCGCGTCATGGTTCAATTGACGGGGCGTACTTTGGCACCTCCTTCCCCCATCTACTCTTCCTTGTCTATCCCAGTCTAATACCTCCGAAGAGTGGCCCCGTCGATTTCGCGCCAGCCATGCGTGCGGGGGGTGATGTTGAAGGGAACAGAAGAAGCAGGCGAATGCGCGAAGAGCAGGAGCCTCTTGTGGAGTGTGTAGGGGCAGATTTCAGCACGGCGAGTGCCGCTCTCAAGGCAGACCGTTATCGACCTAGGATTTTTGGATTTCAAGTAAACGAGATCGCGAAGTTGCAGAGATGGCAAGAAGCGGTGAGAGATAGGTGAGTCTCTCGCGCTGCTACTATGGTAATTGCGCGGTTGCTCAATTTTTCATGTGCAGACAGATTGCCCGACTTGAAGACTTGGAGGAAAACGTGTGATATCACTCACTGTACCCTTGATGTCTCTGTATAGAGGTCCTCGTCCTTCTATTGACCTTTTACCATCAATCTGCATACGTTACATCGCTCTCCGGTGGTCCCCTTTCCTCAGAATGCGAGAACTTCACGCGTCGCCCTCATGTGCCCAGAATGCAGGGCCAGGAAACCCCGACTGAATCGTTTCTCACCTGGTGCACGACATATCAATTAGAGCCTGCACTGGTGCACAAGTTTCGTGACTCGGCATCGCTGGAACAACGCAAAAGTACGCACAGCATACTACAAATATATCCATGCATTAGTCACAGTCATTATACCAGTGTAAGTATACAGTCTGACCCATCACACTACACGGGAGATGGAATTAGGATTGGTACAGTACATCACTGGGTCCACGAAAGAACGGAAAATGGAAGGCCGCAGATGAGCCACCAAGTGAAACTGTCACTGGTGGTCCAACAAGCAAGTCAAGGCTGAGAGCACACAAAGAAGCCATGACAGGAAGATTGCAAGCATGGTTGGGATGCTGGCTGCATGTCATTGAATGTGGCGCAGATGAGGTCCGAACGAGGAGGAAAGCCATCCTCTTCTTGCCCAGCTCATATTCGCACAGATCACCACCTGCACTCCTACTCCGAAGGTTTTCAGACAAGTTATGCAAAGTTGCAAAAACAATTCAAAGCATACCGACAGCAAACTACAGCATGAGTACAGAGCAAGATCATAAGGTATCTCAAAGAATCCTAAACAAAGTACAACATCGGGTTATAGCACCCGTGAAAGAACATCTATGCTGACCTGGATGGCAATTGTACCATCAACAGTGCTGGACATCATCTCATACCTCTCATGAGACTTTGCCTGCAAGCGCCCCCACTTCATCCACCAACTATCTGCTTCATCCTCACAGTCATAGCCGAATGTTGCACGGAGCTCATCCCATTCTGAGCTATCTTTGAGGTTGTCAAGCACAGGATTCCCAGACTTGTATTTTTCTCGCATGGCCTGATCACGAGCTTGTTGTGCTTCACCATCCTCCAGGAGTGAAAACAACACATTCCTCATGGCACCCACACGAAGATGTAGAATACGTGGTCTCCGGAGACCCTGGAATGCATGGAGGAAGCTTGCAATCTCATTCTTGCTTCTCAAATGTGAGAAGAGTTTGGCAAGTACAGCTGCATCTTCAATGCCCATAGCACCACGTTGAATAGAACCAGGCTTACTCCAAGTTAGTTCACAGCAACAGCAAGGACTAAAATTGGCTCACCGGAAAGGGATGTGCAGCCTGACCAATAACCACCAGCCTTCCATCCTTGTGCACCCAGCCCTCAGAATAGGTGTAATCCCTGATGGGTATGCGCACTGCAGGACCTGCATATTGTGCTATTTTTGCTAGCCTGTGTTCTTCTGTCAAGACTCTGCAGATAAGTAGCCATAAATATAGATCCACACCTAGGTTCACAGTCTATCATCAAGTTGCTAAGGTCACTAGATGGCAGATCTCCGTACTCTCCTTGAGTTGCATTATCATGTGAGTAATAATGTAATGAGAATTGTCCATGACCCTGTCAACAGGTCAGTCTCACAGGATTACCGTGAAGATACTAAGCATACTATAGGGTAACTGATAACAAATCGTTGACTTCCAAATGCAACAAACACAATGTGCTAGTGAGAAGCGCAAGTGTCAGTATTGGTACTTAGTCAAGAAAGCACTTATAACCATACATCATGGGCCTCATTGAAATCTTGAGATACATGCTCTGCAGAAACAGTTGCACTGAGATGGACCACATCAATTGGAAGGCACCAGGTACACAAATGGGAGAATACCCACGCATACATAGATATTCCAATAGGAACACCATGATCTCTTGTGCCCATGACTGCTTTGCGGCATGTTCCCCTGGGACCATCCGCGCCAATTATTACGTCGGCTGTCAAGACTTCACCAGAGGCTAACATGACTTCACTCTTTGTACCATCAACTTGTGCAACAATTGCACCATGACGGACAGTTGCACCTCCAGCAACTGCGGCATCATAAAGAACTCTGTGCAGCTTGTAATGCTGGCCCAAATATTACCTCATGTGCAAGAAGCAAACAACTGATGGACTCACCGGAAGGACCATGACGTCTCCGCGAGACTCCTTCAGCACATTGTCATCCCAGATCTGTGTACCAAGAAATTCCCCTGAGTCATCTGAAAAATTATAAACTACTGTCAGGATGTTATAGAATAGTAAGACAGCTTACATTTCGTGAGCAGCATTGTGTGCGAGAATAATCCGCATCCTGCAAGCCGGTCCTTCAAGCCCCAGTGAAACAAGACCTTTGACATGTTTGGTGGCATGTGGAATCCAGTCTCCCCTGTCTGATAGCGGGATTCATACGTTATCTAGAATAGGTTTCGATCCCCTTACATTTTTCATGCCATCTTCTCTTTCGAGCACCACGACGCGATGTCCCGCCCGGGTGAGCGCGATGGCACAAGCAAGCCCAGAGAGGCCTACGGGAGTTCGGAAGCATGACTTCTTGTAGACTTAGAAAAGAATGGACGCCGCTCACCCCCTCCGACAATGAGAAAGTCTATTGCCAGATGCGCTCTGGCAGTAGATATTTGCTGAGAATTGTTCGTAAATCTCTCAAAGATTCCACTAAAAGTTGAATCACCTCTTCGCTCATCCGAAACAAACGTCGAACCGCGTCCGTTGCACAAGAGTGTTTGTACCAGAACACCAGGTTAGGACAAGTCTCAGCAGGTACGCCTTGTACAGCCTGCTGTATCTGTAACTAATAGAAAGGCGACTAGCAGCAAGCGGTTCCGCGGAGTGACTAGTCTTTATAGTGAAGCTGAGTTGCAGTTTCAGTCCGCGCTCACGCAGCGCCTGAGATATATTCGGCACTGCGGATTTGACGCGGGTCTACGGTCGGACGTAGTACAGTTGACTCGCAGAAATCAGAAATTCGTGATAATACAGCTCTCGAGCACGTCAAACTCACTTCTCGTTCGAATTTAGACGTATACCATACAAATGCTGTAGCCTTACTGTGCGATAGCTGTCAATAATGATATTCACTATGACCATCTTCTACCGATATCGCAACTACAAAGTCCGGTACAGTACACACCAACAGGGAAGCATCCAAGATCACCGCTTCTTCGGCGGTGGCGAGCCCTGTGCCTCTCCGGTAGCCTTCCGCTTCATCCCCAACCCAATCACGACCTTCGTCCGATCAGCAGAGGCCGGTGTGCCCTCCTTAGACGAGCCCACGTCTACAGCCGCTGAGATTCGTGAGAATCCCGGGCGTGGGGCGGGCGAACCGTTGCTCGTGGTGGCAGCACCAGAGAGAATGGCGGGCGACATTGGCGCAGGGCTGCCGTTCTGCGTGGGTGCGGGGAGCGTGATGAAGCCCGTCGAGTCGACCTGCGGCGCAGCGGCCTTCTCCGCGTTCTTCTTCTTGTGCTTTTTCTCCGTCTTGCCCTTGGAGAGGGGCTGCGCATCGAAGAATTCTGCCGCTTGGGGAACGGCGCTGTGAAGAGTCGTATGAGCTGTGGAGCACAAACGACGGACGGAACACGTACCCTCTGTTTCCGACGGAGAGAACGAAGTGTGCCTGGCCAGCTCTCTCCTGGCGGATCTGGAACGCCTGATTCATGCTCAAAGGAGTATCACCACTCGCCATCGCCTCCTTCTTCTTCTCCTCTGCAATCTTCTTCAGCCTCTTCTCCGTCTTCGCCCTGCCGGACCCCTTCCCATGAAATTTATGAGACAGCGCTTTCCAGGCCTCCTTCGGAGTCAGTTCCCGACCAAACTCATCGTAATACACAATGTTGACGTCGGGCTTGTAGTTTTTGAACGCCTCGAGGTTAGCTCGCGCTTCCTGTTGTTCGCGGACGCGATTCTCGTACTCGCGGGTCGCTTGGTCCTTGTTACCTCCGCGTAACCGCGCACGCTCCAGCTCTCGCTGGGCGACCTGCTGGCGGTGATCAGCCAACCATAGATCCCTCTGCAATTGAACCTTCTCCCGCTCGCTCTGATCAGCATTGGGAGCTGCGAGGATTCCCTGGTTTCGCAGGATATTCAGAGTGGCTGCCATACCCGCGCTGAAGGTCTGTTCAGATGAAGTGCCCACAGACACGTCTTCCGCCTTCCCAGTCTCCAGCTCTCTTGCCTCTGTCTCCTTGATTGCGTTCTCGATGGCGATCAGCATGGCCTCGTCCTCCTCTGCCTCTTCCTTCACGACGACTTCCCCTGCTTCCAGCTCTTCGACGGCCTCATCACCCTCCGCCATCTTCACGTCCTCCGACGGTATACGCGGCTTTGGGAGATCGCTCGGCGCACGGGTCTCGGCGGGTGCTTCCTGCTTCACCCTTCCCACTGTAGGATCGAAAGTGATCGCGCGAACGAACTCCGACGTATCATCGAAGGTGAGACCAGAATCGCCATCGGCGTCCTCGTCGTCTTCTATCCTGATGACCTCGGCACCGTTGGCTGTTTCTGACATATCACGTTCTTCAGCAACTAGGAAAGTGGTTAGTGTCAAAGTTGTAAGAAGACAACGCGAGCACTCACTCCTCCGTGCTACTTCCTCCGGCGACAACTTCTTCGTTTTCTGCAGCTTCGCCCGCCGGGAACGTGCAAGTGCTGCTTGAAGCTCGTCATCATCTACGAAATTGGTGTCCAGATTACGCGGTCGAGGGACAATCTGCTTCTCGTCTACCTGCATGTGGTCGTCACCATTGACAGGACCAATGTCGGATTCCTCTACCACCCTGCGTGAAGGCCGCTTCTTCTTCGTCTAAATATCATAGATTGGACGTCAAGGAGCGGAAATCAGAAGGACACCAAATGACTCGCCTTCAGTTTCTTGAAGCCAACGTCACCTTCCTTCAGGTAGTCCACAGACTCAATATTCTCTGTGCAACAGTTAAAGCATATAATAATAATAAGATGGGTCATACTTACTAGCATAGTCTATTGACAACAATGACTTCTTGACAGCAGCAGCAGCGACTCCTTCCCGTTTTGTTCGTCTTACTTCACTTGTGGTTGACGAGCCACCCAAACGGAAGTCCTGCCAAAATCACGTCAGCACAGCGGACACGACCAGACAACCGCATGCATACCGTCTCTTTGGGGCCCTCTAGAAATTCGTCATATTTGGACAGGACAATGCGGTTCATCCCCTCATTACCCGGAGTGAACTCTTCATCGTCATAACCGGTATAATCTCGCTTCTTAATCTTAAGCTCCTGGTTCTTCTTCGTTCGCTCATCCTCCGCGAGCTCGACATTTTGCAGCTCATCCTCTATTGTCACTCATGTCAACTTCAGTCAATAAGAACATAGACGACGCCGACAAACCTTCATTATCCAATATGCGGCTGTCTTTCAGGGTGAGTATGCGAGCTTCGCCTTCGTCCATGGCTTCGAAGTCATGGCTGACCTTCAAGCCGGCGAGATCCCCTGTGAGCGCGCATGTCAGTACACATATGAGTGAGAAAACAGCAACGCACGCACTTTCGGTATACTCTTCCTGGAAGGCTCTGTCCATACTCTCGAGCTCCTCTTGGCGCTTCTTGGCAAGCTCCTTCTCCCTCTTCTTGCTCTTCTTGATCCATTTCAGGGTATCGTCTACATCGCCATCGGCATCACCAAGCGTTGTACCCTTGAGCTTCGCATTCAGTTCGCGCCGGTTTCTCACTCTAAAGAGATGGTCCAATGAGCATCGAAGCCCACAATGGCATTGGGCCTAACTGCCCAAAGAATGGTAGAAGCGACTGCATGGGGTACGCGAAAAGGCGAGACTTACTTTGCTATGCGCTCCTGAATCTTTCTGAGGAGGCCACCAATACCATCAGCTGCTGACCTGATGGAATAGAAATTGACACATACTTTGTTTCCCGCTCCTGAAGCTCTTTCTCTCGTTGCTTCGCATAATTATCTTCCGCCTGCTTCTCCTTGTCGTCTGCTGGTGCATTATCGTCGGTCAGTGGTTTCAGACCAAGAGATATACGAATCTCGTTGGTCTCCTGCAAACTAATACTCTCTTCCATAGACATGGTGGTCAGGCAGTAGTCGGAAGGGTATATACGACAGATGTGTAAGACTCGTAAGTAGAGCGGGAGGTCGGTGTCGCGCTGTGGTAGCTGATGTACATAAGCAATGTGACTATCGTGACGGTGACAGCTCCCGGGCCGGACGATGAGGTATGAGACGTGCCAGCCTACGGAACCCCTGCGAACGGAACCCCTGCGAGCGATCCGTCCCATTAATCGTCGCGATGAGCGCGGAGATTTCGAATGGGCCCCCACCAGAGCTTCGACAAGGAAGCCCAAGACCGCCCTTATTGAGGACCACCACCACCGGTGCTCTCATACCACTCCTCCAGGCCAAGAAGAACACTGTCCTGAAGTCACACGGTAGACCCCCATGGTAGATTTTGCATCCTCACTTTTCCTGTATGAGATTGAGTATTGTATCTTGAAACCAAGGTACGGTGAAGACGGTACTCGGATATGCGATGCGTTCGTCATCGGTATAGCTGGTGAGTCGGGCAGAGGGACGTCGCTGTGATGTAATTTCATACATAGGCTTTAGGTGGGTCGGCCAGCGGCAAGGTGCGCGACATTGCGATATTTGTTGGCTATATCATAAGGGAGGACCAGACCCATGTTGCCCGCCGCATCGTCCAATCGCTCGGGTCTATTCCAACTGTTATTATTCTGTCCCAAGTGAGTCGGGCATTTGCATGTGCCTGTCCAGTGTTTATTGTTGAACCGGAAATCCTCAGGACAGCTTTTACAGGCGCCATACCCCAGAAGAATTAGCGCTTGCTCATGCCAGCCTATTTGACTTCGACCATCCAGGTACAATTTCCATCAGGTATTGCTGTATGAACGGCCACCCATGTCTCTTTCTACAGATGCTATAGACATGCCGCTATTTGCCTCCGTATGTCGTCACACTCTTAGTTCGTTTCACGTTATACAAGGTGTAGTTGAACTATTGAGGTGTTTCGTCTCCGGCGTCCGCTCTTCCATTGGAATTCTGCTCTAGTGTTTGGCGGACTTGAAGGCCTGCAGACAGAGCAATATACCCATATACTCCTTCACGGAACACCAGCGTGTGGATGAGACCAAGTATCTCTATGGCGCTGCCATCATTATAGGTCAGTCTGATCGTGTCAAACTCAGTTTGTTATCTGTATCTCTGTGCAGCTGAAGGAATTATGGCACTACATGATCCGGCACTTAGAGCTCTATACGATTTGAAGGTAGGCACAGCCTTGTCAGTCTTGTTACACAATTCCTTGAATCCTGTCATGATGCAGATATTTGTTCAATGCGATTCAGACCTCATGCTCGCTCGCCGGATCAGACGGGACGTGAAGGAACGCGGCAGAAGCGTAGAAGGCATCCTAGACCAGTGGGTGGAACTCTTCATCGTGTGGCTCGTTCTGAACGCGGATTCAGGTATCTACGATATGTCAAGCCCTCGTACGACAACTTTGTGCTTCCCACCTCAAGATATGCCAATATCGTGCTGAGCTTATCCATGCTGTTCTTCCGGCATTAGCTTATATACCTTGCGATAGATAGTGCCCGGATCGGACAATGCAGTTGCCATTGAGCTCATTTCTACACATGTCCGAAAACAGCTCGATGAACGCGCAACTCAGCTGCGACAACACCTAGCCATCGGTGGGCCTCGTGACCTTCCCCTACGCAGTGCAACGTCAGATCCTGGTAAGGAGTGCTTGGACGTGAACCTTCTCCCGCAGACACGTCAATTGAAGGTAACGGCTCATATAAGTATTTGAGACCGGTGCTGATATATTTGCCACAGGGTATCTTCACTATCTTGCGGGATGTTGCCACCAGCCGAGGCGACTTCATTTTCTTCGCTGATCGATTGTCCACGACTTTGTGCGAGCGAGCGACTGAGCTTCTGCCATATAAAGGCAAGACCGTGACTACTCCCCTTGAAGTGCCTTCGCATGGAAAGGAGCTGGACGCTACAGTACGTCGAATCTCATTTGCACGCCGTGCTATGTAATCCAACCAATGTCGATGGCAGTACATTTGCGGAGTGTCCATTCTACGGTCGTAAGTACGCTGCTGAAAACTGCGTTCGCAAGCTCAATCCATGCTTGTAGAGGTGGTCCCTTGGAACGCGGGCTGCGTAGAGTCATCAACGACATTCCTATGGGTTCTCTACTGATCCAATCAGAGGCAGTTTCAGGCGAACCGCTTCTCCTCCACTTACTGCTACCTGTGTGCATTCGTGACAGAAGCCTTGCTGTAGACACCTGGGTATTCCTGTTGGATGCTCAGGTACGTGCTCATTGTGCCCTACGCCGTATTTAGGCGTATACCATCCCTTTTTCATGCCAGATCGGGACGGGTGCAGCCGCCTTCATGGCTATCCGCATATTGCTAGATCACGGTGTCCGCCAGGATCACATCATTTTTGTGACCTTCTTGGTCGCGCGATGTGGCGGCATATACGGCCTGCAACACGCGTTCCCTCATGTCAGGATTGTATGTGGTGCCGTTGATGATGGCTTGCGTGAAATGTGGTTGGAAGCTTTGGATGACGGAGACGACCATCACGATACGGAGGGGCGGAAGGTGTGGGTCGTCGAACCGGGTATGGGACACATAGGTGAGCGAGCCCCTAAGTTTTAGCATGAGTGCTGTATATGGAAGTTCAAATTTTCTTCCAGGTGATCGTTACTACCTGTAAACACGCAATTCTCACACAGTTACTAAATGGAAGACTTCGTTAACACTTGCTACAGCACGCGGATTATCTCACACACCCACGGTGAGATTGCTCTTTATCTAAATTACCATGGTACGCTTGTTGCAGCCTATAGACGATGTCCAGCGCCGGTATCGGTAATTCCCTGCCAGAGGGTCGAGTCCAACTCTAGGCTAATCCGGCGGTCCTCAATCAATATTTGTCGAAGGAGATACACACTTTCAGCAACGTTCCAGTCGAGGACAGCACGAATGGCTGAAGTGCTCGATTACCTAAATAGACGTTGACAGAGGGAGGTGGAAATAACCGGCCATCTGGTTAGCATACACCAACCCAACATCTTCCCGTCCTCTGGTCAGGTTTGAATATTCACCAGTCTAGCTGCAGATATCCCATTTGAGGTGAACATCCTCGCCGCAGTGATCCACAGCCACAGTCCAGTTGCAAGCCTCTTGCCATGAGAGAAACAGCAGTCCCGCATCTTGAATAATATCTTGAATATGTTCAAGGACATTCTACAGCCCAACAATCAGCAGGCGGACGCAACCGTTGAGTCTTTATCATCCGGTGCGTCACTTCCTCTACCATTGATGGGATATTTGTACCATCACTTCGTGCACAGCATGCTTTGCAGTGACTCTATTTTGAGGTTTAAAGAGCATACAGGGGAGTTGGAAGAACAGCCAAGACCACCAATTTATGTCAATGGCGACAGCAGCCTCCAGGACGTGGAAGAGGCGGTGTTGCAAATGCAAGAAGATACGAAGGACTTGAAGCTGGAGCGTGAGCCGGCGACGTCGTGACTATAGGAAGATCTCAGAAGGGAGAGGCTTGAACGTGAGGTGGTAGAGAAAGCTCTTGCGGAAAGAATTCAGGAGGTGCAATGTGTGCGTACTGGTACCGTATGCTAGTGCTGCCGCTAAGCTGATGATACAATCATGCACGTTAGACCACTACACTCCTCGGGCTTGTGCCCATTCAATTGCGCTAGAGGAGGCTCAGGAAACGCTCGCCCACGTGTCCGGATTTAAGGACGCGGACACCGCTCAATCAGAGGCGAGAAGATGGAACTGTCGCCGGAAACGATTTTGCACCAATACTCACCAAACAGTGAGCAGCTGGCCCGAAGTTTCGCTGCGCGTATTGCAAGCTAAGAAAACATTCGGACAGTTGTGCCCATGCAGGACGGCTGCATAGATTGCCTCGAGAGCCTAGATAAATTTTGCTGAGGGATAAACCTAGGCCAAGTGCTCGAGCAGATGGACAGATACTGCACCTCTTCAATCGAATCCACGAGATCGTGCGACGCCTAAGCTCTGGGCGTCATGAGGATTCCCTGACCCCTGCAAAAGCCAGGCAATCACTCTTAGCTGCCTGCGAGGATCCAGCCTTGCACTGTTCACATTCCATACTTATCCATCGATAACGTCTACAGATATACAAATCTATATATGCTACAAATTTCAGCGAGGGTTCCAGTAAGTCATTATCTACGATAGGATGCTGGGTGCGGATGCGTATAGTGTGATGTCCGTTTGGATGTGCAGTTGGTATAATGCGTTGTTTGCTAGGATATAGAAAATAATGAGTGATTGTTCCTTGTCCCGCGATGAGAAATCCTAGGGACAGTTCTAGCCGGAGCAGACTGCAAGCGTGCTGGAGAAGTTGGAACCTGGATACCAACGACGGGTGAGTGAATTCTGCAGACATACACTTTGCGACTGACCTGGATAGAACCAGAAGGTGACTGCGATGATCACATAGAGGCCTTGAACGTCACATGAGAGTTCGATTCGGCCGATTGGGAACCGTCGAGCGACTTACAAACAAGAATGACGCCTTCAAGCCAGTTGGACTTGCCGTCGGCAACGACGTAGCCCATGATGTGGACTGCAGTACGACGTTGAGATGATGCTTAGTCCTCGTACACATCAAGAAGAACATACCTGAAATATACAGCACCTGACAATGTGTTATGAGTGAGCAAACGTCGGGCTGAGTGCGTGGTACGAGCTCTACTGACCACGGACTCGAAAGGATCAAATAGCATAGCGAGCGGCTTATCAAGGACCCAACCCAACAGGACCATCGACGGTATGACGAAGAGCGCCGTTTGCTGAATGAAGATGACGATCGGGTGATACAGGAGTCAGATCAGTCCTGAGAAGCAAAGCGCGAACTCACGATGGTCGAGCCTATGGCAACGCTGATACTTAAACTGAGCTGATCCCGCACGGACACGTTAATCGCTGTGATACATTCTGCAGCGGACAGTTAAAGCTTTGCGCTTGGAGGTGAAGGAGAGACGTACCGGGCACAGAGCTCACTGTCGGGAGCAAGATTAAACCTACCCATTCCTTGCTGATGTACGGAGAAAGGCTGTCCATAGAATCGACCAGCCACTCCGAGTTAACAGCAACAAGCTAAGAAGGTTAATCCCATCGTGAATGGAGTCAGCACGCCGGGCACGCGAATTTCAACCGATTGTAGCACTGACCACTGTGACGACGGTGAGCAAAGCGAGCGTCATCATCCAGCTCATCTCGGGCTCTTCGTGCGGGGTGGCCACTTGTGAATGAAGGGCCGATTCGTTCTCCTGCGTTCCGGCGCATCCACGACTTTCCGTGTGTGCCTCCAACGCCTCACTGCCATCCAGTCCTACGTATCGCATCTTGCCATGTGCAGGAGGGTGCGCACCGCTCGGAGACCGAAGGAGATCATTCCTCAAGGAAGTATTCCGTTCGCCATCACTCCCGCTGCTCCCGGAAGTAGATCGTCCTTGTCCGTCATACAAAGAATCAGAGGATGAGTCCTCCCGCAAGTGTTCGTCGTCATAGTCGCCGTGCGAATGCCGTTCGGGAACGAGGCGGACCGTAGAATTCTGCTGCGGTGCCCGCATCCCGAACTCGTTCACGCACAGAGTCACTTGAGATGCAGACCCTAAGGGAGAGAGAAGATACGCAGAGCGACCACGCATATTATCCGTCCCGGGCGCAACGTTGTACCTGTAAGGTGAGCGGCCGCAGGAGGGGTCGCTGTGGAGCGAGTCGCTGTAAGAGGTCTCGGGGACTTCCAGCAGAGTGCTGGGCTTCTCCGAATGGTCTATGACAGAGATGGCGAAAGACTGCTTCGAGTGAGTGGTTTGCGCGGTTTGCACCGTTTGCATGGACCGAATGGAACTCGTTTGCGAGTGGCGGCGTTTGTGGGTGGAGTTGCCGCTTTTCCGGCGAACGCGTTGGGTGACGGAACGGACAGAGACGGCGACAGGAAGCTTATCACTCGCCTTAGTGCTGTCCTGAAATAGATGCGTGTGTGACCAGAGCTGGAAGACGAGATACGAGACGTATACTGTAAGGCGTTCACAGCACATGTTCAATTTCAGTCCCTTCGGGAGCATGGTTAGAACTTACTGAACAGGAGAACGATTCCCACCTGTGATTATCAACACCGTTAGCATATCGCGTAGATAGATTGACCGATTCCCAAGGAAAGCAAAAAGAAGCTTCGTACGTACACCATGGCTCATTCTCAATAGATCTTGTTTCTGCTCGGCAAGACTTGTCTCCACCCCACCTGCTATGGTGTATGTGAGGGCAAAATGGAACGCAGCCGGGAGACAAACCGCCCCGACGCTGATACCCAGCAAAGAGGAATGTATCTGAGTGGCAGCTAGAGTGGACATGAAGAACGTACGGAAATAATCAGCGAGGTATACTGCTTGTAGAGAAGGAGAAACACACTGGAGTCGAAGTCTTGCGAAGAAAATCGTGTCCCACCCGCAAAAAAACACATGCCAAGGATAAGGACTAAGATCCCGAATTCAAAATTGCAATTGCCGACTAAGGCTCAGGATAAAGAAAGCACCGAAAAGGGAGGGACTCACGCATTTTGCTCAACATAGATCCAATGACTAAACGCTCTATGATGAGTCCTAAATGATTCAACAAGTTGATGAAGACACTGACGAGAAGACTGGACTATGCGCAGCTCGCATTTGCGCAACGCAATAATCTATATGGGCGTTCTGAGCTTCATCAGTTCCATGCGGCGAGTGAGGTCTCACCGCTACGACCAACTCCACGCTGCGTAACCATGAGTGCATAAGTTGACAAATCAGGCAGGAAAATGGGCAAAGCGTACACGTTACTCTGCCAACAATAATTGGGTGAGAATTCCGCGTCAGCGCATTCGGAGTTCACAATTGGAAGGGATGCGCACCATGCTAGCGTTAAGCAGTCCGGTCTTGGAGCCTCCTATGCGCCGTGCGAGTACACCGGTGGCAAGGTCATGCATCTAGAACATCACCGTCAGCTGTCTTCGAGGGGCAGTTCACAGTGGCCCACGAACTTTGACGAGAGGGATCATTGCAAGGATGCAAGCTACGTAGAACCAGCCGAAGATAAATCAGTTACAAATGCGGCGAAAAAACCAGCCTATTCCAAATTCGCACAGGTAAAAATCAACGTGTCAGAATTGGTCGTTGCAAGCTTCAATATCCACTGGACCAAAGAGCGAGAGATATCAGCGGGGTGCACCTTGCACGACAGCTGGTAGTCTACACACCGAGGTTGGTATCAACAGTACAAGGACGTTCAACCCTAGAGACGAGGTGCGATAAAACACGTGAGTCCTGATTCAATGGAATGCAGTGTCCATGTATCTTACACGAGTCGAATAAGACCAGCTGCCAACCGTGCCAGATGCTCAACTCTTTCTGCTTACCGCCGCCGCCCTCCGGCTTGTCTTCGGTTGGCATACCGAGGTGGTTCATCTCCGAATCCTCCGATGGTTCTTTCCGCCACGGCCAAGAGAACAGTCTCTGGCTGAACGTCCGCTTCTCGCGCCTGGCAGCCCTGCGGTGGGGAACGAGTTCGGTAGTCGAACAATACGAAGCAGTGGAGTGCGAAGAGAGCTGGGAGGGTGCACGAGTCATGACTGGAAGTGGTATCGCACCGAGGGTGTCTGGATACCTCCGCTCTGGAGAGGACGTTGGATATACATGATTAGTACGGTATAGAGGGTCTGTGGTTGAAGATTTCGATAGCATAGTCTGTTCCGTTGCGGGTGGAAATATTGGATCGTCAGAGAAGCCACCAGTGGCCCGTCCTCGCGTGCTGCTGCACGGAATGTGAGCTGAAGAGTGTGGAAAGGAACGGCGGAGAGTTGGGCGAGGAATGTGCAGAACAAGCCGTGCAACTACTAGAACACGCGGAGTCGCTTCCACTCACGAGAGTTGCCAAATCGGGGAGACTCACCGAGAAGCGAGTCTGGAGCAGTCACACTCGCCAGGTCACGCACGTCACGCATTGCAGCACCGCACGCGCCCGTCCTTGCTGCCAACCCGTTCGACTCGCGCAAGAAAATCATGTTCCACGCCGCCGTCCGCCCAGTGGCTTTCGCAGCTCGCGCTGCAGCCCGACCTTCCCTGGCCGTCCGTGCCATCGCCACCTCTGCTGCTCGTCGCTCCGAGCACGCCTCCACCCCCCAGATCTTCGGTCCTGGCGCGAAGCCCGGCGAGGTCCCCACTGACGAGAACCAGTCGACCGGTGTCGAGCGTCTGCAGGTGCTCGGTAACGTCGAGGGCGTCGACGCCTTCGACTACGCCCCCCTCGACTCCAGCCGGATTGGCACGCTTGCCGATCCCGTCAAGGTCTACTCCTTGGTACGCCCCCCCAAATCACGCGTTGATTTCCTTATTTTTGAATATTCACTACTCCCCCACGTTTCCTCCATTGAACGTAGACTCCCAGCCGTCTGATTGGGTGCACCGGCAGCCCCGCGGACTCTCATGAGCTGCTGTGGATGAACCTGAAGAAGGAGAAGAACAGGCGCTGCCCCGAATGTGGTTCCGGTGAGCCCGCCACGGTCGTCCTGTATCCTCACCTGCTGACACGGTCGCGCAGCTTACACGCTTGACTACCACGGTGACGAATCCCTGCACACCCATTAACGCAGTTGTCGCTGTTATTGTGCTGTAAAATGACAGACAAATCATTGCATTCTTTGCTTCATGTGCTAGCGTCGTCGTGTGTCTCGCTGGTATCGACGTATCGTTTGATGCCGCAGCGTCGGGGCTGTGGTTTGGCCTCGAAGTAGCCTCGAAGTCTCTGGTTCTGCGCCCAGACACGATTTGAGTCCGATTTTCTCCGTAATAGGCGAGCAGCGATCAAAAGTAAGTACCGAGCTATCCCGCAACGATGACGGCGCAGTAGATAGATGTATGCAAATGTCTTCGCAGCAGGGCATTGGCAGGGCAACTGAAAAGGTGCGCAGCGTAGAGATACCCGCGAGCTGCGCGAAATGCATAAGTTCCGCGTGCTCACCTTAGCCGTTACGGTAATTGTAACGGCTGGGATCAGTACAAGTAAACAACCCCCTCGCCTTTTACTAGGGGATTCCGTGTTCTGACCCGCTGCAAGCCGTATACGCAATTTTTCAGCAGTTAGCTTTGTCTGGGAGCATTTCATCTTTTTCCAAATCTCGTTGTGTTCGCAGAATAATCGGCGAACCTGGTCGGCATGTGGTAGTGAGAGATTTGTCGTGTGCTTTGCAAGACAATCTGCGAGCGTACGATATAAGTCGCGGACTGTTCCTATGTCAAGTTGTCCTATTTCTACGTCACCCTCCATGTAAAGTGTATCTATCCGCTCCCGTGCTCCAAGCTCGGGATATGATGAATGCCTCGTGGTGATATTACAAGTATTCCGAAAGCGCAGCTGGCCCGACGTACGTATCAGAGTCGCTTGTGTGCTCTTCTCTCGCTGATGAACGTTGGTCCTGTGCGGCCGTCGCAGCAGAGAAGAGGACGATAAGGACGAGGATTGGCCCCAGGGATTGTCCGGCAGAAGGGGCCGGGCGGTACCGCAGCTCTCGGGAGTCATCAAAACACGTACGCGGAGACGCCGAACGCTGCTGTGCTCCGAGTCGGAATATATCACTTCTGTCTCTCTGCGCGAGAGCAATGTGCTATGTTGCGGCCACTGACACGCACCGCACCCTCTCTCCTCCGCCGTTCCCAGCCACATTCTCTTCTCCGTCGCTTTCCAGCTCTTCTGCCACCGCCATGCGCCGCACGAAGGTCCCTCCACGCCCTCCTGCCGGGTAGCACCCCCCGCAAGATATCCACCCCCGTTGCGCTCAACCTTCCCCTGAACGCGCGCACTTTCCACGCAACACGCAGGAACGAGTCTCTCCCAATAATCCCCCTGCTCGCGGGCATTTTTAAAGTAGGTTCTCTCACTTGCCTATCACACCAAGGAGGCTGAGAGCACAGTGCATTTTTATACTATTTGCAGACCTCAGCCGCACTTCAGGTCGCCGGTACCATATCCCGCGTCGTGCTCACCTTCATACCCGTCGTATTTCTCAAGAAGATGAAGTTCCACAGGGTCCTCTACCACCTCGAGAAGGTCGGCTCCGAAAACCAGGATAAGAAGGACGAAGTCGTGCGCAGAATCCGACACAGTACCACCCTCCTCAAGATTCTGATACTAACCCCCATCCTGCTCTTCTGGGTCACCATCATGGCCAGCTTGGAACGAACACCCCTGACAGGGCGGTGAGCACCCCGATCCGCCCTGGTGCCGATTCAACTCACAATCGCGCCCTGCAGGTGGAGGCTGATCTTGTTGTCACCCGAAGAGGAGGACGACATCGCCATGCAGCTCGCAGGCCCAGGATGGTACCGGGCCGTCGGCGACATCCTCTCGCAAAATGGCCAGCCAAGGCCCTTGCCAGCGTCAGATTGGCGCCTCTCCTGGGTGCGGAACACGCTGCGCCAGCTCGAGGCCGTCATACCAGTCCTCCTGCATGAGGAGGAGGCCGTCCCGGACTGGATGGAGTGCGGCCCCGACGACATCCCCCTGCCCCCGCCTGCGGAGTACCCCTTGCGCCCACGCCCTCGTGGGTCCGAGTATTTCCGCTTGGTAGCAGAGCTGTCGTGCTCGCGCGCCGTGTCCCCTGCGCCGCACGCGATCTCGGGCCCGCCGTACTCGCTAATCGTCGTAGACGAGCCCGAGTCCTCGAACGCGTTCTCGTACGGCTTCGGGCCTGACGGGGCGGGCGGCGTCGTGGTGTTCTCCGGGTTCCTCGACGACGTCCTGTCGCGGAACCCGCCGGCCGCCCCTGCTGCAGTGCTGCCGCAGGAGAGGTCGTGGTGGGCGGCGCTGTTCGGGAGCCTCTTTGCGCTGAACTCGCCGCCGCCCGTGCACCCGGTCCCGACGGAGGAGCAGACGTCCGAGCTCGCGATCTTGCTTGCGCACGAGCTCGCGCACCTGATCCTCGCGCACCACATCGAGACGCTCTCGTCGGGCTCGATCATCGTGCCCGGCGTGATGTCCATCGTGACGGACATCGTCCGCACGCTGCTGTTCCCCGTCACCATGCTCTGTGCGTCCCGATTCATAGCTGCGCACTCGTGTCGACGAACTTACGTATGTGTTCTACAGTCGGGCCCTTCATCAACGATGCCATGGCGGGCCTCGGCAAGCTCGGGTCGGGGGAATTCACCAAGGTTTCCGAGTACTGCACCAGCCAGCATCAGGAGATCGAGGCGGACATCGTCTCCGCAAGGTCAGAATCTCCCATTGAAACTTTGAGACAAAAACCTAGTCAAATTTCCGCGCGATGCTGAAATCTACCGCCAGATTACTCGCCCACGCCGGCTTCGACCCGCGGCACGCCGTGCGGTTCTGGGAGGACCGGCAGGAGACGCCAAAGAACGCGGAGTGCTCCCCCGCGATGGCGGAGCGGTGGTACATGCCGGACGACCCGGTCGACCCGGTGATCCCGCGGCACTGGCGGGGCGCGACGCACCCCATACATACAGTGCGCGTGCAGCGCCTGAAACAAGAGCTTGCGCGGTGGGAGAAGGCGCGCGAGAAGGCACGGGCGGCGCGACGAACGACGCACCCGCAACCGCCATCGCAACCGCAGGATGAGGAGGGACAAGGTCAGCTAATATAGTCTTAGAACGGGTCGCTAGTTCGAATTCTTTTCTCGTTTATTCTGGTCCTATTTGATTTGTATCATATATCTGTTGCCCGTGCGGTCGGGCTTGTATTGAATATTCGCTGTGATATTTGCCGTCTTCACTGCACTCGTCGCGTACGGTCAGGCGTTGCACGAACGGATTGCGAAATTATTCTGTCCAGGATTAATCAGAAGCTGCGTTTATAGTGGATGGCGCTGTATGGCGCAGATGAGTGTGGGTGTTGGGATATCCAGAATATAGCTGAGTGTCTGCCTCGAGTTCAACTTACAACTGCTTCGACGCGTATGTATGAAGGGAAGAAGGGAGGGCTAAGATATAAACGTAGCTTCGGTGTAAACACTTCCCGGTATCTGCAATACTCCAGAAGAGCCAGGAATGAGGCCTTCGGGCACGGCGACACTTAACGTGACTGAGTTGAGCCACTAAAATTCCTGTCAGCAACCATGCACGCGAAGAAATAAATAAACGACTGGCCTGGTAAATGTACGGCTTCGTGCCGGCGACGTAGTTGACCACCGTCTTGATCACCTTTGGGATCTCCGCGAGGACGTCCACCTTCTCGATCAGCCCTTTATACGCGTCCGGTTGGCCGACGTCAAATTGCAACGTCGCGTCCAGCGCGCCCTGGGCGTCGGGTACGATCGACGGCGCTGCCCACCGGAAGACGAACTCCGTTGGGGCAGCGTATCCAGTATCGGGGTCGATAGCGGTCTTGGAGTGGACTGCGCGCGACATCACATCCGCCTGGTCGGGCAGCGCCTGGTCCGGCCACTTCGTCTCCGCGGTGACCGCCGCGAGCTTGCCGCCGAGCACGAGCGAACCAATGTTCACAGAGACGAAACCGGAGCCCGCGCCCTTGCCCCCGTACGAGTCGATCGTGGTGAACTCCATCTGAATGGCAGACGCGCCGCCGAACGCGTCGCTCTGGAAGTGCGCGAAGTTCCAGCGCGCGGCGACGAGGTTCGGGCGCATGCCCTGGATCGCGTGCACGAACATGCCGGGGCCCTTAACGCTGGTCGCCTGGCCGTGGTGGATGATCATGCCCGACACGGAGTCGCGTGGCCAGAAGCGGTGCACGACGTAGCCCTCCGGGTTCGCGGTATCTGTGCCGAAGTAGGAGAACCCGCCCTTGGGGCCCTTCCCGACCTTCCACCCAGGCGCGGAGGCGGGGCGCGCGATGTCGACGGAGATCTGGAGGTCGTCGGAGAGGTTGGCGCGGATCACGTACGTCTCTGGCGTGTCGGTGCCCGGGGCGGACTTGTGAGTGATGGTGAACTCGTCGGCCTTGCTGGAGCGCTTGTCTAGGCCAGGGGGTGGGGTAACGAAGTTGGATACATTTATAGATCGCCATGTCGACTCTTTTGTATTCGGATTGTAGATCTTGCAGGTGAACTGGATGGTCGGAAACCAAACGCTGAGATTCACACGATCTAAATCCATGAATACACAGCAGGCGCTCGCGAGACTCACCCCACGGCCGAGTGGATCACTTGGCACATGAACGACGTGCCGTCCTCGAGGAAATTGTACCAGGTCTGCGTCTCTACTGCGAAGCCTCCTGCGCAGGTCCACTCCGTGTCCTGTGGTTCTAATTCGCCAAAAAGGTCGTCACCCTGGAACTCAGAGGAGACAGGATGGAAATTGGGCGCATCGGGGGCAACTGGAGGGGACGTCCTGGAAAACGAACATGAGAGAGCGACAGCTCGAGAGGGGTAAATTAGGACTTACGAGAAGATGGCGGAGAACATGGTGGAGTGGAGAAGCCCTTGCAGGGACTGCTGTTACTCGAGCTTCTGTCACTGCAGAACGGACACGGCATGGATCCTGACGTAATGCTGCTTGATCCCAAATGAGGAAACTGTATGTCTGCGCGCTTGCCACCGGCGACGCGGCGACGCCTGCAGCTTTGCGATGGTAACGCGGCACCTCATGATCATGACTGGCAGACGGTGTTCGCACACCAATTCGTCGTCTTTCTCCTCCTCGTCTCTCTCGCGAATCTCACCGAGCTTCCCAGATACTCGGTTAGTTTGCGTTTTGGTTCGCCATTTCACCTGCATCGTCTTCTCCAGCTCCATCGTTATCTGATAATGGTGAGCGCACATCGCGCAGCGCCATTATAGCCCTGACCTCGATGCCGCAGTCATGCCAATGTCGGCCCTGACCGCTATATCAATCAATTATACCGGCCAGTTCTGCTGGTACATACCCGCTGAAATTCGCGATAGAATAATTGATACCCTCCACGCCGACCGCCCCGCCCTGCGCGCTTGCAGCCTCACCTGCCATGGATGGCTCCCGCGGGCCAGATACCACCTTTTTCGCAGTGTCACCTTTGACCCGGTGCACAATAGCAGCGTCTTCAAAGCTCTCATAGAATCTTCCCCAATTGTTGCAAACTATGTTCGAGATGTCGAGATATGCGGCAACGGCGGGATGACCACATGGTGGGCGGGTTCGACCCCTTCCGCACGAATGGTGCGGTGGCCCACACTGAATCACACACCTCATCCACACCGCAAATCCGATGCACCTGACGTCGTCGAGTGGTTGGATCGAACGTTACCTTTGGCGGGCACTCGTTTAAATAGGGTCATCTCTCTTCGACTTTCCGCCCTCGCAGTCTCCAGCATTATTACACAAGCACTTGTCTTACGCTTCAAGCGCGTCAGGGTGTTGTCCGTTGACGGCTGCAAAGCGCTGGCTTTTGCAGACTTTATAGAGCTCTTGCAAGCCTTTCCACAACTAGAAGAGCTCCATCTGCTTGCTGCACAATGGCTACCGCGCATCACTACAGTTCCTCACGCGGAGAAGGACATATTTCCCCGCCTGAAGAAACTTGAGGTGTCCAGGAAAATGGATATCGCGCCATTGATTACTTGGATGCTGGGAGAGTCCGTCCACGCCGAGATTACATTTCTCTCTTGCGTGATATCAGGTGGAAAGAGCGCGTCCGCCATTCGCGATCTCCTATGTGCTCTTGGATCCACATTGGAGCACCTAGAAATTGGTTTTCAAGAGACGCGCGATCCTACAGGTTAGCTTGACGATCTGAAGCTCAATGGAATTTGAATTGACGTACGATTATGGTCAGAAATCATTCAGGCGACGCAGTTCGACCTCACATCATGCACTGGGTTGCGTACGCTCCGCATGTGCTGCTCTGACCTACAGCCCTGCTGTTCCATGTATCATCCGTCGCTTTCCTGGGTCGTGATCCTCCTCTCGAAGATGGAGTCACCCCAGCTGCAGAAGATCGTACTTTTCATACTCTCCAAAGACCTCTGTGCACTCAACCTTGAGGGCCTCGATGTCGTACTCTCGCACGCCCGCTTCGGAAGCGTGAAGTCTCTCACGTTCGACATAGAAGTAGGTGTTGAACCCCACGGTTTCGACATCGAAGTGCGCCTGAGGAATCGGATGTCCGCCCTGCACACTAAAGGCGTGTTAGACTTCTACTTTCACCCACATTGACAAGGCCTCTATCTTACGCAGTATGCTGTGCACGTTTGGATCGATGCATAGATGGAATGGTGTCACGACGGAGATGTATCCTGTTTATTGGCTCGCCCTAATGTACATATGTTCCACTACGCTGTATACCTGTACATGTATCGTTTATATATCCCGACACGACAATTCGATTTCTTCATGCTACTTCATGTCTCCGATCTGGGCCTCTTCCTGGGTATCCCCTCAACGTCAATGACTGCTGTGGGTTGGGTCTCATGTGTGCTGACAATGAAAGGACTGGGTAGCGTTGCCTCACGAGATGTCAAAGTCAGATCCTGTTGTGGGATAGAGTACGAGGCACTTGCGAAGCTTGAAGATGACTGCACGGCGGTCACAACGACCACGTCAGACGACGAAAAATCATCCTCTAGTCTTGAAAATTGATACATGTCGCTCACCTCCACGGTATCGTCAGGAATTTCCTCGCAAGCCCACGAGATATCGAATGAATTATCAGACAGTTCTACTCTGCCGAACGTTCCTGGGTCACTCGGTGCCGCTGGGTTTGTCGAATCTTGCGGTTCTCCCGTACGCGTAAAGTACATGTTCCCCGTGCACAATGCTTCTAGCACTTGCTGATTCTGCGCCACGGTTAGTGTAGACGGATTTGTCACAGGAACTCCAGCCGGCCAGCCTTCCAAGCGGATGCCGTAGACTTGCAACCTGGAGTGGTCGGACCACTTCATCTCTGCATTACGGACGCCTGACGCAGCTCTGTACATACAGTAAGTTCTCATCTTCTCACTTCCTGGGGACAAGGGAGTCACCTGATCGCGTTCCGCACGCTGGCGTAGACATCCCTCTTGAGCGAGCTGGCAGGGCCTTTCTGCCGAGGCACGACGGTGGTTTTCTGCACATTCGGTGCTGGTACAGGTGTGCTTGCCACGTAAGAACTACGAGTGCGTTCTTCTGAAGCCTTCAGACATTGCGCTTTGAACGCTTCCGCCCCTGCTTCGCCACAGCCGCGGTGGCCGCGCCAGAACTCTCGTCCCTGGAGTGTACCGCCGAGGAAACCTTTGTCTTCTGGATCAAACGGGTTCACGACGAGGAAGAAGGCCTGCAGGCCTGCTATTTTCTGCAGAGACTCGAGGGTGTGAGACGTAGAGCGGAGAATGTTGTCCTCTGTTCAAACCGTAAAAAGCTCGCGAATATGGAATCATCCTGCAATTACACTTACTCTGCTCCTGCTTGCTGGAGGTTGATCCTGGTTCTGCCTCAAAAAGATATTTGCAGTGCCGCTGCGCCATGCATTTTCTAACCTATCGAAAGGGGCCACAATGAGCTGCGCGAAATATGTCGGCAATCGGAGAGCAACCTCTTCAAACGGTCGTGACTCTCGTTCCGCAAACGTTCGGAGCTCTGCTAGACTTCTGTCATACAGAGTCTCGAGTCTTTCTAGGAAAAGCTCGTCTTCGAATGGTGTTTCTTGTTCCTTTCCTATGCCCAAACTCGTCATGACTGTTTTCTGCCCAATATCAGCAGCACTCTTCAGTACAGAAGCTTTGAACTGCGTAGAATTCGTTAACCACCTGAGAATAGCTTAGCTGCTGGTGTCACACAAAGCCGGTTAAGTTCGAGGAACAACCAAGGAACTCACCGAATCTCGATTTGATCGTATCCGGCAACTACCGGAAAGCGCCCGATCGAAATGCACGAATTTCTCGACTTTGCAGCAGACTCGGAAGCAACAAGAGAACTCACATAAAACCTCTGTCCTTTTATTGCCTGACACCATGGGACGTACGAGGACGAAATCAAGAAAAGCCGCGCTCGTGGCGAAGAAGTATGTAGTGGAAGAGCCAAAGGCAGTCCCTTCCATCCCCGCTCTCCTTGAGAAGGCGCAATCCTTGGTGGTTCAGTGCGACTATGAGCTTGCAAAACGATTTGCGCAACGCGTCTTGGAACGTGAACCAAATCATACTCAGGCGAAGGAGATTCTCGGTGTGGTCTATCTAGAAACAGGGGAGCTCGATGCAGCGAAATCGGTGCGTGCTCTATACTCTGCGGTTTAAAGGATTTCTTACGCTGGACTGGTTACTGTAGACATTCGAATCTTTACTCCCACCAAATCCTGGTGCTCCATCAATACCCCCTCCTTCTGCCCATCTCTATCTGGCTCAGCTGAGCGAGGATGACCCACAACTGGCGCTGCGACACTATCAATCTGCTGTAGATATCCTCAACGTTCAGCTGAAGGGCAAGGAGCGTGCGGTAGATCTACCTGGCCCAAGCGATGACGAGGTGGAGTTGAAGCAGAATATCGTCGGAGCTCTGATTGGTATGGTGGAGATCTGGATGGATCCCTCGTATGATCTATGGTGCATCATTTCTCCTGCCAGCTTTTCGGACGTTCGATTGAGCTGTGTGACTCCAGCTTTGATCCTGCAGCGGAGAAGACCTGTGAAGACCTGCTCAACATGGCTTTGCAGACCGATCCTGGTAACACTGAGGCGCTGCAATCTTTGGCATCAGTGCGACTATCTCAGCAGAGGCCGGATGACGCAAGGGTCCACTTGGAGCACGCATGGTCAGTGTGGAAGGACCTTGATCTTGGTATGTCACCCCATAGGTTTCGCGTACGTTAACATCAGCCTGATCATTGTCTTTAGACGATTCGCGTCTCCCGCCAATATCCAGCCGTTTAACTCTAGTCAAGATGTTCCTGGAGCTCTCACTGTTTACTCCTGCCCTCCTCGTTCTTCAAGGTATCATGTCATCAGACGACCAAGAAGTTGAGGCATGGTACCTAGAAGGGTGGTGTTTTTTTCTCATGGCTGAGCAAGCGCAAGAGAAGGGGGGAAAATTGGACGAGCTGGCATGGCAGGACCTTGCGAGGGACGCAAGAGACTGCTTAGAAACCTGCCAGATGGTGCGCATGTTCCACATATTTTACGAGTCTGATACCAGTCTCACGCGATTACACAGTTGCATATTAATCTAGAGCATCCTGATACCCCGCTGTTGGAGCACACAAAAGAACTCATCGCGAAGTTGGACGCGCTGGGGATACAACCATCGCCTGACGATGGGGGAAAGGATGACGATGGTGACGCAGGATGGGAGGACGTCGATGGGAGTGAGGATGAAGATGAAGATGTGAGGATGTGGTAGTGTCCCACAGCGACTCGGATGTGCCAAATGCCTCACAGTGATCGTCACGATAGCTGATCCAGGCGGTATTTACCAGGACTTTCTTTTCAGTCGACATTGCATAACAGCTATGAAAGCATGAAAGTACATTATCCTAGTGACATGCTTGTACATCATAGCGAACGTTCCGTTTTGAATGAGCAGTGCTTCCCGATAGATCTTGAAATATGGCGTAAGCCGACACGACGCGTTTTGTCGCGTCTGATTACATGTACACGGCTGTGGCTGGGATTTTGCTGGGTTTGTCCGAGTCCAGACGAGAGACTACTAGTGTGCAGAGCTCTCACCCCGACTTCCTCACCCTAGTGCGTATTTCTTATGCATTACCCGCATTGTTCTGACACCACCATGCATTGACATACAGATGAACTTCACTGCTCTTCGCCATCTCTGCCGTAGTTTTTCGCGGACTCCGAGTTGTTGGCAAACTTCGGCCGCATCCAGTCCGCTGACAAGACGCGTTCAATTCCGAGCATTTGCACAGTCTGCGGGCAAGTCACCTAGTGCAGATGCACAACCCGCACCGAAGCCCACCGCGTCGACTCCCTTGAGAAGAACAGCGTCAGCATCTCTCCCCATTCGTTCGAACCCGACACCCACGCGAAGTGACATCCGACCTGTCGTCACGCTCACGACTGCTGAGCGCTATCTGTTACCGTCTTTGCTCCCACGCCTTCCTCCATCTTCGCAGGTCCTGCATGACTCGCTCTGGGTGCCGGAATGGAAGCAGGATGGTCAAGAGAGTGAGATCTTCATCTTCGCCAACGGAAGCCTCGTCTGTTGGGGACTAGGAGAAGAAGGAGCGAGAAAGTTTGCCTCGAAGTTTCTGTCAAGTTCAGATGCACAGGTTTCACCACTGAAGGAAGCGGAAACTGAGGACCTGGAGTTTGTGACCGATCCCGTGGAGTGAGTGTTTTTTTGGCTATGGAACTGTTCGTTGCATAACGATTGTCTCAGGAACACGAGGCTTCAGGGAGACCTTATTATCCTGGGTCACAGTCCCCCTTTGAACTCCGATGAGGTCATGCCGAGCAATCTGCCTGCTTCTGCACTACCGCAAGAAACACTGTTGGCTCGCTACGCCTTTTCACAAGCACTTTCACGGTCAAATGCACTCTCCGTACTAGAGATCTCATTGGAGCGCCATTTGTCGTCGGTCGCCCTGCTGCCAGACTCGCTGCAACGCACAGGAAAGCCGGGGCTGGATCGTATATCGCTTGTCAAGAAGCTTGGTGAATTGTTGAAGTTTCGACAAGGCCTCAACCTGAACAGAGAGAACTTTTCTGATACACCTGACTTCTACTGGGCTGAGCCGGTACTGGAAGGTAGCGTCATTGGACTGTAAAAATTCACCTGGAGATATAACTCACATCTCTTCCGCAGGCTACTTCAACTCCTTGAGCAACGCGTTGGAGGTGAGAGCGCGTACGAAGTCGGTCAACGACAAGATCACATACGCTGCCGAAGTGAGTGAACGTTGCGTATGGCTTGAGTCTGCTGAATTGACACTCTCCTCAGATGCAATCCGTTTTGCGCGAACTGCTAACAGAGGTTTGTGTTCTCCGCCTGTGGAATGCGACGCTACATACTGATCTATTCGTACAGACTTCTGCATATCGCATGGAGTTCATCATCATCGCTCTTATCGCGACAGAGATTGTCATCGTACGCTCCTACACCATTATTCCGAATGATAGCCTACTCACAGAGTGCCCAGTGTCTCATTCGTGACGGTCCCGAGCTCTGGAACATTGTCATGCACAAGGAAGAGAAAACGGAGAAAGATTCTGCTGAACGCCCTGCACTCCAGTAATTTATCCATAAAGGAGCATCTACGCTACCGTCTAGAGCGATTACTAGTCACATTAAAAATCCATTCACCCCTCTCACCACGCCACCACTCGCAGAGCACCTCACATGCACTCACTCTACTCAGCAATCACTCACCGCAGTCGTATATCTAGATGTAATTCAATACTCTTGCTTTCGATAATAGATGCGCAGAGCACCTTCCCGCCAGAGTGTGTCGTGTCGTGGCTCTGCGCAGACTAGCCCTTCCTTGAACCTGAGGCCTGAGCGCTCACTCTTGACATACTAAACATCGTTTGAACGATCATCTATACCATGTCAGCGGGAATCGCACGTTCGATTCTCCCTCAATATTAATTTCAATGGTTGCCCCTTCACTTGGATGCAGGTACGTACTGTATCCGCCAATGTCATTGGATCCGCTGGGTCAACAAACTTCAGCTTCAACAATCACGCTCAATGGTGAGATCTAGAAGTGGCGCTCGTTTGGACAGATTGACTTTTGCAATCAGGTGCATTTGAATATAACAAAACTTCGACGGACGCCAGAGATGGAAGTACTGTATATGTATTAGTACTCTGCAGTTGAAGATACATGACATACTATACGCATACACCCTGGTTTCACCCGCCGCCTCTCACGGGCCCTACTAATCCATATTGAAATGACAGATACTTATTAGGTCTTTACACGCATGTAGAGCCGTCACCGGGCGGTCGGTGCACCGGTGAACGTTGGAACGTTTCGCTATTGCACTCGTCCGTCCAGGCCCACCGGTGTCCAACCAGGGCCGTGTCGCGACTTCTGAGCTCTGAATTTTGAATTCTTGGTGCATCAGATCGCCAGCTACTGGCATCGGACGATAATTGCTGCAAGTGGTGATCTTGTTAGACGCCAGTCGATTACTTACTTGCCATGGACTAGGAGGCAGTCCAAGCACTCAAACGGGCTCTCTTCACCGGTCCAGAGATCTCCGCAGGCTGTTCGGCGCGATCGGGAGGGCTCCGGAGTCGAACCCACGCAGTCGACCCCGACAGCGGGCTTCGAAGTCGAAGCAGCGCATCATTCCCGCCGAAAACCTGGGCGCCACGCTCATATGCTTGGCTTTGTTGGTGTCAGTGCGGTAGCGCACCTCTTCACCATCTCAAGTGGCAGCACCGGTACCAATCCAATGCCGAGCAGTTGGTATCAATTTCCTAGATCTATCGGAAGCCAAGAGAAATTCGTGCTGCAACATACCTTCGACCTAATTTGTGCACCGTCGTAGTGGATAGAGCAGCAGGCCCAGAAACGGTAGACAAATTGGCAGCGGTCAACCTGCAATATGAATTTTCGCAGGAAATTATGGGCGGTATCCACAGTGGGATGAGAAGCTTACCTTCCCAAAGTATACAATACCGCAGTGCGCGTCTCGGATGAGTACGATATTCCAATATTCATATGCGATCAAATTCAGTGGGCGTCCTTGAGGAAATTGCTTGACTTGACATTCGAACAGCCAAGACACAGGCACATTCGCATCGATGCAAATCGAGGGGCCTACGGGACCAGACTTCCGGAAATACGCAACCAATTTCGACCTCGCCACAGACTAGTATAAAAGGCTGGAAAGAAAGGCCAGTCGACAGTCAATCAGTCGACAGAACGCCCTCACCACTTCTTCAAGCTTCAATAACCGTACTCACTCACCATGTTTTCTCGTGTCGCCGCCATTTCCTTCCTCGCGCTGCCTCTCCTCGCAGCCACCAACCCGGTCGAGCTCGCCGTCCGCCAGTCTGCATGCTCTGTTGGGTCGTTCGAATGCTGCGACAACACCGTGGATGTAAGATCGCTCAGTCGCTGTATAGAGGTCATCCCGTTGATGTGAGCCACAGCCCAACTCTTCCAAAGGCGAGCAGATCCTAGGCCTCTTAGGCCTCCTCGGCATCACCGACTTGATCGGCATGGATTGCTCGCCGATTGCGTCCGGTGACACATGCAACGCCTCTCCTGTGTGCTGCACGGACAACAGCAGCGTATGTATTTCTCATCCATTGCGTCTGAAAGAGCTGACAATGCGTGGAGTAGTACAACTTCATCTCCCTCGGGTGCATCCCCATCTCCCTCTGAGGCGAAGAAGGCTGAGTTTGAAAGGCGGTCCATAGCTTGATCGTGAACCGAAGCCAGATGTACCGTACGTGCGCCGTAGGCGTGAGGACGAAGTAGAATAACGCACCTGTTGATCGACATACAGGCGATTTTCCTGTTCGAGTAGAAAGAACGTATCACCGTAAAATTTCGTGAAATGACAGAGAACACGACGCGAACATGAAGCAAAAAAGGCCAATATGACAACGGCAAGCCCCTTTGATGCAAGAATTAGCTTCGAATTCATGTTAAGGGCATAAGCTCTGGTGCACGCACGCACTGCATTGCGGTGCCACTGAAAAGCCACAATTCCGTGAGCATCTGCAAGGGGGAGGATATAGTATGTAGCTTAAACGGCATACATGGGAGTATCCGAGTCGCAGCGAGAGAACAGCGCTCTGAGAAAACGTTCAGAAAAGAACTGCACAGCAGTAAGCTTGCTTCGAACGCTTTCTGGGACGCCTGTACAGTGCAAACAAGTAGAACCTGGCTACTTAGTGGGACCAGCGGATGAAATCATGAAAACTACGAGAATTTGCAGAAACCATGGTCGGTAGTGATCGACTTGAACGACACAAAGCATATCTAGGCTGGCAGCGTCACCGCTAGCATACAACAAGGGCTACTCTTGCATATGCGCTGGAATTTGTGACTGTAGTTGCCACGTGCGAACTCGATCAGGTCACGTAAAGGTACGACGTACTTACAACCGTTAGTTCAGTCACAGCCACTTACTGTCGAGCCAACAACGACTGTCTTCCTTGTCTAGAGGCTGATTCATGAGCTGACGTGGAGCCCACTCCAAGACTTGACTTGAAACGTGCATTGCTGTATGTACAGAAAATTACCTCAGTCTTCGGCATATTTTTATCAGAGCGCTCAAAAACGTATCTGGTTTTCATCTGGACCGCGCAGAATAACAGATCATAAGGATGTCGTGTGGGGATCATGGACTCAATGCTGCCAGTGATGCTTTGATGCCTCGTAAGCTTCTCTAATCAAACTTCCTTTGACGAGAAGATTTTACTTCCTTCAATATCTTTTTAGGGAAGCCGAAGCATGACAGGTCGAAGAATTGTGTCAAATGCAAAGTTGCACGGGGAAATATTGTGATTCGACATGCAGTGTATTGCAAGTGCGCATTCTTCTTGTACTCATAAATTTATCTCATGCTCTAATCGGCAGAGAATGTTTCTTTCCTCTCATTGCCTTCAAATTCCGGCGGTCACTCGAACCCTTCGTGAACCCCAAGCCTGATGGTCCTCGTCGTACGGCTCTGAAACCAGCGGGTAACCTCCTCCTAGGGTTCTCTGGTGGATTAGGTTCTACAGTATTGCTGGATCTGATACATCATAGCTATGTCTCCCTTGATGATGTACCTGCTCAAGGAGGCAGGGATCATCCACGGCATGAAAGAGTGTGGCCGCAGGTAACAGTATGCTACATAGAAATATGCGATGCATTTCCTGGGGTATGTGTTCACGCCGTATCGTGCTCGCGATACCCCCCATCCCATGGGCCAGTGAAAGCTGATGTTGCCGAAGTAGATGAAAGATAGGACTACTCAAATTGCGGACACGATCGCGGGATATCCGGGAGTAGAATGCAGGACCTTGCGGGTCCAGGACGCCTTCGATCGCAATTGGTGGATGAAAGTGCATGCAACGCCCGACTCTTCTGATGTTGGTGTTGATTTGAGTACTGGCGGTAGGTCCCCAATCTTGCATCCTGCCAGCAATCCAGCTAACACATCTCGTAGAGCTAATACTGTCCATATTGTCTAACTCGTCAACGTCTTCCTCGCCGCTCGGATTGCTCCATTCTTACCTTGCATCCCTACCAACTGCTACTGCTGTATCGTCCGCTGTGCAAGCGCTAATACGTCTTCTTTTGCTTCATACTGCGGTTGAAACAAGCTCGTCACACCTAGTCCTGGGCACGTCCCTAACCAGCCTAGCCGTGTCGCTAATTTCCGGCGTTGCGCAAGGCAGAGGCTTCAGCGTTCGGGAGGAGGTGCAAGAGGATTGGTTTCCGGAGGAGGTCCCCGGTATGCCGGACACAGGTGATAACCTGCACCGTGGCACCGAAAGTCCAAATAGCGGTAAAATGAAAGGAAACGGAAGGCTCAGCGTGAGAGTCATGAGACCACTGCGTGATGTGGGTATGAAGGAGTGTGCAGCCTGGGCTTGGTGGAAGAAATTGAGGGTCGTAGGGAAGGAGAGATGGCAATGGTCAGGGGCGAAGCAAGGGATTTATGCATTGACAAAAGGTGCGTAGGAGCTATCCAACACATTATCGCGCTCGCAGCTGCAACTGCCATGCAGATTTCATCGTTGGCCTGGAGAAAGACTACCCATCTACGGTGTCCACCGTCGTGAGAACCTGCGGGAAGCTCGCACCGAAGGGCAGGGTGATAGGGAGGTGTGTTCTCTGTGAACGGTCAGTGCGGCTTCGCTATGTGCCGATGTTTTGAGCCATAATGTTTATCCCTGCACTAGCCCTGTACAGGAAGGATGGCAGGAGTGGAAGTCCAGCATATCCGTACAGTTCCGCCTATCCTCAAATGTCGAAATCGATCCGATTCCATTTCTTCACCCGTCCGTCGACTGCGTACCCCCAAGACTTTCTACCGCGCCGACTCTGACGCCTCACTTGTGTTACGCATGCCATACGACGTTTACCAGCAAGAGCAGTCGTGCTACTCCACCACCACTCTATCCCTCCGTCACCAAGACACCTCTTACGCCATTGCCAACTTGGGTGGGTTCGCACTTGCTCGAACGACAGGAGCAGATCAGCACGTCGCGGATGGCCCGGGAGGAGATGAGGAGTGCGGTCAGCGATTTCTTGCTTGAATAGTTTCCCGGTTTATTCGGAGGTTGTTGGTGCGCGCGTTTGCGATCTAGATCTCCCGATTACAGTATTAGATGGATTGTCTGGAGGTCTCTCAGTGGTTTCTCATTATTCAACGTCGCGATTACAACCACTGTCTCGCTGAAACATTATTCCTCCTATTCTAAGAACAGAATGCCTAAAATATTGGTGTGATGGTTCAACCGGACCCTTGACAATAAGAGGAGAGGCCTGATCCAAATTTTCGAAAATTGGCCCCAAACATTCGGAGAAAAGTTAGGATTTTTGGCCTTAAACTTCCGGATGAGATCAGACCTTGGGCCCATTTTTAGCCTCAGGTACCGGACCTTATGCCCGTCTCCAGCCCATATAAGGGATGTATGGACGCTTGTGAGGGGGCGGCTCCGGTGCCGGAGGTTCGTCTTCGTTATCGCCGACATATTGCCCCTCAGTGGCGGCCGGTGAAGCTGTGGTGAACCGGACATGGGATCACCTCCGTCGGACTCGGTCGGAGGTACTTGAGCTAGTAGTCAGCTAAGTGATATTATTATTACTCGTTTTCCTCATTTTCCCCAAACGTCCGGATCCTAAAATATACCAGACAGGGATCAACTGTCATCCATAGGTGTCCGAGACTAGGATCCTAAGGCCTCAAAAATCCCCAAAATTTGTCCACACGAGGAAACGAGGAATATTAACTGACTACGCTATGACACTCTATAGCTCAGGTACGTAAGATGCCTCCGAGTTCAACGGAGGTGATCCCATGTCCGGAGACTCACCACAGCTTCGATGAACGCCTGATCTGTAGCCCGCCCTCATTGATAAGATGCACCTCGTCAGCCACAACGAAGAGAAAGTAATGTAGTAGTACGTAGCCTCGGGGAAGAGTAAGTATTTGTCTCCGAATTTGCAAGGGCGCAACCAATGTGATCACCAGGAAGTCCTTTCATGTGATGTAGACGTGTGTCCAATCGCTTCATTTGTACATGAGGAGTACACGAATCACTCTTGTGAGTAGCTAGGTGTGGTCATCAGACGTCTCAACCTCGATCTTATGCGACTCACGGATAGCTTCGATTATGACTTCCCCTCCCACACCGACTGAGTTCCTGCGTGGTTTGCGGACGCCGCACACATGATGTTGCGAGGACCGGTGGCTCTTATACGAGGCTGGGGTCGGTTCACGACCTGCACTCCCGAGAGAACTCCATTGCGCAAATATGGGTGACTTTGCTGCAGATTCTACTCAACCCCCCGATGCATCCCAGGAAGAGCCTCAGTTTAAGCCAGGAACTTTCTCGATAGACGAGTACAGACCTATCAAAGTTGTGGTCATCGGTGCGGGATTCAGTGGGATCGCTGCGGGAATAAGGTACATCGTCGTTCACACCTTTGGGTGTTTACCTGCATATTGACTGTGAGGAGTAGATTTACGCAAAGGCTCCAGAATCTTGACCTCACCATCTATGACAAGAACGCTGGAGTAGGTGGGACATGGTTCACACACAAGTATCCGTAAGCATCTGCATCTATTACCCTGTTTCCTCTCTCATTGATTGTGAGACATTATAAAGCGGGCTTGCATGCGACATTCCCGCTCACTGCGTGAGTTGGCACACTCTGCTGCGATTCGCTCGTTGATTGACGCCCATCCGAAGTACCAATATACTTTCGAAGAGAAAGTGTGTGCGGCATACATCCGTGTCAAGTCGTTTGTAATGAAGTCTATCAGACAGATTGGTCGAGTTTCTATTCTCCGGGTCCGGAAATCCGTTCTTATCTGGAGGGCGTCGTGGACAAGTACAAACTGATGCGCTACATCAAATTGCGACACCAAGTCGTCCACGCACGGTATGATGAGCCGAGCGGGAAGTGGTACCTGCGTATTCGCAGACCCGTGCCATGCACGAACTCGGACGGTGAACAGTTCGAGGAGTTCGAGGACGTGGCTGACTTCCTGTTTACGGGTATCGGTGCGCTTAGCAGGTGGACTTGGCCCGACATCGAAGGCTTGAAAGACTTCAAAGGGAAGTTGTTCCATAGTGCGGACTTTGAGGTAGGGAACCAGACGTGGCAGGAAGCAGCGGAGGATTGGAAGGACAAGAAGGTTGGCGTAATTGGAGTTGTGAGTCGCCGCGAATTTTCTGCAAGTGCTTATTGTAACTCGTCGATCTTTGAATAGGGCTCGAGTGCGATTCAAATTGTGCCAGCTCTTCAACCGAGGGTCGCTAAGCTGTCAAACTATGTTCGTGGCAAGACTTGGCTCGCGACACCGTGTTCCGGAGTAAAGTTTGCAGAATTGTTGAAGCGAGACCCGACTGCAGAAAATTGTGCGTTCCGAGATACTTACGATGGGTGCAGCCCACTGAACGACGAGCCCCTTCGTCAGATACGTTCTGTGAAGAAGATAAAGAGACGTTCAAGGATCCGGTCTATTATAAACAATTCAGGCGTGAACTCGAGTCAGATGTCAACGTGCGTGAACTCACTCTGTCACGTCCACTGCCGTTCGCCTGATGAGACATAGTCATACCACTCCTCAACTCTCAGAGGAAGTGAGAGTCAGATGGCTGCCCGCGCCACTTATACTGAGAATATGAGAAAGAAATTAGTGAAAAAGCCATGGATTGCAGATCATCGTAAGGGGAGATTGCTGTCCGTTCGTTTGTATCTTCTGAATTTCACCGTTCTAGTAATCCCGGACTTCTCGGTGGCATGTCGACGAATAACGCCTGGTCCTGGCTATCTGGAAGCTGTGTCGCAGGACAACGTAAGTTTCGTCTCGCCTCTGTGCCTCCATGGTTCTGATCGTCCTGTATTTGCAGGTTGACTTTGTCACGACGCACATCAAGCAAATCACACCGACTGGAATCGAGACCGTGGACGGCAAACATGATGACCTGGACATCATCATATGTGCGACTGGTATGTGCTTCGCCCCGTCAGAGCAACGGCTGTTGACTTTTTTTCAGGATATGACACCAGGTTTCTACCCGAATTTCCTATAATCGGACGAGACGGCATAGATATTCGTGATAAATGGAGTCCCCATCCCGTGACATACTTGGCTGTCTGCGTTGACGGATTTCCGAACTGGTTCTTTTCCTTGGGACCTAATTCTGGCTTGGGGGCTGGATCGCTACTCGCGTTAATTGAACGTCAGGTTGAATATGCAGTTGAGGTGGTGAAGAAACTGCAGAGAGAATGGTTGAAGAGCATCGAAGTCAAGAGAGAAGCTCTGGAAGACTTCGACGAGTATCTCGAGGTGACTTGGAAATCAGGTTCCGTGCAGAGATCTCGCTGACGTCGTGCATCTCGTAGCATTACTTTCCTAAGGTATGTCGTGGTTATGGTTTCCGCCACTGTCCTGACCGGCATCGGACAAGACTGTTTTTAGCGATAAGTGCAGGTCATGGTACAAGGTGGGCCAAGAAGATGGGCGTGTTGTTGGTTTATACCCTGGCTCGTACACTGCATCTACTCGATCGCCAGCTTGTTCACCTTATGTTGTGTTCTGCAGGATCTACCCTGCACGGGGTACGTGCCCTGAAGCATCCGCGCTGGGAAGATTACACATATGAGCCTGTCAATGGCATCAAGAACCGGCTGTACTGGCTGGGCGATGGTCAGACTTATAACGAGAAGATGATGACAGGCGATAGTGCGTACCTACTGACTCACCTTATCACTTGCGGTTTGACATTTTTTGTCCTGCAGTGGCATGGTACTTGAACGAGGACGAGGTTGACATTCCTCCAGGTATGTATCCCACGTCTGATGGTACCGATTCGCTGACGAGGGTGCATCTTCAGTCCCCGAGGATTGAGCGTCACGTTCAAGTTCGGGATGTCGAATTTGAGGGCATTCCTGCATTTCGTTGTCACATGTAACCTGAGTACCGACACTGCTGTTATTCTTTGCACTCGGACTGGAAGTCGCTTTCGCGAATGTAAGTAGACTGCGAAGCGTACGCGATGTCTGGGTTGTTTGCGCGGTGGCGGCGCTGGTTTTGTTCAGTTGTCAATGTCAGAGATGAATTAGGTAATTTGAAGTATGCAGTCGGTTCATCTGCACTTAGTTTCTATACTCCCACCACAGGTCGCTGTCGTGAATGTGGTGAGACTGCAAGGTATGCGTGACACTGCAATGTATGCAGAACGATACCAGGCATCTTCGTTAGCGTTCCAACGTCGATTTACAATTACGTAGACGAATGTCGAGTCCGAAGAGATCGGAACGAGCGCCGCCGCGGCACGAACAACCCAAGTCGAATTTTGTTGGAGGTGTGCGGATTAGCAATCTGGCATCTACGGAAAGGTCTGGGAAAGGTCCGTAGGGTTAGGATTAGTAAGGACAATGTCTCGAGAATAGTCTGGTAGTTTCTAGTCTTTTAGTTTGTTAGAAATCGCGCCTTAGTTCCCAAATAGGAAGGTAGTGATGGCGGGTCAAGATGCGTCGGGGCGCGTGATTTCGCATCCTAAAATAGATTTCTGTATATATACAGTTCTAGATGCCCCACTTTATATAAGCAAATTTCCTTCTTTGTCTTTCTTTGTAATCATGCCCTCGGCTTGTCTGCCCTTGGGCGCTCCCCAATTTCTGGAGCTCCAGAAATTTGGGCGCTACTTTCCAACACTCCCCCTCAAGCCGATGGGCATTCCGAGCTTCTTTGTGAGCTTCTCGTGCCTTGGCTTAGGGAGTGACTTTGTTAGGATATCCGCTATCATGTCCTCCGTGGGACAGTAGTGGATATCAATATATTTATCCCTCAATTTTTTGCGCACATAATGATGCTTTACATCAAAATGTTTTGATTTCGCGTGGAATTGGGGATCACGTGCAATTGAGATCGCCGCTGTATTATCCTCGAATAAAATTGTAGGATCTTGTTGCTCGAAACCTATTTCTTTGAATAGTGTTCGGAGCCACACGGCTTCTTTTGCCGCTTCGGCGGATGCCATGTATTCGGCTTCCGTGGTGGATGACGTGACCGTGGTTTGCTT